GATCAGCTGTTTGTCGGCAGATCGGGGCAGTCTGGACGCGACGCGCCGACAAAGAAGCCTTTCTTGATCGGCACAGGTATGCCTCGTGAAACCAGGTTTACCTGTGCGGATCAAGAAAGGCTTCTTTGTCGACGCGGCGCGTCCAGACTGCCCCGATCTGCCGACAAACAGCTGATCGGCAGAGCGGGGCAGCCATTTAAATTTAAATGAAGCCGTGTTTATTTTAATCGCGGCTTCATTCCCCTCTGCCGATCTGGCTAATCTACATGCCTCCGTCGACGGAGGCATGTAGTCTAGACACACCGTATGTCTCTGGACTCATAGGAGAGATCATAACAGGCTGGCTAAAAGCTGGTGTAGAGATTGAGGAGGGTTGGGTTTTTTTCAGTCCACAGGGCTAGAGAAGTCCATGCATGAGAGATCCTGGGATGTCTGACTGGGAATGTTAACTAACTAGTTACCTCTGTATTTACTCTTAATAGAATTACTACAAGTCAGATCTTCAATGGTTGAGAGGCATCGGTTGGGTCCCAATTGGTTCCTTGGATGTTGAAAAAGCCAAGAAGGCTGGAGAGATCCTTAGTGACCATATATATCGTCAGCCACCAGACAAATTCAAATTTACTAGTCTAATGGATTCTCTGCCAATGGTCTTAGCCAAGCATAATGCAGAGACAATGAATAAGGTGAGTCCTGAGGAAGGTACTAGTTTTACAAACCATTAGAGATAACAAATTGCATAATAAAATATAGTATTGGTATAAGCTATCAATTAGCTCTAGTTCCAGACATTTGTAATAACAATTAGTAAAAAATCTATGAACTAATTGTCCCTGAAAATGTCCATATAGTAAAATAATTTGTCATACTATTCAAGGCCTCAATAATTGCCTACGCATTGTGGTCCTGATTCACTCCCTGTTAATGTCAATGAGAATCTTTCAATTGACTTCACTGAAGTTTTTGTTAGTCCCTACACTCAGGGAGAGTACAAACTAAGCTAGAGCCTGAGTATTCTCCATTAAAAATCCTGCAACTCAGGCACATTTTTTTTTTAATTTTCGAATCTTGGCTTGCAAAGAGGTTAGTGTGAATGTAATAAATATTACATGATTATTTTAGAGTTTTCAAGTAATGTTATTAAAATCTTTTATGTTTTATGAGGTCTTCATATGTTGATCACTATTGGTTAGTAAATCGTTTGTTAAACATTTGTCATTCCATTTGTAGAATTTATATACTGAGGCGTGGGATAAAGACAAGACTCAAATCCACATGATGCCCGACACTCCAGAGATTATACTGGCAAGACAGAACAAGGTCAACTATAGCCAGGTGAGCAAAAGCACAGCAAACTTGAAATAACACAGGAAAATTATTGCAAATAGTTTTAACATTTACGTACCAATATGTCAATCTCCTTGGGCTTCATTGTGGAACCTTCATGTTGGTGAACACTGTTCTGGGAAGAGTCCTGCTGACTGCAGTGGGATTAATCTCTTGCTAAGTGATCACCAGTGTGAACTAATGGTCCATAAATGGATTTTCCAGTGAATTGCTGAGGACTCCTCTTAAAAGTATTAGTGCTAGACAGGTGTGACATTCATCTTGCATCATCAAACAAATAATTATAAAATCACAGAATACTAGAACTGGAAGGGACTTTGAGAGGTCACCAAATCCAGTCCCTTGCACTCATGGCAGGACCAAACACCATCTCGATCATCCCTGATAGATGTTTACCTAACCTGCTCTTAAATATCTCTAATGAAGGAGATTCCACAACCTCCCTAGGCAATTTATTCCAGTGCTTAACCACCCTGACAGTTAGGAAGTTTTTCTAATGTCCAACCTAAACCTCCCTTGCTCCAATGTAAACCTATTGCTTTTTGTCCTATCATCAGAGATTAAGGGGTATAATTTTTCTCCCTTCTTTTTGTAACATCCTTTTAGGTACTTGAAAGGTGCTATCATATCCCTTCTCAGTCTTCTCTTTTCCAAAAAAATCCAAACCCAGTTCTTTTACTCTTCACACATAGATCATGTTTTCTAGACATTTAATCATTTTTGTTGCTCTTCTCTGGACTGACTTGATTCTGAAATTTGAATTATTAAAATCTAAAATCTGTCTGGTTAGTGTAAATGAAAGGCAAATATGTAAGCACCAGACGGTTGTTGTTTTAGAAATTAAGATCCATTAATTGTGGCAAAGTGGTCACCATAAGTGTGATCTGTACAAATGTATTCTACTAGACATCAGTTAAAGAAGATAGACAAATGGTGTAACCATTAGCTAGACTCTGGCATAGCTTCTCAGCTGTTCCAAATTTACATCAGTTGATGATGTGGCTCTGTTAAAAAAAATTAGATTGTTAGCATTTGATTGATCATATGGTAATTCTTCTAGTTGTCTGCATTTTCTCCTTTGCAGAGAAGGTAAAATGCAAAGTCCAGCTATGAGAATTTAACTCTGTTTAGTTTATTTCCTAGAGTCTGTATAAACTTGCCATGGAAGAGGCAAAGAAGAGAGGCTATGACTTGCGAATTGATGCTATTCCCATCAAGAGTGCCAAAGCATCCAGAGATATTGCCAGTGATGTAAGAAACTGCTCTTTGTTTCTCTGCTTATTTACACTGGACCTTTACATTCTGTACATTCTGCAAAAGGGGGGTTAATTCAACAATGAAGATGTGGTTTACATGTGGTAAAACTGTAGTGTATATAGTTAAACATTTTACATTTGAAAATAAAAATAATTACAAATTAAAATACTTAGAGATGCTACATGAACAGTGACAATCAGGGATGGCCAAACTACAGCTCATGAGCTGTATGTGGCTCTTTTATCATTAAAGAGTGGCTCACAGGGCCCGAGTACGTACACACTCCACCTGTTTTCTGCCTACCAGACAGTGGAGGAAGGGGTGCTCAGAGCTTCTGCTTTGCAGTATAATTAGATTAGGGGCTTCTTCCAGAGATGATGGGTGCTTTGCTGAGAAGGAGGGGGGCGCAATTTAATGGTTTGTGCTCCTCCCAACAGCTTGAATTATATTCCCCCAGGCATGCACCTTCTCACCCTCAGCAGTCCCTCCCTGGAGCTCCCAGCTGGTACTTCCTTGAGGATAGGCAGTGGCAGGCAATTCTCCCTGCAGTTCCTAACTGTGTGCTGCTGCCTTTTCTCATGGCCACAGCTTGTTGGCTCCAGCAGCTGCTGTGCAGGCAGGGGACCCAGAGGCACCATGTGACTGAACAGCACCAGCAAACCCTGGAAAAAATCAGGGACAAGTCACCTCTGGCTGCTGCCAACAGGGAGGTGGGTCTCAAGGCTTTAGCACCGTAGGGTTCTCCCACAAAGCTTGGGAGCTTCAGCATAAGTGGAGCTGAAACCCTGAGCCATGACAGGTGCCTCCTATGGGGTTGAAGCCTCAAGACCCCCTTTGCCACAGGGCTGAAGTCTCAAGTGCCAGCAGCCATCTTCCTTGGGCCTGATGCTCCAAAAGCCCCCTACCTGTAGGGCAGAAATCCCTAGTCCCATCATTTTGCCATGGGGCTGAAGACCCAGGCCATGGAAGGAGCGCCCCAGCTCTTGAACTTGTAAAGATTGTTATATGCATCTCAGAGGTCAGTAAGGTTGGTCACCTTTAGTAAAGGTAAAGGTTTGTTGTATTAGATAGTTTTAGGGGAAAAAATATATTTCATTAATTAATTATTTAAAAAAACATAGTACATGCATGTCACAATTATTTCTCTTTAACATTAAAAAAAGTAATTTTAATAATTCTTTATATCCGAATGTCTGTCCCATTTAAAGTCCAAATTCACAATCTGGTTGCCTAGAATGTAAACCTATGACTTCACTCCAATAAAATACCTTGAAAACTTTCTAACACCTATGGTTTATAAATAATTTTTGGAGTGTTTCATGTTAGAATTGTTCAAAAGTAATAGTCAAAACATTATTAATTAAAGGAACATTATATTTTGCATTTTTTAGTACAAATACAAAGAAGGGTATCGCAAGCAGCTTGGCCACCATGTGGGAGCCCGCAACATCCAAGATGATCCCAAGATGACATGGTCTATGCATGTGGCCAAGATCCAGAGTGACAGAGAGTACAAGAAAGATTTTGAGAAATGGAAGACCAAATACAGTACACCAGTGGACATGCTAGGAATAGTGCTGGCCAAGAAGTGTCAGGAGCAAGTCAGTGATGTTGATTATAGACGTCCTCTGCACCAATGGACGTGTCTACCAGACCAGAATGATGTCATCCATGCTAGAAAGGCCTATGATCTACAGAGTGATGTAAGTTCCAATAGATATCTGTGTTTCATACTGTACCCTAAGGGTGTGTCTAGACCACTTTTTTAAAAAAAAAAACCTGTGGCCTTTTTTTGAAAAAACTTCACCTGCGTCTAGACTGCCACTGCATTCTTTCGAAATTAAATCGAAAGAACCGGGCAGCTTTTTCAACTGCGGTAAACCTCATTTTACGAGTAAGAATGCCTTTTTTTGAAAATGCTCTTGCGAAAAAAAGGCGTTCTTGAATACAAACAGGGCTTTTTTGAAAGAGAGTATCCAGACTGCCTGAATGCTCTCTTTCGAAAGAGGCTTTTTCAAAAGATTCTTTCGAAAAAGCCTCTTTCAAAAGCGGTTTGAAGTCTAGACGTAGCCTAAGTGAAAATGATTTCACGTACAGATGACAGCAGAGCTAATCTAGTATTTTTACAGATTTTTTTTACTAAATAAAACTCAGATTAAATTCATTAAAAGATTCCTTAATGTGTTGAAATTTGTAAGTGAAACCAGGACCCAGTTTAAGCACATTTTCCCCATATATGATTTATTATTGAAATTATGTGAAATTTTTAATTGCTCATGGTTTTAAGCTGGGTGAAATGCAGTGGTTTCAGCTAAGATTCACTATTTTGAGATTTTGGTTTTATTCAAACCTGGATCTTGAAGTGAAATGAGGAATGAGTAAAGGATGAACCTGTACAAATAAATATATCAAAGAACATTTCATACAGACACCAGCAAAGCAAAACTGCTAAGCTTCATGCCTTTTAGTTCTGTCACTAGGGCTGAAATTGTGAATCCCAACAAGCAGTGTCACAATAAGAATGTTGTAACTGGAGAGGAGCCTGAGTCAAATAAATATGCATGATGATGCATAGTAAATGGCAGGTTGTAACAAGGTGGAATTGAGGAAGGTACAAAGTCTAGAGGCAAAGGGCATATTCTGGAATGTTGCTGTAGTGGAGAGTAGGGAACAGGAGGAGTGCATATAAAAGGATGAGAACAGAGATACAAGAAAAGGATGTTGATAAAAATCAAACATACTTAGAGTAGATGGATAGCATTCTTTGGGTCTCAGAGTTCAACTTTGGAAATAAATACTTGAGATGAGTTCTAACTGTAGCTCTTTTGTATAGTATTGCTTTGCAATGATGAAATAGTAGTTTTTCATTTACTTCAGTGGACCAGTATTTCACCCCTGAATGCTAACCCAAATTGATATTTTACTATACAATATCTTTTCTCCACTTTTCATATGCTGTGTGTTTTAGTCACAGCTAGCTAGCTATTCAGTAATTATAAAATTTTGATAAAACATACTGGGATGGTAATCTGGGAAAATGAACTAAAGAATTGCTTTTCTATTTATTGTTAATAGAATTACTACAAGTCAGATCTCCAGTGGCTGAGAGGCATTGGTTGGGTTCCAATTGGTTCCCTGGACATAGAAAAAGCCAAGAAAGCTGGAGAGATCTTGAGTGATAAAATATATCGTCAGCCTCCAGACACATTCAAATTTACTAGTGTAACAGATTCTCTAGAAATGGTCTTGGCCAAGCAGAATGCAGAGACAATGAATAAGGTGAGTAATGATTTGGTGAATAACATATCTATGCTGTGCTGCTCACTATTAAAGACATAAAATTAGGAGTACTGTGATTCAAAGTAATACTAAAGTCCTGAAATAATAGGATAAGTTTGCAAAGCAGTACATAGAACCTATCTTATTAAGCACAAATGAGGACATGTAAAGCAAACATCAATTTACTAAGATTATTCTGAATATCACAATGCACGTTTTTGGCATATATGTGTGGTCAGCTGCCATAGCTCATCAGACACTTTAGGATTATCTCCACTTTTTATTATTGTAAACTGATGTGATTAATTTCTAAATGTGGATCCAAATATTAGTGCTTCTTCTCATATAATGACAGGTTTGAGAGAGGTAGCCATAGTAGTCCATTTCAGCAAAAACGAGTCTGGTGGCACTAACAAATTTATTGGGGCATTAGCTTTTTTGAGAGACATGTGAGTTGTATCTCACAAAAGCTTATGCCCTAATAAATGTCTTTAAAATGTCACTGGACCCCTTGTTGTTTTACTTCATATAAATTCCCTTTGCTTATAATAGGAGTTTTGCCAGAGTAATGATGGCAAGGTGGATAGATAGTTACTGTAGTTTATTACTGAATTACACATTTCATTTCTATTTAGAAATAATAACCATAGTCTCTTCCTCTGTTCTTTCTTAGCGCTTATACACCGAAGCATGGAACAAAGACAAAACAGAAATCCATGTCATGCCCGACACTCCAGAAATCATGCTAGCAAAACTCAACCGAATGAACTACAGTGAGGTAGGTCAAAGTAAAATGCTGAGAGGATGAAATAATGAGCTCTGGACAATACAGTTTTTTTATCGCTGCCTTTTCAGTGAATATGATCCTGCTGCTTATCTGTAGAGTCCCACGTGTGGTCACCAATGTTAATAACAACAGGTTTTTCCTATAATTTAAATGATCTTCTTGGTGGCTTGCTTATGATTTCCAGAAATACTATTAGCATTAAACTAGGCCCTTACTCTGCAGTACACCCTTGACATTTGTAAATAGCACTTTGGGAAACTCCTTGCTTTCATTTTGCCAAAATGTCCATGTGAAAACAAAGTTTCTCAGGAAATAATGGGAATCTGAACAGGGCAAAACTTAGCACCTGGGAACACTTTCCACCCCATTTCTGTGGTAGACTCCCACCATCCCTGCTTTCCACTCCTTCACTGCTGCCAGATTTGTACGAGAAAATGTTGGAAATTGGTATTTTTCTTCTGTCTAAATAAGTTGCTATGGGTTATATTTAAATCAGGTTTACCCATTATGAACATTAATGATGTTTTCTAGTGGTGTAATGGGATTTTTTTATATGAAAATGTAACAGGCAAAACTACAAAGGAGGTACATAAAGTGCATGGTTAATGAGATAAAAATATAAACAATCTCCTTTCTCATAGAAATTATACAAACTTCCTTTGGAGGAATTGAAGAAGAGAGGTTATGACTTGCGTCTTGATGCCATTCCAATCCAGGCTGCCAAGGCATCCAGAAATATTGCCAGTGAAGTACGTAGCCTTTTTGTTATGTCTACAGAATTATGTTTCTTATGGAAAACAGCTCAGAATTTGTGCTCTAAATTTTTTCCATATGTAAATGCTTTTAAAATGTACAATAGATTCTCTTGCTAACCTGTAATTATAGTGTATGCTTCTTGCGTATAAAAAGAAAGGACCATATCAAGATCTACAGTGATGGATGCTTTAGACATATGCATTACAGTAATAAAATAAATAATATAAAGTCTAGTCCTATGCCCATTGAAATATTTCCATGGAGTACAATGAGTGTTGGATCAGGCCCATAATGAGATTACATAAAGTACCAATTTGCTACTTTTTAAGATAAGAATTAAATGCTAAATACCCCCCAGAAAAAATTACAGTCCTAAATGATCATCGTTTTCTGCCATGAGAAGATTGTAGTGCTTATGAACAGTTTCTGTATTGAAAATGCATGTGACTGAAGACATCCATGAAACAGATATGGCAATGGCATATGCAATAGAGTTTTCCTTTCACTGCTCTGCCTAGGGCAATACCAGTGAGTGATTAGAAGGTTGTTCACTCTCCAGGCTGGTTTTGTCTTTGGCATCCCTAATTAAACTGTGAATAAAGGTGCGAGTTGATATTAATTGCCATCAGATGTTGTGTGGTATAATTATTAAGGGAAGAGTATATCCTAAAAATGAAAAGGCTGTGGGACCACTAACAAGATAGTAAGTACATGGTTGTAAGGGATTAAGTAAGTAAATTGAGTAGTAATCTGTTTATAGAGATGCAAGATGCAGAGTACCTTAAATGATTTTTCTTTTTCTTCTAAACAAAATGAGCAAAATAGACTATTGGAGAACATATAAACTGCTGTTTTACAATATTAGAGTAATACAAATATATTTTATTTTAGTACAAATATAAAGAAGGGTATCGCAAGCAGCTTGGCCACCATGTGGGAGCCCGCAACATCCAGGATGATCCCAAGATGATGTGGTCTATGCATGTGGCCAAGATCCAGAGTGACCGTGAGTATAAGAAAGATTTTGAGAAATGGAAGACCAAGTATAATACCCCCGTGGACATGCTGGGAATCGTGCAGGCCAAGATATGTCAGACACTGGTCAGTGATGTCGATTACCGCAGTTATCTGCACCAGTGGACGTGTCTTCCAGACCAGAATGATGTCATCCAGGCCAAGAAAGCCTATGAGCTGCAGAGTGATGTGAGTACGCAGTATGTGTAATATGTGTAAAAGGTTCAATTCTACCCTGACATGCCTGCATAGATGCTTGTTTAACATGTTTATTACAGTAGTGCCCATGGCCAACGAAGATTGGAGCCCCATTGTGCTATGTGCTGTAACAAGGCAGAGTAGCAGACGGTCCTTGACCAGAAGAGCTTACCTTCTAAACAGACAAGAGAGAAACAGGGTAGGAGAAGAGACAGAACACATAAGCAGATTCAAAATGAGATGGTGGCAAATTCTATAGGGTATCAACTACATCAAAAGGGAAGAGAAGGGGTCAAGAGGATAGGGCAGGTGAGAGGGGGCAGGTGTGAAATGAAGCTGAGATGAAAAGATTGGGCAGGAGATGGAGGGAGTGGGTTGGAGCAAACAGACAGGCAGCACAGGCCAGACAGAGAAAGTTTTCTGAATGTCCAGAAATACAAAGGTCCTTACTTTGGCTGCTTCGTCCCCTATCAGCTAGAATCTCTGAATGTCTCGTCTCTTCACCTCACTGGTGATGATGATATGGAGGTGGGGAGACAATTGGGACAGGCATTGTCTGAGTCCTAGTGCCCCCAAACTGGAGGGGTATCTCCCTTATGCAGTTATGAATCCAGGGAAAGGGTGGCCCCATTTTCTCCTCCTCTCCTCCAGTGCAGCAGACTCTTTTGTTGCTTCTGCCTTTACTGGCCATTGAAAAGTGAAATGTCCCATATCCTATTACTGATCCTTTATTGCCAAATCTTTGCTGTTTTCTTCATCTTAGCTCTATGATTGGTGCCCTACTAATACGTCTAATGAGTCCTTCCATTTTGCCATTCCCATTGCACTGTGTAATAATTATTTTTTCCACCTTGTGAGAATAAAAGTCAGAAATAAATGACCATTTTGTAGGTGATAATGTTACATGAAGTGAATGGTATGTAAGTCAGTTGAATTTATTCATATTTTCTTATCATTTTTCCTGCAAATGACTGAAACTTTAATTAAATTTTAGACTGTTTACAAATCAGACCTGGAATGGCTGAAGGGTACAGGCTGGGTCCCCATTGGTTCTATGGATGTTGAGAAGGTTAAGAGAGCTGGAGAAATCCTGAGTGAAAAGCAATACCGCCAGCCACCAGACAAAATCAAATTTACCAGTGTGACAGATTCCCTGGAGTTGGTTTTGGCAAAGCAAAATGCTGAGACAATGAACAAGGTGAGTCTCCCAGAAAAAATCACAAGTATTATTAACTCTTATTGGTTGGTGGAATGGGCCATGTGCTTTGGCTGGAAGTGGAAGTGCTCAGAGAAGCAAAATATCAGATGGCAGCCATTGTGAGCTAGCAGTAGTTACCAATAGTTCTTCAGATCCTTTGTACTCGGTAAGAAGGTTGGCCCCTCTTCTTTCAGATGTAAGATATCCCTGAATTCCTCCCCCAAACTGGAGTTCTTTAATGCATTGTATGTGCAGCTATACTTTAAATCATTTGAAAACTTCAATTAATACAGAGCACAGTGGCTTATTGGTGAAGTATTGATCTCACAGAGAAGGGTGTTTTCTCCAGAGCCTAGGTTCCACTTGTGACATGCCACACATCTTAGGCTCCGTGTGTTGTGGCCGTAAGTTGAAACTAAGTGTTGCCTAGGACTGTGTACAAGGCCTCTGCACTGGAATTAGCCCAGTTCTCTGTTATCTGCACAGGCTGCCTATTAGAGCTGGTCAGAACATTGCACCAAAATCAAATGTTGATGAAAAATGGAAATAAAATTGATGATGATTTTCTATCCCTTCCTCTCCCCGCCAGTTTCTGATTGGCAGTGTTGTATAGGGTTTATTCATTTTTAAAATCTCTCTCAACTCAATTTATGGCGGAACTCCTTTATGGAGGCCAAGGGAGCTGGGACAATGTTTATAGTAAGGGTGCTGTGAGCCATTGAACCAGATTGTAAATCCTGTCTAAAATGAAAAACACTTCAAGTCAGGAAGTGCTGCAGCTCCTCCCCCACTCCTGGTTCCAGCACCTAAGGCTGAGACTGTTTACAGATTGCAGAACCATTTCAGACAGTGTTGCCAAAAGTGCAGATTTTGTGTTTCTGATTAAGGCATGTGGGGCTCATCCACCTGCTACAAGGTGGAATGCTAAGCAGCGCATTGCTGAATGCATTTCCGGAAGGTGCTCAGATACTACAGTGATGAGTATGGCTATATGTACATATATATAGAATAGTGAGATATCTGCTATGCATGCTATTGTGCTGTATGGTGTAGACTGGAACTCTAGCTTCCCTGTGCTGACTGAGAACTCCACGGCGAGAGCTTTTATCCCCAAGGCCGTGTCCACACTACAGATAAGATCAAAAGCAGCTGCACTTGATCTTCTGGGGTTTGAATTAGTAAGTCTAGTGAAGACCCACAAATTCGAACTGACAGGGCACTCCCATCGATGCTGGTAGTTCTGCTTCTATGAGAAGTAAGGGAAGTTGAAGGGAGAGTGTGCTCCCTTTGACTTCCTGCAGTATGGATGGTGCCAGAATTTGAGGTAAGATGCTTCCACTTAAGCTACACACTTAATGTAGCTGAAGTTGTGCATCTTAATTTAAATTTATCCCTTAGTATAGACCAGGACCTAGGGATTAAGGCTTCCTTCCATTTATAGTAGCCTGGGTAGAGTAAAATATACCCTAGAGAGCCCCAGATACAATCCTTCTCCCACTATAGCCTCCCAACCTATACTGAATCAGACCATTAATGGGGCAGAACAGATTGCAGCATAATGAGAAAGAGGAGCCCATTTGGAGATCACAGTGAATCAGGGTATTAAAGGTTTGCTCAAACTATCCCTGTTGATTTATTAGGGCATTTTAAATGGGTGAGTCTTAGTTTTGGAGGTGTGCATTCAGGAGTTGGCTATTTAGAGGCCATTCTGGTTCAAGGCTTTGGTTTTGTAGACTTTTGCTAATTGCTGCTTTTAGTTTTACTGAATTTTTCTCAAGGTGTGCGGAATTATTTTTGCACAAGCAAGCAGTGCATATGTATTACATTCCTTTGACTTTTTTAGAGTTTCATCCCAAAATCCACAATTGTATTTACGAGGGACCTTATCCAAAACTCATCAAAATCAATGGGAATCTTTCCATTGGCATTAGATCATCAGTAGGTAAATTGTGCTAAATGCATTGTTCAACTGTACTTAGGCTACTACAGGCTGACAGATAAAAGTATTTGATATCTAGACACATGGGAGTACATTCTCTTACAAACTCAATTAGTTTTCCTTTGAAAACATTATATATTTAAAGTATAAAAGCCTTCCACTGCGAAAACTGTGTGTTTATTTAAATGTTTCATTGTTTTCCTCCTTCCATAGCGTTTATACACAGAAGCGTGGAATGCTGACAAAACCGCAATTCATGTCATGCCAGACACCCCAGAAATTTTACTGGCAAAAGCTAATTCTGCTAACGTTAGCCAGGTAAGTATATTTTAAAAGACATATCAAACAAATTCAAGATCAGAAATTAAAAAAGAACCTCTTTTAATGTCTGGTTTCTTTTTATGTATAAGTCCAAATCATAGCTTGTATTTTATGTGTTGTCATCTCATATATTTTGTTTTTCACTCTTTAGAAACTTTACACCCAAGGTTGGGAAGAGTCCAAGATGAGGGATTATGATATAAGAGCAGATGCAATTCCTATTCGAAGTGCAAAGACATCAAGAGATATTGCTAGTGATGTACGTGCTTCTCCTAAAGTTTATATAATTTTAACTTTATACTAAGGGATTTTCTCATTTTATTTTCAGTACTTTTGTGAAATAATTAAATATGCATTCTTTCAAAAGAAAAAACATAGGAATAAATTAATAAATCATTAAAAATAAAAGTATATCAAATTATGGTTATAAAAGTCCACAAAAATTCATACCATTGATACAGATAAGTGCAGAAAAATATCCTACCACGCACTGAAGAGTGTAACATTAAAATTATTGACATAAACAAACCTAAAATATCAATATAAATATTGATATAATTATTATTATACATCACATAGTATCACTGACAGGGAACTAGTTACGTTAAGTAGGCCATAGTCAGAGCTGATTTAAATTGGCCCTGCTGCAGTGCTTTGACGTTAATATACACAAAGCTGAATTATGCATCTGAGAATTTGGTCCGCTAATTGTTTTTTCTTGAATATGTAAAACATAACAGAACTCTGTTTCTGGTTTTAACAGTATAAATATAAAGAAGCTTATGAGAAACAGAGAGGTCACCATATAGGAGCCCGCACTGTACAGGATGATCCAAAGATGATGTGGTCTATTCATGCTGCAAAGCTCCAGAGTGACAGAGTGTACAAGAAACATTTTGAGAAATGGAAGACCAAATTCAGTAGCCCAGTGGACATGTTGGGAATTGTGCAGGCCAAGAAATGTCAGGAACTGGTCAGTGATGTTGATTACCGTCATTATCTACACCAGTGGACATGTCTGCCAGATCAGAATGATGTGATCCAAGCTAAGAAAGCCTATGAGTTGCAGAGTGATGTGAGTAAAAACAAATGTAAAATAAATCTTTTATAGGCATGTGTGTGCAAATATCTCTTTAAACATTTTAGAACAAAATTTACCCATTATGTACTTGGTCCTCCATAAAATATGTTTTTGCTCCAAATCAGGATGAAAAATCAAATGTGAAATTTTTCACAGGAAGGAATTTCAAGAAAAATAACATGTAGTGAGAACCAAAACAGAATTTCTCTGATTCTTGCCCCTACTTAGTAGGTTCTTTTCAATTTCACTTTCTCTCCCCCAGGCAAAAAGTGAAATTCTCCAAAGCCTTCCAGGCAGGTACTCAGGGAGCTGTCATTTCAATTCTTCTGATGGAGAATCAAAATTTGTCAGCAAAATTTAAATTTCCCCACAGAATGTTTTTGAGCATATGAAAAGAACATTTTCCATCAGAAAATCATTCTGATGGAAAATTCCTGACCTGATCTACTTGTTTTCCAGTCAATTTAAGAGTGCAAATGTGCATGCAAAAGGCTTACTTTCAAATATTGCAAGTGCAGAACGTTTTATGTGTAAGTAAGGAAACCCAATTCTATATTAAAAATGTATATACTGGTATGCAGCTGCCAAGTTAGTCTTGATTATTTGGAAGAGTAAGACCAAAGAGTGAATTGCATAGTAGATGACTCCTTTGACATACCCATTCTCTGCTCACATCCGGAGTTCGGACTAAGGGGTATTTAAAAATGGCGGCGCCTGGGAACATGCAAATGAAGCCTGGGATATTTAAATCCCGGGCTTCATTTGCAACTCCGCTTGCCCTCATTACCCTACCTAGCTCGAACTAACGAGCTAGTGTAGAAGTATCCTAGGAGAGAATGCACAAGTAGCTTGAGAGTTCCACTTAGTGAAAAGTTCTGTGCCTAGTGTTAAATGTTGCCTCCTCCCACTTATAGACTTTACTCCCACTTACACTGGAACACAACCTTAGGATCTCTGATACACACAGAGTTAGGGCTAACAGGATTAACACCAAAGAACTTTTGTAATGTTTAGCTTAATTTGTGCATCCATTTCCCACGATGAAGCTTGCCAGTTAATAGCTCCATGTGCAAATGTATTAATGGTGAAGGCTTGTGAAGCCATTGAGGCTTCCTCTTCAGATGAGAGCACTCTAGAATACATAAATCTGCCTTTCTCTAAATTCCAGTCTCTTTGGGGGAGCCCAAATTGAACTGTGGGTAAAGCATGTATAGTTGAATATGTAGTGATAGTTGGAATTGCAAAACTTTATTTAAATTTCCCAGTTGCCTGAAAAATTACAGTGATGGGGATGCCATCCTAATTCTGCTCTATTTCTTGGATGCAAAGGGGACAGATTAGCTTTTGTATCTGAATTTTTTTCCTGTAATTATTATATATATACATACGTTTGTTTTTGTAGAATGTGTACAAGTCAGACCTGGAATGGCTGCGTGGCATTGGCTGGATGCCAGAGGGCTCAGTGGATGTGGATAGAGTGAAGAAAGCCCAGGAGCTCATGAATGACAGATTATACCGTCAGCGGCCAGATGAGCTGAAATTTACCAGCATTGTTGACTCACTACCAGTCGTTCTGGCTAAGGTTAATTCTAAGCAGATCAGTGAGGTAAGCTAACTTTTATGATCTCATACGTTTTTCTGCATACATACAAACCTTTTTTTGATCCTTCACCTGTATTAAACATTCAGAAAGGATAATCCTAACATACATTATAATTTATACCATGAGATCAATTAAATTGAAAGTAACAGTATATAGCAAAGCCGTGGCCAACCCGAGGCTTGCGAGCCACATGGGGCTCTTCCCTTCTCCCCCGGGTACAGCTCATGAAGACCCCCCGCCCTCCGTGGCTTGTAAATCACCCCTACCCCCTCCAAACATGACCCTCTCCTCCCAGCTCCCTGTGCTGACCTGGGCAGGGGAGTCGTCCAGCGTGGCCATGAAAGATGCAGAATTAAACATAGTGGCGGGAGGTGGGAGCCTTCTGTGGCCAAAAAGCCTCAAAATGCGTTTTCTTAAAGGGGCAGAGGTTTTTTTTTTTTCTTGACAACTTTGCCCCAGCTCTTCACACTGGATCCACTGCTATCTTGGCTCTTTGTCCAGAATGGGTTGGCCACCCCGGAATAGCATCTTGCACACCGTTACAGAATAAATCTGTCTTTACTTTCTCATTAGCCTCTCTATCGTGAAGCCTGGGATAAAGAGAAGACACAGTTCACCCTGCCTGCTGACACCCCTCAGATGCTGCAGTCCAAAGTTAATGCTTTGAACATCAGCAATGTAAGATCTTTAATTAAATACATGTACTGTTATTGAAATGAACATTGCCACTCGCAGCCATCATTTTTAGCCTTCCCTGTTTTAGAACTCTCATCAAGGTGTTCCTGGTTCTAATGTAATTACAGATTTAGTATTTTTATTGTGAACTACTTAGTATTTTAGAATGTAGATGAAGTATTATGATTTGTTTGCTCAGCATAATGCATGACTAATGGGCGCAACATTCATGAAACAGAATAGCCCAGGTAAATGTATCTGGAATCAGAGACATTCCTCTCTGTTTGTTCTTTGAAGCCAATAGAATGTCATGCCTTATGCTAGCAGTGATTCTGACCCAAGATGTAAACAACATGGACTTGTTCTCTATCTATTTAACATTCATAACATCTATTTATCTCATAACATCTAGATCACCATATTGACTGTCTAGTTAAACATATAATGTGTTGATAAGAAAGGAAAGTAATACAACTATTTTAAAGTTTTAATATATACCTTTGCCTGAACTGTCAATTTTGTTTGAGGTTTGAACAAAATATTGTAGGCAAAAATTCCATGCAGCAAATATCAATTATGTTTTTGGGATGGGTGGCTTTGGATGAATACACATCAGGCACTGGCTTCCATTAAGTTAAATACCCCTGAATAATCTTGCTTCTCTAAGCTTTATTTGGACACCTCGTATTATTCTTACATGATTTGTATTTTGAACTTCTTTGGTTTGTTTTTAATGATTGGCTGTTTCAATGTTTTGAAAATAACTTCAATGTTGATATCATTTATGTAGAATATATTAACCCTTAGGTTTCAGTGCAAGAATGTTTCAGTGGAAAATGTTTCCATTGAAAATATAGCAAGGACTTCAAAGGAGATAATTAACCACTGACTTTTCTGTAAGACTAATACAAGGCATAATACAAAGAATATTGAAGAAAATGAGAATCTTTCATTACTTCAGTAGGCTGTGGCTCAGGCCCACGGTGTAAATAGATCTGAAATGCAGCTTCTATGGCCATATTCCTGAAATATAATATGGGGTGGAATATTTTTCTGCCCACAAAGAGTCTTATTGAAGTCAATGGGACTGCATATAGGGTGGGATATTTTTCTGCCCACAAAGAGTCTTATTGAGGTCAATGGGACTGCAGATAGGCACAGGACTCTTTATATCAGACTCCAGGTTTGGGACCTATATAATCAATCATGACATGTGTTTAGTAATGATCAGTTAAGGGGATAGAAATAATTTTTGTAACCCACAAAACTGAATGGACCAAATGAAAACATTCATGCTGCAAATCTCAGGGAAATGTGTTTTATGAGAGAAATAAAATCTAAAGTTGAATGCTTGGTTTTGATTACAGAAACATTATCAGCAAGCCTGGGAAGATGCCAAGATGAAAGACTATGACATAAGAGCCGATACCATTTCCATCAAACATGCCAAGGCTTCCAGAGACATTGCTAGTGAGGTACAATCTCTGTTTCTTATGTTTTATTTCTCTGAAAGGCAATGTCCATTCATCCCTGTATCAAACAGAGCAGACAACTGTATAGCTAACTAAACTCAATTCAAGTGCTTATGTATTAATTTATGAACAGAATGCTGCCTATATAATATCCTGCCTTGACCCTAGCCTTCAATTAGAACTTAGTCTACTTTGGTAAAATATTAACAATAACAGAACATTGTATTTTGTAGTTGTCCTATCAAAGTAGTCTCAGTAGAGATGTAGATAGCTATTTTGGAATACCCAATAAACTGTTATCCTACAAACAGTTTCAGTAATTGAAACACAGACTAAATTTCTGCTGCTCCTGATATATAATTCAAGGGTGTTATTTTTGTCATTCCTGTTTTTAAGTTTTCTGTTAAAATCTAAAATGCTGCAGTGCTTATAAACCTTACAAAGCAATTTGAATAATTAAGTATTGTAACAAGGGTTCTTTGTAAACTTTGCACTTGTGTGGCCATTCAGGAAAGATTCAAATGCCACCCAGCCGATTAACTGAGTGCCACCGCCACCAGAGCTAAGTTTCTACTTGTGGTGCACAGTTGCATATGTATTGGTGCGCATAAATTTTTTATTCTGCACATGCCTGGAAAAAATCCACATATGAATAGAAACAATCATAGGAAACATTGATGGTAACTAGTGAGGGAACATTTTTCTTTTCTCATGGTTTGAAACTGTTCAGATCAATGGAGCACATTTTCCAAAATCATTGGTGATTTTGGGAACCAGCTTTTGGGGGCCCAACACGAGACCATTCTTAAATGGTCTTGAATGTCAGAAGTGCTGATTGAATAACCTTTATGGGTTCTCAGGTATAGCACTCATAATCAGAAGTTGCTTTAGAACATGAAGACAGACAATTCATAGCACTTTCTCATAGACTTTAAGGTCAGAAGGGACCATTATGATCATCTAGTCTGACCCCCTGCACAGTGCAGGCCACAGAATCTCACCCACCCCTCTTAGAATAATCCTCTCACCTATGTCTCAGATATTGAAGCCTTCAAATACTTTGAAGGCCCCAAGATGCAGAGAATCCTTCAGCTGTGATCTGTGCCCCATGCTACAGAGGAAGGCGTCCTTCAGCTGTGATCTGTGCCCAATGCTACAGAGGAAGGCGAAAAACCTCCAGGGCCTCTGCCAATCTACCCTGGAGGAAAATTCCTTCCTGACCCCAAATATGGCGATCAGCTAAACCCTGAGCATGTGGGCAAGACTCACCAGCCAGACACCCAGAAAGTTCCCTATAGCAACTCCTATCATCCCTCCATTGACCTATTTCCAACTGGAAATGAATGGTCAATTAGTTACCAAGATCATGTTATTTCATCCAACCATCCCCTTATCATAGAATCAGAACTGGAAGAGACCTCAGAAGGTCGTCAAGTCCAGCCCTCCGCTCTAGGCAGGACCAATCCCATCTAAATCAACCCGGCCAGGGCTTTGTCAAGCCGAGACTTAAACACCTCTAGGGATGGAGACTCCACTACTTCCCTAGGTAACCCATTCCAATGCTTCACTACCCTCCTAGTAAAATAGTTTTTCCTAATATCCAACCTGGACCTCTCCCACCACAACTTGAGACCATTGCTCCTTGTTCTGCCATCTGTCACTACTGAGAACAGCCTCTCTCCATCCTCTTTGGAACCTCCCTTCAGGAAGTTGAAGGCTGCTATCAAGTCCCCCCTCACTCTTCGCTTCTGCAGACTAAACAGACCCAAGTCCCTCAGCCTCTCCTCGTAGGTCATATGCTCCAGACCCCTAATCATTTTGGTTGCCCTCTGCTGGACCATGCTAATGTTTTCTTTCTATATTTTGTAGTACAAATACAAGGAAACCCATGAGAAGCAGAAAGGCCACTATATTGGATGCCGAACTGCAAAGGAAGATCCCAAATTGGCATGGGCTGCACATATAATGAAGATGCAGAATGACAGAGAATACAGGAAGGCTTATCACAGTTCAAAGGCCAGAATCACTATTCCAGTTGATACAGTGTCTGTTCAAGCAGCCAAGCAATGCCAATCATTTGTGAGTGATGTTGACTACCGTCAGTATTTGCACCAGTGGACATGTCTGCCAGACCAGAATGATGTGATCCAGGCCAGGAAGGCCTATGAGCTACAAAGTGATGTAAGTAGGCGTGTATACACAAGTGTTGAAATATAAGGCACTCAACATGGAAGACTTGCTAGCCCCAAAATGTTCTGCAGTTCATCTTTCCTTCACCAGCTCTTCAGTGGTTCAGATTTGTTCCCAAATGTGGGTCTTAGCAGTGAATTCCCATTGTGTTTATTTCTGACCACTTTTAACATACTTGAGAGGTTGCCTTGGTAACTGTTGTGCTTTATATGCAGTAGTAAATTTCTACTGAGTTTGTGCCTATATGAGGAGGAATGTGGTGTGAAGACTGACAAGGATTTGTATGCTTTCTTTGAAGCATTTCCTTGTGTCTTAGCAATTGTGTGTCCTCAATGAACTCTTCATTACAGAGGGATCATGATGCTGATGCAGTATCTGATACCAATCTAGTTGATCTGTTTTCATCTCTGGAATGTCCATGAAATACATTTGCAAGAAAGCAGGGAGTATTTTGAAGAGATTAGGTTACTAGTCAGGGTTAATTGATTCCAGTCCTGGCTTTGCTGTGTGACATCCAGTTCTCTTTGTGGTTTGCTCCTTGGGCAGTGCAGAGTAGCTCATTGCCATGCGCTGACAAGAAACTTGCTTGTTACCTCCTATTAATTATATGTGGCTATGTGAAATTCCATTTGAAAAGTTAACCTCTTAAAATTACTTATAACCAGTTAACTGAGATCCCGTGGGTGGGTGGTGGTGGGGGGCGTTGTTTCAGCCCCGCCAGGCTGGAGTGACCCACCGCCTACAGCACAGCGTGGTGGGTCTGGTCAGGCTAGAATGGCCCCCTGCCTGAATTGATGATACTGGGTGATGCTTATCGGGTAACTGGTTAACCCTTTACTTCCCTAATTAATAATACAATTATATTTGTTTGTAGAATGTATACAAATCAGATCTGGAATGGCTGCGTGGCATTGGCTGGATGCCAGATGGCTCAGTGGATGTGGATAGAGTGAAGAAAGCCCAGGAGCTCCTGAATAATAGATTGTATCGAACGCGGCCAGATGAATTGAAATTCACTACCATTGTCGACACACCGGAGATTGTGCTGGCAAAGACAAATGCTCTGAATCAGAGCTCTGTAAGAAATGGGTTGCATTTGTGCTTGAGTGTCTTTTGAGTGTTATTTAAAATAAAAAAGAAAACGGTATGCTTTATTATAGGGACTTTCAAGATTTTAGGAGCAGATGTCCCCAGTAACTATTAACCAAAATACAACTGGGAAAATGTGAAACCATTTCTCTAATAAGGAATGTAGATTGTTGCACAGTAATTATTTCAAAGAAATAATCACACAATTATTTAAAATAATCTACCAGTTCCAGACTGTGGTTGTGGCTATCTCCCCCTGCATTTAGTCATATTTCTCTCTCACTGAAATCAATGGGTCTTTATATTAATATGGAAGTGAATTGGAATGAACCTTCAAAAAGGAAGATTGAGCAGCTGGGTGGTTTCTCTGTTGTATAAGAGTGGCTTTAAAGTATTCTATTTATAAGTAATATAAAATAGTGTAGATCTGTATAAAATGAATTTTTAAAATAACTTCAGTGCTTCCGCTTGTGAACAGTGCCACAAAACAACAGTTTGCTTTATTTAATGGTGTTTAAATAAACAAACACCTCAGTTAGAAAAGTATCCTGCCAGAAAAGCAACCTATCAAATCCAGTACATAATCCATATAGTTTTAAATGGAATACCTAGTCTTGTCCTTCACAGTACAGCTATGCCAAAGAATGGATGAATCCACTTCTGAATCTACAGGTTGGACCTCCCTGGTCTGGCATCTTTGGGTCTTGACTGGTCCCAGATGAGGGATTTTGCTGGACCAAGAGAGGTCATTTCTGGCCCCCCCTGCCACCATCCTCCCAACACTGGCCCAGCCCTCTGGCCTCTTGGTCGGCTCTCCATCTCCTGTTGGCCCCATTGTCTTGCCAGTCTGCTAGCCAGCTGCTACCACTTCGGCTCCAGGCCCCATCAGGCAACTAAGCAGCCACAGCTTTGGTCCCTCCTGGGCAGCTGGGTCTGTGGGCCCCACTGGGCAGCCACATGTCTGGGCCCCACTGGGAAGCCACACGTTGCAGCTCTGGGCCCTGTCAGGCAGCCATGCATTGTGGCTCTGGGCCCCTCTGGCAGCTGGGAGGCCATGTGCCCTGCCAGGAAGCCTCTTGCTGGGTCCCCTAGCCCCACTGTCATGTGCTAGGTTGCCCCCACTATCAGCTTGCTACAGGTGGCCTGCTGCCCTGTCAGCCCCACAGGGCTCCCTGCTGCTGGCCCTGCACCAGGATTCTCTGGTCCTGCAACATCCGTGCTGAACCACAGATGTTCCTGGACCAGAGAGCCCTGGTTTAGAGAGCTTTAGCCTGTAGTTAGACCTCATATGATTGTTGAGTTTCCGTCAGAATGAGCCCAGATCCATTTACATTGCAACAGTAGGCGTTTTGCCATTGAATTCACTGGGAGCTGGACTAGTTGTCCAAGATGAGAACAGATATATATCAGAAATGGTAAAGATAAGTTTTTCAACATTGTACTAAATAACTCGGTGATTGTGTTATCTTCAGGCTTTATATCGGGAGGTTTGGGATAAAGAGAAGACTCAGTTTACCCTTCCTTCTGATACCCCTGAGATGTTGCAGTCCAGAATCAATGCTGTGAATGTCAGTAAGGTAAGATATTAAAGTAAACATTATAAATGTTTTTATGCATCTGACGAAGTGGGTCTTTGCCCACGAAAGCTTATGCTCCTACACTTCAGTTAGTCTATAAGGTGCCACAGGACTCCTCGTCGCTATTATAAATGTGTTTATCCAAAATTACACATTATCAAGAAATAATGTCCATTCAGTCATAACTGAAGCCAGAGTCTGTTATGTATATTCTAATATAATCCTCTACTATATTCAAAGCTCAGCTATAAAGCATATAAATAGCTAATGTAAATATCTAAATGTGTACTGCTCCATTACAAAGCATATAAATAGCTAAAGTACATATCTAAATTCCAAGTAAATAAACTTGTGAGAGATTGTGATGTTGATGAATGAACTTGGACCATTGTACCCAAGTTACCACATATTATCTGAATCAGAACTTTTGGAGAGAAGGTAGCTTCCTACTGTGCAAAAGAGAAACATCATGGATTAAAGAACTCTGATCAGTTTTGGGCTTAATCTGTAAGCCTCAGTCACAATGGACAGTTTGGACAGTTTCTTTTCACGTAGGGCCAGGTATATCTTAGTAAATGTATTTTAGCACAAGTAACCCTCTGATAACCATAACTTATGCTCCCTCTCAGACAGCTGTGAAAGTGATCCACATAGAGGAACAGATTGGATTTTAAAGGGGATGTTTTAAATGTAAAAACTACTGTGATTATCATAATGTATACACTTTACATTTTATATTTTATTATAAAAAAATTGATGAAAATGTATATTGATTACCATCTATGATAAATACGTGCACTATTTCTCTGTGTGCATGTTAACATATTCACTTCATCCACAGAAAATGTATCAACTAAGCTGGGAAGAAGCCAAGGAAAAAGGTTATGACTTAAGAGCTGATGCCATTGAAATAAAACATGCCAAGGCTTCAAGAGACATTGCTAGTGAGGTACAGTCTCACCTTTGTTTGTTTGTTTGTTTATTGTGAACGTTCAAAAATGTTTTAAAACTACGCATAATTTTTAACAATGGATAGTACATTTTATATTTATAATCTTAATTGCTTCTTGTAACAGTTTTTAAAATATCAAATCATAGCAATTTCACTCTAAGTATAGTTAAAAGATCATAAGCTACCAGTGATTATGTAATAGACAGCGTTGACTGGATTATTTTGGAAATAGTTCAGGTACCTAAATATTTCTGCTGGCTCAGGCAAAGTGCTGAAATGCATCAGAAGTTTTGGGTGCTTCATCAACCCTTTGAAACTTTTGGGCCAAAAAAAGGATGGAAAATATGTTTAATATGTGCTTCTTTCCATAAAACACAAGTAGGGCTAGCTGGTAGCAAGTAGGGCTAATCCAACTTCTCCTGAAAGATTCCTGTGGGTACAGGAACCGGTTTTTAATTAGGTGCCTTGTAAAGAAACAACCCTTTTAGTTTACTTACATTTTAACAACTGAAAAAAAACATAGATGCTTTAAACAGTAGTTAAAGAAACATTTGTACATATTTAGATAGCCAATGAAAATGCTCATTTGTTTTTTTTTTATTTCTGTTTTTTTACACACGCATGATTAGTACAAATACAAAACAGGTTACCGCCAGCAATTAGGCCACTATGTGGGATTCCAAAGCCTTCAGGATGATCCCAAGTTGGTGTGGTCCATTCATGCAGCCAAGATCCAAAGTGACAGGGAGTACAAGAAATATTTTGAAAAATCAAAGACCAAATTCAGTAGCCCAGTGGACATGTTGGGAATTGTGCAGGCCAAGAAATGTCAGACCTTGGTCAGTGATGTTGATTACCGCAATTACCTGCATCAGTGGACATGTCTGCCAGACCAGAACGATGTGATCCAAGCCAAGAAGGCCTATGAATTACAGAGTGATGTGAGTATATCAAGATATAGTGCACAATAATTTCCAAGAATTGTGTTTTGTCTAGAAAGAGAATACCAAAACTCACACTGGATTTTAGCCTTTAAAGGTAGAAATATATGATGAATGATTTAGCAGGCATTTAGCTTAGGAATAAATATTGGCTTGCATTTGAAAAAAATGTTTCCCCTTCTTCTGTTTGACATTTTCTGGAAATTTCTGGTTCACTGGAATGCTTTTTAACTTTTGCAAACCAGGGTTTGCCAGAGGCATTTATTTAGGACAAGGAGCCGTGAAACAAAGGTGCCACATAAAAAGCATCACAGAACATTATGTGCTGGTTTTCAAACCAAAACAATAATTTTTGTTTACAGTTCCCTATAGAGTAGCCGAAATAAAATATGGTGATACAATTAATTTAGTATAAATTAAGAGAGTAAAATACAATTTATTTTTCTACTTGTCTGACTTTCTCTCATATAATTATACAAAAGAAATTATTTATTTTGGGCAAGAATGTGACTTGTCCTATCCTCTGTTTCTCAGTGAGGATGGTCTCCATCACTAGACACAGCATGGTAGAGGGAGGGAGGAAGGGAGTGATCAGCCTGCTTTTTTAATTTAATGGGCAGATTATGTGCAGGCAGGAACTAACATTGGGTGGTGAGAGTTTAAATTCCATTCTTCCCCCCAAATCACTGGCCAAAGCACATATGTTAATTGATACAGGTAGCAGATTAGATCTTCCCTAAAGTAAGGAGGGGATCAAAGAGGAAATTGTGATCATAAGAGTTACAGCTGTGTGTTTGATCTGTCCCTCGTGCAGTGCAGTGCACTACCTTGCTATGCATTGACAATAAACTCCCATGCTTGCCAGATATAACTAATAGAACAATTTTGTGTGTAGAACATGTACAAGTCAGACCTGGAATGGCTGCGTGGTGCTGGTTGGTTGACAGAAGGTTCAGTGGATGTGACAAGAGTGAAGAAAGCCCAGGAGCTCCTGAATGACAGATTATACCGCCGGCGGCCAGATGAATTGAAATTTACGAGCATAGTTGACCTCCCAGCAGTTGTCTTGGCTAAAGCCAATGCTCTGCAGATCAGTGAAGTAAGGTGGCCTTTATATTAACATTACTTTCTATATTCATACTGATATTTTTGTGGATCATTCAGTTGCATTAAAATTTCATCAAATGAGAACAGTAACACATATTCTAGCTTATATACCACGAGATAAATTAATTTGAAAATAATCAAATAATGCTATCTTTATTTTCTCATTAGCCTCTCTATCATAAAATCTGGGATAAAGAGAAGACACAGTTCACCTTACCTGCTGACACTCCTATTATGATGCAGTCCAAAGTCAATGCTCTGAACATCAGCAATGTAAGATATTTAAATAAAAAAAATACATAGTGTTATTTAAATAAACATTTTGGTATGCAATGTAAGATATTTAAATAAAAAAAAATACATGGTGTTATTTAAATAAACATTTAAATAAACAGACATAATTTTAAGCCTGCTCCATTTTACAGCTCTTATTATTAACTTCCTGGTTCTCACATACACAAAGGTATATTCATTTTATTATTTTGTATTTTAGAATGTACATGAAGAATTATTATTTGTTGAAGTGTTTTATGTGCTTAATTATCACAATTTTCATGAAGCACAATGGGCAAGATTCATTAATCTGGAGTCATTCAATAACGTGTTTTATCCGTTCTTACCTTTTTTTTGAAACCAATGGAGGTTCACCAACTTACTCCAGCAGGGATTCTGGCCCATGGTCTAAAAGTTGTTCTTGTTTGTCTGGTTTAATACACAATGAGTAGATAACAAAAATGAAACAGTGGCCATACAGTTTAGCACTTTGGTCTTGTGTACACTGTACTCCTTATGACGATTTACTGGTTTGAACAAGGAATTTTGGGCTTTCCCAGAGTGAGGGGGAAAAAAACAATAATGGCATTCTTTGACTTGGTAGAAAATGTTCTGTCATTGGACGAGTGAGAGACCACTTCAAGCTTTTGTTTCCATCTTACATACCAATTAGGTATTTTGGACACTTAACATTATTCTTACACAGTTTTTATTTTCAACTCTTGATTTGTTTCTTTTAAAATGGCAATATGACTAATTGTTTCAGAGCTATTTTAGATCTTTTAATACTGATTGCATTGATTTATAAGATCATATTAAATATTATGTTTTCAGTGTAAGTGCCAAAGGTTATGGGCCTATTACAGAAATGGGTAGGTGACGTTCTGTGACCTGCAATGTGCAGCAGGTCAGACTATATAATCATGAAGGTCCCTTCTGGTTTTAAAGTCTGTGAGTCTATATATACACAACAAAACTTTTAATGAGGTTATTGAGCAGAGACTCCTCTGTGGGTCTAATGCTAAGCATAATCTAAAGAACACTAAAGAAAATGAGAATCTTTCATAACTTCACTAGGCTGCTGATATGCAGATCTATGGCTACTTTCCTGTAATATAATATGGCGTGGGATATTCTTCTGCCCACAAAGAGTCTCACTGTAGTCAGATGGGCACAGGACTCTGTATATCAGACCCTCGGTTTGGGACCTGTATAATCAATCATGACGTGTTTAGTAATGATTAGTTAAGGGGATAGGAATAATTTTTGTAACCCACAAAACTGAACAGACCAAATGAAAACATTCATGCTGCAAATCTCAGGGAAATGTGTTTTATGAGAGAAATGAAATCTAAAGTTGAATGTTTGGTTTTGATTACAGAAACATTATCAGCAAGCCTGGGAAGATGCCAAGATGAAAGACTATGACATAAGAGCCGATACCATTTCCATCAAACATGCCAAGGCTTCCAGAGACATTGCTAGTGAGGTACAATCTCTGTTTCTTCTGTTTTATTTCTATGAAAGGCAAAGTGCGTTCATCCCTATATCAAACACAGTACACAATTGTGTTGCCAGCTAAGCTCAATACAAAGCGCTTATGTTGAAAGGCAAAGTGCGTTCATCCCTATATCAAACACAGTACACAAGTGTGTTGCCAGCTAAGCTCAATTCAAAGCACTTATGTAATTTTTTTATGAACAGCATGCTCTTAGGTATTTTTGCATTATTTTAAATCTTGACCCTCTTTTTCTAGTTGAAATTAAAGTTTGCTACAGTAAACTATTAATGATAACAGAACATTGTATTTTGTAGTTCTTATATCAAAGTAGTCTCAGTAGATAATTATTTTGCAATACCCAGTAAACTTTTATTCTTCAAACATTTACACTAATTAAAGGGAATTCTGAAATATTTTCCTTTTATCATGGTTTGAAACTGTTAAGGTAACGGATAAATATCATTTTCCAGGGTCATTGCTGATTTTGGGAATCAGCTTTTGGGGGCCCAACACAAGACTACTGTATTCTTAAATGGGTTTGAATATCAGAAGCACTCATAAGAACATAAGAACGGTCGTACTGGGTCAGACCAAAGGTCCATCTAGCTTAGTAGCCTGTCTGCCGACAGTGGCCAGCACCAGGTGCCCCAGAGAGGGTGGACCGAAGACAATGATCAGCGATTTGTCTCCTGCCATCCTTCTCCAGCCTCTGACAAACAGAGGCCAGGGACACCACTTCTATCCCCTGGCTAATAGTTTTTTATGGACCTAACCTCCATGAAATTATCTAGCTTCTCTGTTATAGTCCTAGCCTTCACAGCCTCCTCTGGCAAGGAGTTCCACAGGTTGACTACATGCTGTGTGAAGAAGAACTTTCTTTTATTAGTTCTAAACCTGCTACCCATTAATTTCATTTGGTGTCCTCTAGTTCTTCTATTATGGGAACTAATAAATAACTTTTCTTTATCTGCCCTCTCCATACCACTCATGATTTTGTATACCTCTATCATATCCCCCCTCAGTCTCCTCTTTTCTGAACTGAAAAGTCCCAGTCGCTTTAACCTCTCTTCATATGGGACCCATTCCAAACCCCTAATCATTTTAGTTGCCCTTTTCTGATCCCTTTCCAAGGCCAAAATATATGATGGAATACCCTTTATGGGTTCCCAGGTCTGGCGCTCATAATCAGTAATTACTTTAGAACATGTAGACTGACAATTCATAGCACTTTTTGCTAATGTTCTTTTTTCTATATTTTGTAGTACAAATACAAGGAAACCCATGAGAAGCAGAAAGGCCACTATATTGGATGCCGAACTGCAAAGGAAGATCCCAAATTGGCATGGGCTGCACATATAATGAAGATGCAGAATGACAGAGAATACAGGAAGGCTTATCACAGTTCAAAGGCCAGAATCACTATTCCAGTTGATATGGTGTCTGTCCAAGCAGCCAAAGAAGGCCAGTTAATAGCAAGTGATGTTGATTACCGTCAGTATTTGCATCAGTGGACATGTCTGCCAGACCAGAATGATGTGATCCAGGCCAGGAAGGCCTATGATCTGCAAAGTGATGTAAGTAGGCGTGTATATACAATCGTGGGGGGGTGGGGAGGGAGGGTGGAGGAGGGAGCAAACCAGATTGTAAAGCTTCTTAGACATGTTAAGAGACATGATAATAACCAGGGAGGATTTGTCTACCTCAAGACTTTCTGTAGTACATCTTTCCTTCCCCACCTCTTCAGTGGTAGTCAGTTTTCCCCCAAATGTAGGTTCTAGCTTATTTGTGGCCACTTTTAATGTACTTGAACAGTTGCCTTGGTAACTGTTGTGCTTTATATGCACTAGCAAATTTCTACTGAGTTTGTGCTTATATGTGGGAAAGCAGTAGGAAGACTGACAAGTATTTGTGTATGATATGCTTTATTTGAAACATTTCCTTTAGTGTCTCAGCAATTTATAGACGATCAATCATTTTTCATAATAGAGGGCTCATGATGTTTCTGCAGCATCTATTAGCAGTACAGTTTATCTATTTCTGTTTTCACAATATCCATGAAATAAATTTTTAAGAGAGCAGTGATAGTGTGCAAAAAATTAGGACTCATTGTTTCTGGGTTCCAGATTGATTCTGCTATGTGATACAGTCCACAAATCAGTTGACCTCTCTTTGCTTGCATTTGCCATCGGTAAAATGGGAGAAATAATGTGACATTTATGAGCATAGGGGATACAGTGGAAACTTTCAGTGTACATGCATGTAGCTGCACCAGAGGGACTATCTTACCTCAAGTGAGGCTTAAATTTCAAATCAGCATATTCTGGAATCTGGATCAATATATCTTATGCCTGCTTCTAGCCACTCTTCAAACAATTTTAAGGGTGATGCTGCCTTGCACCAGGCCTTCTCTTATGTAAATATCATCAGTTTTATTCCTTGTTACCCAGTTGCGTGTTGCAAGATGGGCAGGTAGTTTTTATGGATGAGCTGGTAAATTATCATCTTGATTGTTCAAAGGTCAGTTGCAAACAAATTGAGTTGGACTATTTGAGTGTCTTTTTCTTTCAGTAACCACCTCCATAGGTGATAGCTTTCCCTCTACGTAAACTCATCAACCATACTGCATATGATCACTTGATAAAGGCATGACAAAAATGCTCTTCTCAGAGTCTTTCTGCCTACCATTCTAGCTACATGCATTCCTGAGGTGCAAACCCCACAAATTCTGATCCTTGCATTGATAGATATTATACTGAAAAGGGTCAATAAAAATCAATGATTTTAAAAAAAAATATTTTTTGATAAAATTGATTTTTTAAAATGTTGCTGTTTTAAATTATAGTGGAGTTCTGTTTAATGCCAAAACATTTAAATAAATAATAAATATGCTGAATTCGTGAAATTTTATAAAAAACTTGCTTTATAAATATAGTATAAGATGTCATGTATCAAATTAAGGACTTGAATCATTTGGGGGAACCAGACACATCTGAAAAATTTCCTGTGCTGACCTGAAGTAATGAATTTAATTTACTCTTTCGAATAAATCATTTTGTAGTGAACGTTAAATATGTTTTGATAAGAAAAGGTTATTTATCTGACATTTAAGGTTGTTTTATTGAATAAAAATAAGGCTTATATGCTGTTTTATGGATTTAATTAAATTTCAGTTACCATTCTAATGTAGTTTGACACAAATCACGAGCAAAAAGTTAATTATCTAGTAATGAGTCAATATATCATTCACCATTTTCTAATATACTAAAATAGTATGTTACAATTTATAAGTATCTGAAATATTAAGATATAATTGCTTAAATAAATGTTTATAGTTATAGTGTACCCTTCAGAGGTTGCAAAAGGATGTTTCAATCTCTTCTTAATTGTAAATCAGCATGTTTGAATGATTTATCAGTTAATGAGAATACACCTTTATTTAGAAAATAACTGAAAGACAAATGGAAAAATTGATCAAAATCAATTATTTAGATTGAGATTTTCCTATTGGTGATTTAAATCACCCAATCTACTCTGTCAAAAGTACAAATTAACTTTATAAAAGTCAATAAAAGGGGGTTTAGTCTCCAGCTCTAGTGTGTTTAGTATTTTCCTTCCATCTACATTATTTAGTAAGGATTAAAGTAATGAAGGTGTTTCTATGGATAGTTATGTTCCTCTCTGTCCTTATCCGATACAGGCCTTGTATAAATCTGACCTGGAATGGCTGCGTGGCATTGGCTGGATGCCAAATGACTCCGTGGAAGTGAAGAGAGTGAAGAATGCCCAAGACATTCTGAGTGAAAAGATGTACCGCACACCCGTAGAAAGCTTGAAATACACTAATATTGTTGATACTCCAGATGTTCTCCTTGCTAAGACCAATGCTGCACAAATCAGCCTTGTATGTTACTTCATGCTTATTATATAAAACTATTTCAGTGCAATATATAATTAAAGAAAATTTCACTGCTAAAATCTTTAACTTAAACTGTAAAATAACTAGAAACAGGACTATGTATCACTTTAAAGACTGACAAGATGGTTTATTAGGTGATGAGCTTTTGTGGGCCAGAAACCATCACCTAATAAACCATCTTGTTAGTCTTTAAAGTGCTACATAGTCCTGGTTTTTGTTTCAGCTAGACTAGACTAACACGGCTATATTTCTATTACTGTAAAATAACTAGTGTATCTTGGAAACATTCCAAAAGTTTAGACTTTCAGTGTTGATAAATCTGGGTGGACTTTTGGCCCAGGGTACTGTGAAGTTATACAAAAGGACTAGCATATTTATTTATTTAACCATTTTTTATTTTCACAGCCCAAATACAGAGAAGCTTGGGATAAGGACAAGACTACGATCCATGTGATGCCAGATACACCTGAAATCAACCTTGCCAAAGCTAATGCTATTCATGTTAGCAATGTAAGTATATGTACAGGATTTCTTAGGTTTCTAAACGTTATTACCTATATCTTCTGAATTTTAAGATTCTGTAGTATTTTGAAAATACATGATTGAGCCATGTGGATTCCCACTGAAATCAGTGAAAGAGTCAAAGGTTCAATCCTCATGTGATGTTTTGAACATCGCCCCTCTATGAATATAATTTTTTAAGTATTTAGTCTTTTGGAAATATTTAAGTAACAACCATTAAAAGTGCTACTGATGATGATTTCCTGGTATTGCTTGAATATTGGCAATCTAGTGCAGTATTGAAGTCACACATTTTATTCATGTAAGAAAATTGCTAGCACTTACAAACTTTTCTTAAATCTTTACAAAACTGATTGCAGCACCTTAGACTATCTATACCTTCAGAGTGCTGAAAGTACTGTGTTGTATTGGCAGTAAAGGAACAGGTGACTTCATTTACTTCAGAGCTATGCTGAACAATACACAAGAATGACTGATAGTGAAGTTTTTTAATGCGGCTACTTTAAATGCACAATTGTTGTAGCATGTTTCGCTGATTGCACATGTCAATGTACTAGAAACATGATGGGCCAATTCTCTGACTTCACAGAAACTTTATAAAGAAGCTTGGGATGAAGTGAAGATGAGCTGTGATTTGAGAGCAGATGCCATCCCAATTAAGGTAGCCAAAGCCTCAAGAGAAATTGCCAGTGATGTAAGTATGGAAAGAAGGCAATTCTAGTTTTTCACATCCATTTCTAAAGCCTCTGAAATGTTAGTAATTTACATGGTGGTCTTTGCTTTATATCCAGTATAAATATAAATTAGAACATGAGAAGCAGAAAGGACACTATGTTGGGACTCCGAGTGCGAGAGAAGATAACAAAATACTATGGGCCCTGCATGCAGCCAAGCTTCATAGTGACTTAGAATACAAGAAGCACTTTCAGACGTGGAAGACAAAGTTTAGTAGTCCAGTGGACATGCTTCCCATTGTGGCTGCCAAAAAATGTCAGACTTTGGTCAGTGATATTGATTATCGTAATTACTTGCATCGTTGGACGTGTTTGCCTGATCAGAATGATGTGATACAGGCCAAGAAAGCCTATCAACTGCAGAGTGATGTGAGTTTACAAATATTCATATTTTATCTTCTATAATATTGTCTTCTCTACTGAATTCAGTTGGAGTTAGACTGGACTTTTTATTAATAGGTGTTAAGTTTTAAGCCATCATTGTTACTTCTTTAGCACTATAAGTATTATAGTTCTCTGCCAAACAAACTAAAAGAAAAGTGTCAGCTCACAGGGCCAGGGCCCAACAGGGTTGTATTGTAGATTTGCTTCAAGACAAAGTTGATTAGGGATAGTTGCTTTTATTAATCTCACTACATCACTACTATTACAGGCTTAATACTGCCAAGATGGTTACACAGCTATTTCAAAGTAACACGTCAATAAGCATAGGCAGAGCAATGCATAAAAATGAGCAACAGGCATTTGGAAATGCTTACGCCCCTTCAGTCTGTGTGGAGTCCCGTTCCTGTCACCTTGCACCAGGCCTCAGTGGAAGTGCCTCCAGCTGGGGGAATCCAGAGCACCCTCCAAGATCTAGGTCCCTGGTGAGACTCACTAGACATGGGACTCCTTACACTAGTTATACTACAGCTGTTTACCAAGTGTGTACATACTGGCCCAATGCCTCTCTCAATGTTCCCACAGGGCTGAGAACTGAGGTCATGTTATTTATCCCATACTCGGCTCTCTGCTAGCAAACATAGGGAGTTACAGCTGATGAAGGCAGTCTGATAAAGAACATCTGGTATTTTCACCAGCAGGGCTCATGGCTGGCCTAGAAGAATACAAATTTGACCCCTTCAGGCTTTTTGTGTGACAACAAGGTCCATAAAAGATCTTGCATTCAAACTAAGGCAAGCAAGGTACATGAGATAAACCTTAGGTCACAGGTGCTATAATTCTGTAAATATAAATGCATTAATTTTTAAATGAAAGGACAAGGTAATATATATTATTAGACCAAATTCTGTTTGTGAGTGAGACAAACTTTTCGAGCCACTTTTCCAATATCTTGGGACCATTATTGCTACAACTATGCTAGATACAATAATTAAGCAATAAGAAATAAAAATTAGGTAATTGCTGAGCAATAATATGTATCAAGTTGTTTTATATTGTATAAATGCAAAGGCAGAAAGGCTATAAATTGAACTGTATAAAGTAAAACAATACAATTAATCTTATGCATGTATTGATCAGAACATATATTGTTATGGTGTCATGGACAGCCAGTAAGAAAGCACCAATTGCACCTAGATATTTAAAGCCATTTAATAACAAACTGTATTGATCTCCTATGAATTACATTTTTACAATAAAAACATGTTTTGGCAACAGATGATCAAAATTTAGCTTAGATTTTCTCTGGTTTGAATGATAAAAGACAGAGCATTCTTAAAGAACACTACATATAAGTAGTTAGTGAAATTGATTGAGACTTTGTGTAACTTAATTACTTACCAGACTTACTATCAAGTTTAAGATCTGGCAAACTTAGGGTATGTCTACACTGCAAAGTTAATCCGAAATAACAGCTGTTATTTCGAATTAACTTTAATAGCATCTAAACATGCAAACAGCTATTTTTAAATTAATTCAAAATAGCAGAGTGTTTAATTCAAATTTGGTAAACCTCATTCTACGAGGAGTAACACCAAATTCAAAATAGGGGGCCTCCAGCCCTTCCCAGGGAGCTCTGGTGGTGCCCAGGAAAACTTACTCTCCTCTCCCCCAGCCCCAGAGTCATTAAAGGGGTAGACCCTGGCCACAGTGCCTGTGCCAGCTCCAAGACGGCCAGCCCAGAGCCAGCAGTGGCCACCGGAGCCCCTGAGCCAATGGCCCCAAAACATGAGCCAGCAAACAACTGGGAGCCAGCCCTCCACCGCTCCCCAGGAGCAGTCTGCCAGCTCCAAGCAGGCTGATGGGGCTGGAGAAGGTGGGCGCCTTCCTTTTCCAGGGTGGAGATCATGGACCTTATTCAGGTTTGGGGGGGATGCCCCCAGCGTCCATGATCTCTGCACTAGACGGAGGAACGTGGCTGACTATGGCAGGATAGCTGCCAGCCTGGCCACCAAAGGCCACATGTGAACCCAGGAGCAGGTTTGCATGAAAATCAAGTTGGTCCGGCGAGACCCCCAACTCTGGGCCCTGAGCTTCCCCTCCCCCTTCTTCCCATTGTTTCCCCCTTCCAGCTCCCTCCTCCCAGGTTTCCCCCTCCCCTCTCCCACCCTCTCTCTTCCCCTCTCCCACCTCCTTTTCCCAGTCTCCCCAGAGGTTCATTCCCCCTCCCAGTTTTGTTCAATAAACACAGTTTCTATTTTTGAACATACGTGTCTTTTGTTTGACATGAGGAAGGGAGGCTAGGGAGGGGTAAGTGGAAGGATGTGAGGGAGGAATGGAGCACAAGCCCCCGGTGGGGAGGACCCAGGTGGCTCTGAGGGCTCCTCGGGGCAGACACTCTCCCTCAGGGCCTCCTGGATCCTGACAGCCTCCTGATGGACCCTCCAGATGGCAGCCTGTAGCAAGTGCAGCCGGGCTGATGGCAACGACCCCATGAGATGCACCGGCGTGCCCAGGGGCAGCTCTGGCTCCATGTGGCCAAGTGCTGTGGTGTCCCGAGTGCGGGCACTCAGGGCACTCCAAGACAGGACTGCTTTGCTGTCCCTCATCGAGGTAGACAAGCAAGTGGGGAACCCTGAGAACTGTCTGTCCGGGGTGGAGGTAGAGTCCCTTTAAGCACGGAGCTCAGTTAGCCTCAGGCAGCAGTCCCACACACTAAGTCCTAATCTGATGCCCTGCTGGTACTGGTTCTGGCCAGCCTTAACTTCGGTTCAGGGTCCACTCAGTGTGGATGTGCTATTTTGAAATAGCAAAACACTATTTCAAAATAGTTTTTGTGTATAGATACATTATTTTCAATTAGCTTAATTCTAATTAACTATTTTGAAATAAATTAACTCAAATTAACACTGTAGTGTAGACATACCCTTACAGACATTGATATTAAGCCCAATAGCATTCACCTTGAAATCTACTAAGTGAAAGGCAAGTTGCTCAGACCTATATTTATTAAAGTGTGTCAGACAGAGAACTCAGACTGAAGATGTGGATTCTGTTTTCTTTCCCAGGCTGTTTACAAATCTGATTTGGAATGGCTACGTGGAATTGGGTGGATGCCAAATGACTCTGTTGGAATCAACCATGTCAAACATGTCCAAGATCTCCTGAATGAGGTAAGATAAGAATTAAATAGAAGTGTTAAATATTCACAAGCATGATTATAACTGAAAGTGTCTGTAATTTCAAAATGCATGAACATATTACTTTTACTACATTTTGTAAGAAGAAGCTGGATCTTTTCACTATATTTGTCTTGCATTAGCAAATTAAATATGGTCTTCCATATAGCTTTCTTTCTCTCGCTACATGGAATTGTTCTGTTTTGAGTATAAGGTACTGAAAAATAATTTGATTATAGTTTCGTTTTTTTCTCTTATACAGAGAAAGTACCGCACAAAAGCTGAATCTCTCAAGTTTACTCCAGTGGCGGACAGAGTTGATTATATCACCGCAAAACATAGTGGTGAAATACAGAGTGATGTAAGTATCTTGGTTTATTTTGGAGCTCTTGAATGTATCTGCAAGACTTTAGCTTTAAAAGGGAAAAAAGTATTTCAAATCACATTCCGGCCCAATACCAGCAGAGCCTTTGAATATGTGGGACTGATGAGAGTATTGATGAACTCATCCACTTACTTTGTGCTGAAAGGCCCTGGTTTCTGAAGAAGAGTGACCCCTCCCAACCACTGTGAACTTTGCAGTTTGAGACCCAGTATGAGCTGCTTATTTCCTGCATCAGTACAAATTGGATAATGACTCCAAAGGTGCATGGGTTTGGACCATGATCCTGGAGTTGCCTTTCCTACCTAACTTCCTCCGTTCTTTAATGTCTGTCTGTTTCACATCATGGGTGAATTTGGCTCTGAACATATAGGCAATTATAATCCTTATAATGATTTCATATGTATAAATGAAGGCTTGAATTACATTTTCTAAATGTGATGACTTTAAAATGCATTTACTCCATAAATCCTCTTTTGCAGATTAAATACCACCAAGACTGGAATGCCATCAAGTCAAATTACACTCTAACAGATACACCGCAGCAAGAAATGGTCCGAGAAGCTGCCAGAATTCTTAACCAGGTATGTGTGTTTTCCACCTTGAAATACTTGATCATCTGACAATTTTAAGTGACATCAAGAACTTTTTGGGGGGAGGGGGGGTGTATAATTTTTCAACTGATTGTCTTTCTAAGACTGCCCTGGAGTCAGCTTCTAACATTTTATATGGTTGCTTATCCACAGGAGTGATGCTTATCATGGTTTTATTCTTGGTTTCATAACTTTCTCTCGTGTTTTATTTCCTACAGAACTTATACAAGGAAAACTGGGAAAAACAGAAAGCTACTGGTTATCTTTTACCTCCTGATGCTGTGCAGCTTCGTCATGCCAAGCACTCCAGTGATGTCCAAAGCGAGGTAAAGATGTTCTTTTTAAGTAATCACGTGACTTCCATAGGATTCTGCTTGGGACCTGACAAAAAAAGAAGGCAAATGTTCAAAGCCACAACCTCAGCAATTCATTTTGAAAGGCTTCAGAGGAGCCAATCCCTATTTCACTGACATTCTCCAGCCCAATACCCTCTAGCTGTCTGTAGTATCTTGTTTTATCTATTACAGGGGTGCGACTGGGTAAGGCCCAGGTTCTGATACATTTACTCGCTTTTACCACCTTACTCCATGCATAGTCCCTTTGAAGTGAGCATAGGTGAGGGACTCAGAAACTGTCTCGAGTGAATAGTGAATGCTGTGCTAATGTGTAAAAGTGAGGGCCTGTTGTGGCACTGCACATGTGCCCAACCTTAATTTCTACAAGTAGAGCCACAGGGGATTCAGTCCATTGAAAAGAGAAGCCAACACACACATTAATCAGACATCATGCTCCCTTCTAATAAACAATTCATCAGGCCCCAGAGTCAGGTTTCCCAAGTTCACAGTCCTCACCAAAGACTAGTCTCCTGGTGACACAGACTCCAGTCTGTCTGACTTCTAATCCTCTCTTCTTCCTGTGCAGCTTCCTGTTCTTAGTTATATAATTCAGCTCCCAGGGCAGGGCAGGACCACTGTGATGAACCTCATGTTGTGAATCCAACCTGTCCCTTAAAGAGATGCTCTCCTTTTCCCCATACACCCTTTCTTGTAGCTGTTGCTTGTCAATAGCTGAATATGCACATTTCTAAATAAAACGATTAACTTTGCTCCGAGTAGTACTTTAAATACAGCTTGGCAAATTATTTATGCAATTTTTAAATTCTTTTTTTCAAACTATGCAATTGTTAGGGCACAGTAAGTATAAGGAGATCTAGTTGTGCTGAAGAAGTTGCTGTATCGCCTGTTTAAAAGGTAACAGCAGATTAAGGTAGATAGTAGCAGTCCCATAAAGAGGGAGGAGTATATATCTTAACATTATCGCTCACCTCATCCTGTAGCATACATATATTGTACTGAAAATGTAGATGTAATTAGCACTGTCTTGCCTATATGCCGAGTTCTGTCCATTCCTGATATTTAAGAAAACTAATTATACAGAGTAGAAAGAGAACAAGTAGGCTGAATAGTGTTCAGTGCTGACTTCTAAATATCTTTTCTCCTCCTCCTCACCAGCTACAATACAAAGCTGAGTATGTTAATCATAAAGGTCACTATGTTGGTGTTCCCACTATGAGAGATGATCCCAAGCTGGTGTGGTTTGAACATGCAGGCAAGATCCAGAATGACAGATTGTACAAATCAGCTTATCACAAATCAAAGTCTAATGTTCACATTCCTGCGGATATGGTATCTGTCTTGGCGGCCAAGGAATGCCAGACACTGGTCAGTGATATTGATTATCGGCAATACCTACATGAATGGACATGTCACCCTGACCAGAATGATTGCATCCAGGCAAGGAAGGCCTATGATCTACAGAGTGATGTAAGTAATTTCATATATATATCATATGCTTTTGATTCTTTGAGGGTTTATGTACATGGCCTATATGGCACAAGCTTAAACTATCAAAAGATGTCACTATGGCTTAACTCAAGCTTTTGTCTGTATTATATGTGTATATCTCTTTGTTTGTTTTCATATTTTCAGAATATCTATAAATCTGATCTGGAATGGATTCGGGGTTGTGGGTGGATCCCTCTGGACTCAGTGGAACACAGGAAAGTTAAGAAAGCCCAAGAGTTAATAAATAAGGTGAGTGAAAGTTTCCACAAATACAGGTTTAACTCCTATTTCCAGTGCATGGTATTTAAGAAGATTTTGTCATATCTCTTTGCAGAGAGCCTATATAAAAGAAGCCACTGATAACTATTCCAATTTCACGAGTGTGGCTGATACTCCAGATGTTGTTTTGGCAAAGATCAACTCTATCAATCAGAGTGACGTAAGCATTATTTATGAAACAAAATAATGTTTTATTAAAATTATTAGATGGCTTGATTATTATTGTTAGGCTGTAGTCTACAGCTAACACTATATAAATGATGCAATTTTGTTTTGTATAAGTGTTAAATTAGTGAGCAACACAATATTACTGTTCCATTGCATTTTGAATTTTTAAAGAAAATTTAACATCTCCAAAAATGTAATCCTGTTATGGGTGAAGCCAGTTTAGTATGTTTTATGGCACTTGCTGAATGTACAGGGTACCTATTGAAATATTTCTACAGATCAAGAGTTTTCAAATACTTAGAGTAATGTATGAATTTTTTGACAAAACATGATAATACTTGCCTAGGTTCCAGAGTATTTAGTGGGCACTAGCTCCTAAAATTTAGATAAGGTAGTACAACTGGCAGTAAACACCTGCTTCTCACAAGCAGACCAATTAAGTAATTCATTGCCTCTAAGTCATTAACACGGTCTTTATTTTCTTCTTTAGCTGAAATACAAGGAAACATTTAACCTTGATAGAGGCCACTACATTGGTTCTGATGACACTCCAGTATTGAACCACACCAGAGAGATGTCTAAGCTCTATAGTGATGTAAGATTTCCTAAACAGTATATCAAACAGATGGTTAAACTTAATATTTTTATATTTTAATGTTAACTGTAATTGCCCAGTGGATAGAATTCTGGACTGGGACTAAGGAGACTAAAGTTCTACTCCTGACTCTCCTACTGAGTCACCTTGGGCAAGTAACTTTCCTTTTGTGTCCCGTTTATGAAACAGAGATAATGGTACTTACCTTGCTTTGTAGAGTTCTTTGAGATCTACAATGAAAATGTTCTGCATGGGCTATGTGTATTATCAATATTTTGTATGTAGGAAAATGTTTTAGATTTTTGTGAAATCTCTGGGTATACTACTGATTAAACTTAGTTTAATTTATTGCTTAAAAGCCAAATTGGGAACCCTTTACTCACACTGCTGAATAGCTCCTTAACTTCAATAGCTGAGTTACTAAACCTGCATGGTGGGTAACTGATCATTGATATTATTAAAAGTTTTATAGTATAGCCTTTAATCATGTTAGTATTTAACACATGGTAAGCATCTGTCTGGAAAACACCTGCCACATTGTGTGAGCTACCATAAATAATACTGATAGGAGGCCTGGGAAGGTTTGCATGTTTGTGAGGCATACATCTGGCTATACATCTCTCCCAGTTCTAGCTAGGGCTTTTAATACCAACCTTCTTGTTTAAATTATGGAAGGTCCTTTTTTCTCCTTGGATATAAATATTAGAGGCCATAGCCCCAATTCAGGAAAGCATTGAGATTCATACATGTACTCAAAGTTACGCTCATGCTCAAGTGCTTTGTTCTATGGGGGCAGAGATTCTGATCCCATTATTCACACTGAGAAACGTCTTACTTGGGAGTGATCCTGCTGACTTCAGTGCAGCCACTTGTGAAGTAAATGGGGAAGAAGCTGACTCCACATCTTTTGCTAATGTGAATGTTTACTGGAAAATATTCTGTACACTTAATCAAAACCTAAATATGTTTTCTTGGTCTAGAAACGGTATAAGCATTCATGGGAAACTGGTAAGGCCATCGGCTATACTTTGCCTCCAGACTACATCCCTCTCATTGGAGCTAAACATGCTGATTATATTAACAGTGAGGTTAGTATGAATCTTTAAAAATGATATCCTGTCTCTCTTCCTTGTGGCATTGTGTACTTTAATGATCCCAACAATTTCCATGTAAATGTTCTTCAGCTTAAATACAAAGCAGTCTATGAGAAGCAGAGGGGACATTATCTGGCTGGGAAGCATATCTCCGAATTCCCCAATGTCGTTCATTCTCTAGCATTCCAAAAACTAAGAAGTGCGGTGAGTTTTTTTTTCATGTAATATTTTCTCTTTTCCATAGTTAATATGTGCTAGATTCTGATCCTTCAGCTAGCTAATGTTACTGTATTGATGAAATCATAACATTATTTTACCTTGGCATATGCTTTTCTGAACTATGGGTATTTAGGTAGGAATAAACAATTATATGTGAAGCTAGGAAACTAAGAGGAGAGATATAATGATTAGATATATTAGGATAGAGAAAAACATATGCTTTTATTGCTTGCCATTGTGTGAAATCTGTGCAGAGAGTGGTACTGTATTACTCAAGCTACCATAGCTTAACAGAGAATTCAGATTAGAGTTCAATGTTAGCTAGCAGCACTTCTATATCCTTGGCCTGTTTATTTTAATAGGGATTTAGCTAGACAGTGATACACATGCTAGTGAATCTGTTACCACTCCCACCTTGCTCATAACCTCAAAGGCACACATACAGTTACAAACAACTACAGTGCATGCACTTAGACAGGGAGCTCTAGATAGTCATATGTTAAATTGAGGTTATCTGGCTAATTCTGTAGTTGATACAATTCGTATTGACTACAAGATTAGTCGAAAGGACTGCTCTGCAGAGCCGCAGCGGGGGTAGCTCCAGGAGCTGGTTTGAGCCGGGACTAAGCAGTTCCAGCTCATGCCGGTTCCAGGAGCCACCTATATGTGGCTCTGCATTTTAAATGTAGTAAGAGCTGCCGGGACTGCTCAATCCTGGCTCACGCTGAGTCCAGCAGCTCCTCTTTACAGCGGCCAGCCCTGTTCACGGTGGACAGGGCTGACTGCGGCAATAGGCTGCTGCCAGAGCAGCCTTTACCCATGGGAAGCCTCGGCCCACTGCCAGCAGAGGCTGCTTTACAGTAGCCTCCCCTATCGCCCCATGCTGCCTCTATCAGAGGGCAGGCGGCAGGCAGCATCACAGAGATAGTGCTGGGGGGAACTGACTTTTAAGCTGGCTGCCCCCAGCACTGGCTCCTGTCTTCCCCCTTGCTGCTTTATAGAGACAGCAAGGTGGGGAGTGAGTAGTCAATACTCCAATTGACTACCCGATAAGCTTATACTTATCGAATAGTCAACTAGTCTACTACTTTCTAACATCCCTAAATAACAGGTCTGATGAAGAACAAAAACAGTTCTCATAACAACTAGAAATGTTTCCCCAGCCTCATAGATTAAAAGTAGTAGTTTGAGTTTAGAATTTTTTGTATTTTTCTAACCAGTTGTGTGAATCGAACAAGAGAATGGCCATTCCTTCTCGAATAGCACTGCAGTAGAATTAATTTGTAATTTTTAATTGAATAATTAAGTTGTTCTTCAGCATTATAGATTCAGTCCTGATCCCACTGCATCAATTAGAGTTCTGCCACTGAGTTGGAAGGGTGCTGGATTAAACCCTGTGATGTAGCCAGCAATCTGTTTATAGTCAGAACTATGCCTTAGACAGGGAGGCATACAGTTTTACTCTCTCCCCCATACTTCCTTCTAGCTGGCCTACAGAAAAAATTATGAAGACACCAAGGCAAATGTCCATATTCCAAGTGATATGTTGAATCACCTCTTGGCGAAAAAGTGTCAATATATCCTCAGTGATCTTGAGTACCGAACCTACCTTCACCAGTGGAATTGTTCACCAGAGGAAAATGATGTTGTTTTGGCCAAGAAAGCCCAGGAGATTTTAAGTGATGTACGTACCCTATGTAGTCATTCCAAGTTCTGGTTCCTTCACAAGTCTTCTGGTTAAATGAAATTTTTAAAGATTTAATAACCATGCTTCCAAATTACTTAGTAATATGATTTAATTGATTCTACTATACCGTTTTGAGGGGTGGGGTAGAGAAGCAATTTCTTGAAGGATTTTTCATGAACTTGTTATTTAGTATTTGGTTTTAAAATTAGGAAAAAAGTGAAGATTTAGAGGCCACTGGAGTCCACATTAGGGTTTCTTCCCCCATTGCCTTTGGGTAAGGTCCTACAGAAATACACAGAGCTGGTGCGGTGTGTTTGCTGTACTGCAACACTGCAGTGATCCTCAGGCATCATAATGCTCTCTTCAGGCAACTCTAATTTATGCAGGGGCCCACACAGCCCTCAGAAGCTCCTGGATTCAGAGGAGTGCCAATGTGGTTTACCTGTGCTGTGCCCTGCCCCCTTTGGTGCTGCACTAAGGATGGTGATCAATGTCCATTACACTGGTACAATTGACCAAACAGGTTGGAAAGCACTGGCTTATTTCACCATATAATTGTACTGTTAAATCAATGTGAAATGGGCCTTTTTACCCAAGAAGTTCTGAATACATCTTAGTGACCTGATTCCACATGCTTTGTGCTGCCACTTTTGTTTTGTTTTTTTCATATAAATGTCTATAGAAAAGGCTGAAAATAAAACAGACTATCTGTGATACTGAATGCTTTTCTTCGTACTTCTATATAAGCTTTCAAAACTGATTTTAATCAGTGAACAAGACTGGGTCATAGCCAGTAGCCACATTTTCCCTTGCTATGTGGGAGACAGGGATTTGTTTTGGGGAAGATGAAGTTAACATATGTCAGGTAGGGTACACATTTCCTGGGAACTCATTTGGTTTCTCTTCTCTGCAGGTTGTGTATAAAGACGACTTAAATTGGCTGAAAGGAATTGGATGCTATGTCTGGGATACCCCGCAAATCCTGCATGCTAAAAAATCATATGATCTCCAAAGCCAAGTAAGCAAATCTACCCCAAATAAGAGCTAGTGGGCCACATTTTTATTTCATTTCTATTTCCACCATAGCTGAGAGCAGGACTTGATGCAGTAAAGTATGCTTTAGATCAGCACACAAAAAAAGTCCCTGCAATGTTATCTTCATGTGTATCTGATACAGACATCTTCTTATTGTTGAGAAGCGCAGAGAACCTAGAACTGAAAAAGATACCAGTTTGCCAGAATTTGAACACACTAGTTTATTTTACTCTGAAGATTGTGAGATTGCAGTGCCTAAATGTGGAATTTTCATTTCTGAAAGTGTGTCATGAAGGATCAGCTCACAAGACTTCATGCTCTTAACCATTTCTGAATAAACATTATAATATATAAAGACCTAATTTAACAAAGGGACTAGATGGCAAATGAACCGGGAAAGCATGATGAAATTGATGGGGAAGTAGGTCTAGTTATTCTCAATGCTTCTTGTCTGTTTTCTTAGCTGAAATACACAGCGGCAGGAAAAGAGAATCTGAAGAACTACGGTTCCGTTACTGATACGCCACTTTATGTGACTGCGGTCCAGAGCGGCATCCATGCTAGTGATGTGAGTCCTTCCCCTTTTCCCATCCAGAAGCTTTCCCCCATTCCCAGAGATAGTTAAAATACATCAAATTAATCACTATGTCTTTCTTAAAGGTGAAATATAAAGAAAATTATCACCAAAATAAGGACAAATATACAACAGTGGTGGATACAGTGGATCATGAAAGAACCCAAAATCTGAAACATCTTTTTAGCAATGTGAGTGTTTTTAATTCTTTTGTTTCTTTCAAGGAGGTAGTGTACTGGGATTTATTTTGCTTTTGGAAGCTATTTCGTTCTATATGCTAGGCAAAATACAGTGTCTTGTTAAGTTGATTCTCTGTATCAAAGTACACATAAATTGGGGAGCAATTTTTGTAAGAGATTGGGCCCAAGTGGGATGAGATTTTGGACCTGTTAGTCTATAAGGTGCCACAGGACTCCTCATCGCTTTTGCAGATTCAGACTAGCACGGCTACCCCTCTGATATTGGACCTGATGGGTGATTATTCTGAACCAACATTTAGTCTCTCAGGCTTGAGTAAGAGTTCAGAGATCAGCAGGGGTTTAAGTTAAGCTACAGATGATTTTGATAGCTCTACTGCACTGTGTGTTATGTAAGAGTTTTGAAAAACATATTCAGTGATCTTTGTATTCCCACTCAGAACCTGTACAAGGAAGCCTGGGATAAAGTGAAAATCACTGGTTACAAAATGCCCTCTGATGCTGTATCTCTATCTCGTGCCAAAGAACTGAAGCATAATGCTAGTATTGTAAGTTAACAGAATATAAAAAAAATTAACATTTACTGTATATTTGTTTTTCACATGTATGTCTATACATAGGTACACTCTTAATAATGCAAGTACTTACTTCTCTCATGGCAGCTTAATATCTATTGACCACAACTTGGTTCTTGCTCTAAACAAGGCCCTTCTCAATATGTCTACCAACTACTTCAATAAAATATTGGCTTCTTATATACCTAGCCAAAGTTTGTTTTCAGTAACTTCTTTGCTTTTGTATTTCCAATTTTTAGATGTAAGACAACAGAATCTAAACCTCTGACTAGATCTGAATTTGAGCTATTGTTACATTGGGTGGATTTAACCACACAGGTTCCACCAAAGACATATTTCTGTGATTCATCTTTTTAATGAACTAAATTCACATTTTATGGTACTGTTGGAAAGCTCTTGCTGACAATAACTACACAAGACATATATCCAAGGGTCCTCATTCAGCAATCCATCCAGTGCAACAAAATATTTAAACTTGTGCTTGAAGTTGCATATGTGCTTAAGTGCTTTGCTTAATATAGATAGATTCATGCACATTCTTGGATGCTTTGCCGAATTGTGATCTATAAAAGATAGCTACCTTCCCCAAAATTTTTCTATCAGTCTTTATACTTATAGACAGCTGGAATCATTTTCCTCCAATAAATTAATCAGTTTGTTTATTCCTGCTATTTTACAAAATTAATCTGGAAGTTGTCATTATCTGTATGGCATTGCTCACTTCAAAGGAGTCATTCCCACTACAGTCTCCATTGAATTTTGCTCTAAAAATGTAGTTGTCTTACTGCAGAAAGTCATTTTATTTGCTTTTCTTGTCTGCTTAGGTCAAGTATCGGGAAGAATATGACAAGTTTAAAGCACTTTACACTCTACCCAGAAGTGTTGAAGATGATCCCAATACAGCAAGATGCCTTAGAGTTGGCAAGTTTAACATTGATGTAAGCATTTCTTTAAAAATTTAAGTTCTCCTGCTAGTCAATACATCCACATACATTCATCAAGATTTCATATTTAAATAAGTGTGGCAACTATTAATACTTATGAACCTTAGAAATATGTTTGTGTGACTAACCCTTTGGTAGTGTCTCTGTAGAACCAGGTCTACCTTGACAAAATTTCCGTATTAATAAGCCTACTTAGAACAAACATATTCATGTTATAACTTCTGTTGCATAGGAAAGTCAACCATTTAAAATGTTTCAGACTATTTTCTCACATTCTTAACATATTTTATTTTCATAGCGTCTGTACAAAGAAGTATATGAGAAGAATAAGGCCAAAATCCACATTCTTCCAGACATGGTAGACATAGTATCTGCTAAGGCCACACAGAAAAAAGTCAGTGAAATTGATTATCGCCTACATCTTCACGAATGGACCTGTTTACCAGACCTTCAGATCAATGCTCATGTTCGAAAAGTCACTGACCAGCTCAGTGAAGTAAGCCTATAATTATATTATGTCACTGTTCAACTTTCAAAAAAGATTTCTGTTGTTAGAGTCTGTCTATTTTAGGTGAAATTGTGCTTCAGAAAAAAATGTTAGAATGTCTGGAGATTTTAATATTTGTGTATTGCGATATGCCCACACATAACAGTTGTCCAAGACTTTGCCTACCCACAGGTCTTTAACTTAGATCAGACTGACCAGGTACTGTTGACTTTTTCCAGTGTTAAAATAAGATCACATCACTGCAACTGTAGTGATCAGCCAGTTCTCCAAACTGCTTCCCATGCAATGTCTATAAGCTACCCAAAGTAATTAATCAGAACTGCTGGGGACATTGGACATTTGGAAGCCCCAGGTCGGATGACCCAAGCAGCAAAAGGCTCTCCATGATTGTTTTGTTTCTGCAAATCCAGTGGCCTGAGTAGAACTTGCAAGTGTTACTGGTGGACAGTAGCTGCTACTAGGGATATAAAATCCTGTTCAATTGGTTAACCGGTTAAACATAGTGGCTACGTCTACACTGGCCCCTTTTCCGGAAGGGGCATGTAAATTTCACTCGTCGTCGTAGGGAAATCCGCGGGGGATTTAAATATCCCCCGCGGCATTTAAATAAAAATGTCCGCCGCTTTTTTCCGGCTTTTAAAAAAGCCGGAAAAGAGCGTCTAGACTGGCCCCGATCCTCCGGAAAAAGCGCCCTTTTCCGGAGGCTCTTATTCCTACTTCAAAGAGCCTCCGGAAAAGGGCGCTTTTTCCGGAGGATCGGGGCCAGTCTAGACGCTCTTTTCCGGCTTTTTTAAAAGCCGGAAAAAAGCGGCGGACATTTTTATTTAAATGCCGCGGGGGATATTTAAATCCCCCGCGGATTTCCCTACGACGACTGCTGAAATTTACATGCCCCTTCCGGAAAAGGGGCCAGTGTAGACGTAGCCAGGGAGTACAGGTGGTGGGGGGGAGAGAGGGAAACTCTCCTGGCCCCACATGGGACTGGCAGAGCCAGCAGCCCCATGCTGGGGTCTGACAGGGCTAGAGCAGCCCTCTGCTCACAGCTGGCCATGAGTACAGGCTGCTCCCAGGTACCGGTTAACCATTAGCCCGTAAGCATCACCTTCCAAGGATAATACTTACCATGTAACCAGTTAACCAATTACCCATTCACATCCCTTGCTGCTATTCCATCCAATATTTGGGTGCAGCCCATTTACCCTGTCTATAATGCAGGTAAAGTGAATTTAGTCCATGGAATAGATCCACATATCAAAAAAGTTTAGAATTACAGGGTTTTTTTTCAGTACTTCTTGCTTTTTATTACAGCTTTCATACCAATAAATATAACTGCTGCAAATAAGTTGTGACAATTCCTTATATTAGCACAGGTTTATGATCTCTCTGAAGATGTTCGTGTTTTCTGCGTAGTTCCAGAAAATACACATTTCCAGTCAGTTGCTTAGAATTTTTTAAACTATGTTCTGATTGTATTTTGTTTTTAAAATCACTCCAATTTTTTAGGGGAGGGACCCCAAAATCTGACACACACAAATCATCTGACTTTTGCAAAATTGCTTGGATTTTGAAATGACCTATGTATAACTCATTTGAACAGCAGTGCATCATTATGCAAAATACAGATTAGTTGGAAACCTTCCCATCAAACTACTTCTAATTGTACAGGCTCCCTCACCCTGTATCCTCAGTTCAATTAAGGGCTAAAAGAGCAAATAATGCTTCTTGTACCAGGGTCCCGACAAATTAGTGTCAGAACACTGGGGAAAATATTTACTACTGAAAGCTGCCAGCTATGGTTAGTGTATAAGGGATTAAGATGTAGTGAATTCTCACACACTCCTTTGTTTTCTGTAATACTCTAGGTTGTGTACAAGGATGACCTCAACTGGCTGAAAGGCATCGGCTGCTTTGTGTGGGATACTCCTGAAATTCTCCATGCAAAACACGCATATGACCTTCGTGATGACGTAAGTCTGAGCTGTCTCTAGTTTGGTTCTGCTTTTCAGTTTCTTTCACATCTAGTCCATCTCACTCTTTAAATGCTGTATACCATGAAGACAAAGTCTGAAAGGGCATTGAATTGCCTCCTCATATGGAAATGTACAGACTCATCTCTTTAAATATTATTGATTTGCATTAATTAGATGTTGTCATATAGGTGTCCCCCCCCACACACACACACAGGAAAGCACGTAAGCGTTTGGATTTTCAGAAAAGTACATAAGAATTAGCTTAGATCTAACTGACCTCAAGTGAGGCATTCTCTTTGAATGGGACTGTTTTACTGAATCAGGGCCACTCTGCTGTGTATACCATATAGCAGCACTGAATGAAAATTAATGCAATCTAGAAATAGTGTAACATTGATTTTGATGAATCATTTTTTGCATGCAAATTTTCTTTGAGGATTAAGTAGTTGAAAGATTTGTGGATAATGGTTTTGATCATATCTCCTTAAGAGTTTTTATTTAGAATATTTGGGGCTCATGGTTTTATGTGGTACATATAAATATTAAATAATGGAATAACTTGTGTATTTTAGTGTTCCTAGAGTGCAGTGCTATAACTGGTTTCGGTTCTTTTTTTGGGGGGGGGGGGGGACTCTGGTCAAATGTATTATTTGAATACTTTTTCCTTTTCTTTTTGCTTAAATATAATTTATTGAATTACTAATATTGTGCATAAGCAAGTTGTTTAATTAAACAATTTACACTTGGAAAAATCAACTTGTTTTATTTCTTTCTTCAGATCAAGTACAAATCAAAGGCAGAGAAAATGAAAAATGACTACACCATGATCACTGACACCCCTTACTATGTCCAGAATGTCATTAGTGGCAAGAATCTGAGTGATGTAAGTATTTATTACCACTTTTTATGCCTGTATTATACATATCATGGCTCAATAATTCCAATAATATAACATGTAATTATGTATTTGAATAATCTCATGTTAGTTCACTGGCATCCTTTGTTCTATCGTCAATAGAATAGTAATCAACATCTGGTTTCATCAGCATGGCAAGCACATTCTACTTGGACATACCCTGAATGTGCAGCTTTTCCCTCCCATATGTTTCAGCTGATAAAAATGAAACACTAACTGACCCACAATAGTGAGAAAACACATATCACAAACTTCTATCAATAGGCTAATTGTTCTTATTTCCTAGGCTGTCTATCGCCATGAATATGTGCATAATATTAGAGGGAAATTGACCCCCACTGATAAAACAGTGGACTTGGTACGGGCAAGGCATGCTCATAAGATACAGAGTGAAGTAAGTATCAAGTTTTCTTTTCTAATTGTATGCCAAAGAATAATAGTTGTAATCTGTTCAACTCTGTTGGAGGCTGTGAATGTAGATTTCGGATTTACAAAACTCTAGGGAATTCTCACCATTAGAATGTCCGGTATGATTGTACTCTGAATGCAAACCTTTCAGAGCCTGAGACCAGTGTCTCCTTTGCTCCCCTCCAAGACTGGAGATCCAGAATACAGCCTGTTCAAAACCAGCTAGAAAGTCATCTACCAAAGACCCAACCAGCATATCTTTATTGTATTCTGGGTATAGACACTGAGAGTTCATTTTCCTTGTATCTAAAACCCAGCTTATATGACAATTTCAGCTTTTCCTCTGTCCTGTCATGGCCAGACTGTTTTGCTCCTAAAGTATATAGAAATGTATTCCTGATGTATTATCTCTTCTATGTATGCCTCAGATGATCTCAGTGGAGTTAAATCGGGAGGATTTGATATACTGCAATGAGGATAGTTGATATATAATACCAATAAACTTCCTCACATATTTTTTGTAATTGTAACTCTTATTTTTCCTGCAGAATCTATACCGGGGGGCTGGCTTACATGCCCTTCCTACTGGATACAAACTCCCACCGGATACTCCTGGCTTTAAGCTTGCTAAACATGTCCAATATATTGGCAGTGATGTAAGTAATATATTGAGTTCTTTTAAGATCTGATTTGCAAGAGACTATTTGGTGATCTCTAGGCATCATATGTGAATGTACAATATTGCTATTGGAAGTTGCTATGTAGTTATGCAGCCAGTTATGTTTGCCCCATGTATTTGTAAAAGCTGAGGAGCTATACAGAGATCTGAACATTTTGCTGTCATGACATAAATTTCCTTCTGATATTTATACCTTATCAAATGTATGAGAAGTGAAGCAAAATAACTAATCTCAATAGAACTAGCTCCCCAAAGATTAGCCTCTGCTACATAATTTTTAGTCACAGAATCCAGATGTGCTGTGAAATATTTGTTATCATCGTGTTTATCCATTAAAGATGTTTGTGACTTATTTCCAGAGTTCAGGATTCAAATGGGTCCCATTCGGGGTTTGATTTAACCCTATGTCAGTGGGAGCCATATTGACCTAAGAAAAAGTAACCCCTGTGGATGAGCAGGTGCTCTTTGGATAATCAGGATGATCTAGTAGGAAATTGTGGCTTTGATTTATGCTGGGGAACCCTATCATGGAGAGAGCTGAATCTGAACATCCCTTGGAGTTTCTTTCCCTTTTCACCCCAATCTTTAAAGGTATTTAGGTGCTTACAAATGCATAGAGATGCCTAGCATGGTTTTCAAAAGTGCCTAGGCACTTATTCTCATCTAAATACCTTTAAAAATCTGTCTCTCTGTACGGTTCAAGCCATCTTCAGGGTGGATTTTCTGTCAGCAAAAGCTGCCAAACCCAAAACCTGAATGTCGTTTATATTGGCTGTAAATAGTAGTAGAAAACCAGACATTTATTATAGATGCAGTCACAAGTCAACATCATATGTGACTGTTCTTATACCCTTTTATTTTAAACCTTTTTTCAAATCACAGCTCAAATACAAAGAAGCATATGAGCACATCAAGGCTAAAGGCTACACTCTTGGACCCAAAGCTGTTGGCTTTGAGCATATAAAGAAAGTGAATAAAGTTCTTAATGAGGTACTGTAAATGTTATTTTATATATTTATGTATTAATGCATCATTATTTGATCTTTCCAGTGTATAATAAAACACATGACAGCATAATTTTATAAAACAATCTGGATATTATTTAATAAAAGCTGTTGAGAAATTGATAGGTCTTGGTGCTAGTGAGATCCATATTTTTGGCTAAAACTTGCAAAAAAACCCCACACGTTATTTGAACAGGACTATTCATATACTTAAGTTAAGCATGTGCATAGGTGTTTGCGTGATCTCGGCCTTAAATTCTCAGTAACACACTTCCAAGATATTAATAAAATAGTTGTTGTGAAATTTCTTCACTATATAAGAACCAAACCTTTCTAGTAAAATGGTTCCATTTTTCCTGTCCTTTTGTACTATCTAGTACATGGAAGTAGAAGTAAGTCTGGGGTTAACAGAGTAATAGCGATTTATTTTCTACTAACCAGGATGCTGAGTTTGTTTTAAGAGTTGTTTTTAACTCATGGAATATTGTCTCTTTTGGTGCAGAGGCTTTATAGGGAAACATACCACAAAAATAAGGACAAGATTCACACCACCCCTGACACACCAGAAATCCGCCAAGTCAAAGCCACACAGGAAGCTATTAGTGATGTATGTCTTATTTTTCCATTTGATAAAAAAGAGAAGCTTGGTATATTCAGCATGATCAAAAAAGTATAATATTTTCCTTTGTCTTTTAGTTGATCTACAAGTCCGATTACTTTAAGATGCAGGGACATTTGATTTCCTTGCCATACACCCCTCAAGTGATCCATTGTCGCTATGTTGGAGATATCACAAGTGATGTAAGCAAAGATACTTTGCCTTTGGATGTGATGGGCCAAACTCTCTTCCTGTTCATACTTGTGTATGTCAATGGGAGAAGAATTGGGCTTGATATTTAAATTATATACAAGCTAAAAAAAGTCACAATTGTGACTTTGATTTATTTACTTTTTCCCAAAAGGATCTACGTTTAATTTTCTCATTTTCTGATTGCTTCACAGAATAAATACAAAGAAGATCTACAGTGGTTAAGGGGCTTGGGTTGCTTCCTATATGATACTCCTGATATGGTCCGTGCTCGTCACTTGCGGGAGCTTTGGGTATGTTCTTTTTTCTTACACATAATTTAATATTGATTCATTATGTATTGATGCACAGTTGTCAAGATGATCTATAGTAAATGCTACATCAGAATGATTAAGGAACTCTGAGTGTTTTATGTCATGCAATTAGACAACCAATTGAAACGATTGGGAACAGAGTGTGATGCTGCTATAGCACTGGTTGTCCATGTTAGATTCCCCAGTTTATTTTCTATACACTTCTGAGAATAATACAGCTTCCATATATATTGTGTTTATTACTTTTCAGTCTAATTATGTGTACACCAATACCGCAAAGAAGATGCGGGATAAATACAGTGTGGTTCTGGACACTCCGGAATACAGGAAAGTTCAGGAGCTGAAGGCACATTTGAGTGAAGTAAGCATTGCATTATTTTATCTTTTCACGTCAGCAAGGATCAAATTAATCTCAGATCATTTCATTGGCTTTCCTGATCTATTTTAGACCTTGTCCTTTCCTTGCTTTGATCAACTAAATCCTATTTGAACACTTATAACAAAGGAAATAACTGCCAGGTTGTTTTGTCTCCTTCTAGGTTGTTTACCGAGCTGCAGGCAAGAAGCAAAAGACGAAATACACGTCAATCCTTGATACACCAGATTTCTTAAGAGCCAAGAAAGGACAGAAAATACAGAGTCAGGTGAAAGTCCTTCATTAATAGAACAGAAGCCTGGAATCTGTCTTGAATCCATCTTACTACAGGTTGAACCTCCCAAATCTAGGACTTTCTGGTCTGGCAACATCTGTGGTCCAGCAAGGCCATAGACATTGTTGAACCAAAGAGCCCTGGGAGGTGGGGTGGAGCCAGCTGGGAGAAAGCAGGGTCTGCGGAGTCCTGGCTGGTCCATCAGCAGCTAGGCAGGAGAACCCTGGTGTTAGTGGGATCAGGCAGCTGGAGAGCTCCTGGCAGCGGAACTGGCAGTGGCTGGGCAGCCCCAGCCAGGGAACCCCAGCAGCAGGATTCCTGCAGAATCTATATCAGGAGGCTGGCTTACATGCCCTTCCCATTGGATACAAACTCCCACCAGATACTCCTGGCTTTAAGCTTCCTAAACATGTCCAATACATTGGCAACAATGTCCACACAGAGGCCCGGGAGCCCCAGCCAGGGAACCCTGCAGCAGGGCCAGGTGCCAGCTGACCACAGCAAGGGAATCCTCAGTGACAGTGGGGCCAGTGAACCCCAGGAAACCTCTGGTGCCAGCTGGACTTGGCTGCAGCTGCTGGGCTGGTTGTGTCCAGGCCACCTGGAGCTGGGGAACCCTGAGGAACCCCCGGAGGTAGCAGGGCAAGCAGCAGCTGAACAGGGCTGGTAGTAGCTCGGTGGCCCTGCCTGGGGAACCCCGGCTGGGTCAGCATTAGTGGGGCAATGGCAGGGTGCTGCCTTGGGAGGTCCAGCCTGCGTACTGCTCCTCCCAGCCCTTCTCAAGTCCATCTAGAAACCTTAGGGATGACTTGTAATAACATTTAATACACATTTTCAAATGGCAATCTGATTCTCAAGCTCATGGGTTTCTTTTAACACACATGTGCAATTCTGTTGATCTGAAGGACCGGAGATCTTTATTAGACCCAGTGCTGAGGGTGGGTGGGGGCACAAAGAAGTCAGTTGCCCCAGGGCCTGGTGATTTAAAAGAGATTGGGGCTCTGGGCCACCATCACTGCTTCTGCAGCAGCAGCGGTGGTTGGAGCCCAACATGGTGTGGTCCAGGCAGCACTGAGGGCTGATTGCCCCTAGCCTGTCCCTTCTGTCTGAGGTGCCACCCTTCCTGGGGGCCCAGAGCTGGGCCTACTTTACATTGCCCAGGGCCTGGTGAAGTCTGTTGCCAGCCCTGATTAGACCCAAATAAAATTCCATTCAAATTGTGTAAAATCCCACCTCAGAGAGAAATCTTTCTTTATTAATGGGTTCATTAGCCAGATAAAGTGCTGACATTTTTTAACTGATGTGCAATTGATGTGAAAAACCTTGCTATCCAGTTTAGGACCTGTAGGTCTATCATGTATGTGTGTCCAAAGAGTTCCTTCTCCCATTGTGCATAGGGGCCAGCTCCTTGCATTTACTGTGTGTGAAAATTACCCAGAGTGGCTGCAGCCCTCACTGCCTCAAAATGGGCCAAAACCATGACCTCTCCTGCAATGGCTAGCACCAGGTGGACTCCCTTGCTTTAGCACTTCTTTAAAGTTATAAATCCCGCATCTGAGCAATCTCCCCTAAGTGTCCCCACGAGGTGCTGCCTGGCTTTGCTATCTGTGTGTAAAATGTGTGTGCTAATCCTGGTGCTATATCTCCCTCTACCCTCAGTGCTGCATGTGGTTCTCAAAATCAGAAATGTACCTTTAATTAGTGCATCTGCCAGAGATATTAATTTACACTTGGGTATGTTCCCGATAGCTTTTCCAGTTACTGAAAGTGAAACCCTGATCTTGTAAATCAGATTTTTTTTTAAAGATGGCCAAGAATAAAAACTCCTAGTAAGGGCTGTGTGATGGTCACTTGTAGGAAAACTCATTTGATTTTGATTTATAAACATTTTCCTGGCATTTATGGATTAGCCAGCATATTGAGATGGAAGAAGGATAAGGTGAGGGAGTGCTTGGAAGAAGAATGAGCAGATTACATTTCAAGATATCTCTGTGTGTAAGCATTTTCAGTACACAGTCATTTTGTGGGGCTCCCATAGTAAAGTTCATTTGAAACATATTTTTCAGTGTTTTGTTTTTCTTCCCTTGTCACAGTATCTGTACGTAGAGCTAGCCACCAAAGAAAGACCCCATCATCATGTTGGTGACCAGACCCCAGCCTTAAGGCTTGCAAAACATGTGAAGGACATGGTCAGTGAGGTAAGATATCTACTCTCATTTTCAGCACAGTTAACCTATCTGAAGGTTTCATTTCTAACATTCGGGATGGGGGGGCATAGGGGTAACAGATCACAGCTTTATTTCATTTAAAATCTTCCGATTCTTACATATTACATGTCTTTGTACGATCCCTGGGTAGCTTTACATTTAATATATTATTCTAAAACATTAAATGTTTTATAAAAGTGAAGAATCATCTGTTTCTAAAGGCATGTCTATAATATTGAGACTTATGAAGCCATGGAGATAGGCTTTTGCACCTGCCCGTCTCCCCAAACAAAATAAAATAAACCCTTTAAGGGCTACAGTTAAAGAATCAATGAAAAGTTGAGTTTGGAACAGAGGCCGGATCATTTGTTTATTGAAAGTAGGCAAATGTCATGATGCAAAACTACTCATTAAAGAGCAGATTGATTAGGATCTGGTTCTACAAGATGCCGAGCACCTTTTGGGAACTGCTAAGTAACTTCAACTCCCATTGACTTCAGTGGAAGCTGAATATACTTAGCGTCTTGCACTAATGACTGCTCAGCAAAATGTACTAAATGTAGCATCCCTGGGTGCTAACACAATCTCACTTGAGCAAATATCCTTGAAACTAATTATATTTGTGTTCTTTTCCCTTCTGCCATCTGACCTTAGAAAAAGTACAAAACCCAATATGAGAAGATGAAGCACAAATACACAACTGTCCCTGACACTCCGATCCTCATCAGGGCTAAGAAGGCTTACTGGAATGCTAGTGATGTATGTATTCCACAAACACCATCACTGACACTTTTTCTCATCTTTCGTAAAGCAGAAAACGAGCTAGGGAGAATGAAAACATGGCATAATATAAAATAAAAATGCCTGTGCATCTAAATCCCACTATGGTGCATACTGTATCTGTCACTCCATCTCCATGCTGATCTCAAGATGTCAATCTTATGTTCAAATGCGCAAAAGAGAGAGAGAAAAAAGTTGGGATGAAATAAATAGCTTCCCCATATGACATCTACAAATAATGTAGATTAGAGCATAAGTATTGATTCTGGAAGCAAGCACAGAAATGCTTTCACCCCCACTTCTTCATCTCAGTGCTATTTGAGGAATAAATCTCAATCCTCATGAAGAGGGTATCCCCTTTTACTTGAATGCAGATTCAGAAAAATCAATATCTGTCTGAGCTGACCTGGGTAAGGATTTGAGGATGAGATTAGCTTTTGTTTCAAGTGCGGAATAATTATTTAAAGTTACTTGTAGAAGGGTTCTGCTATTTAATGAAATCCTTGGTGTACATTTCTGATTACAAATTGCCTCCCAGGCAATTAAAAGCCTGGCCCATATATATTGGGCTGCCCATCAGGTCAACTTGTTCAGTTGCTCATGTGCAAAACTTGAGCTCTGCACTAGTGATTGTGAGCTTTTGTGCTGAGGAAGAGCTTCCCAGCTCTCATGCAACAGAACTCCCTCTGCGGAATCTAGGGTTTTGCCCTGTGGAGGCTGGGGAGGTTCCAGTAAACTTAGAACTGGAATGACCGTGCTTTCCCCCATGCGAAGCAAGCATGGGTAAAAAAGGACAGATGTTTTTACACCAAACCCAGCACTCATTGCTGTTGTGCAAGGTACTTCTCTAGGGCATGTCTTCTTTAGGGACATAGCCACAACACTGAAATGCCTGTGGAGAGAGCTTTCCTGTCAGCATAAAAATATAGCCCCGAGTGGCAGGAGCTCTGTCAGCAGAAGAAGCTCTCCCACTATCATAGCACTGTGCACGTGAGCGCTTATATCGGTGTAACTTATGTTGCTCAGGGAAGGGGGTTGGAATAATTACAACCCTGAGCAATGTAAGTTTTGCCAGCATGAACTGTAGTGTAAACATAGCATAAAGGTGAGCAGGGAAAATCCCTGCTTTGATGAGCCTAATCTTTCCTCTCTGACTGAATTTCAGTTTGGATATTAGTCAGGCAGTTAGCTGTAGGCAATGAAGCTTCTTAAGTGTTCCTAGGCTCCATATTAACATGACAGGACATGATACATCCTCCAGTGTCATTCTCATGAGCCTGATTTCCATATTGGAACTGGGGGGACAGACTGTACATATGGTGATGTGTGACCACACTTATAGAAAGGAAGTGTTTTTTTCTGAGGAGGTCAAAAACAAGTTTCTGTGGGTGACAGTTCTGGGCTTAAGAAGAGGCCTACATATTTAGCTTCAACAATTGTTAGCAGACTATATTACTAATTTGTTCATATTTTTCTTCTTTTCAGCTGCGCTACAAAGAGACCTTTGAGCAGGCAAAGGGTAAATATCACACAGTGAAAGATGCCTTGAATATTGTCTATCATCGCAAGGTCACTGATGACATCAGCAGTGTATGTATACAGAGTTTCTAGTCCTGATTAATTTTTGTCTCTAAATGTACAAAACTAGTGCTTTTATATATAATTCCCTCCCAGTGAAAGATGCTGGTCCTAATTGTCATTTACACTGAGACAACTTTACATTGCTAATAAGGAGTGAAAGTTAGTGTAAATGAGAGTCAGGTCACACATTTTAAGTACATCTTTGAGGAGAGTCAGTAGTGAGAAGTATGAATGTTGTAAAATCGGGTGACCAATGTGTTATGTTTTTGAGCTGTTTTACATCATTTACAACTTTCTTTTCAACTTCTTTTGCAGGTGAAATATAAAGAAAACTACATGAACCAATTGGGAATCTGGAGATCAATCCCAGACCGGCCTGAGCACTATCATCATCGTGCAGTCACAGATGCGATCAGCGACGTGAGTTTGAATGGGTTGTTGTATATTAGACATTGCATTTTTAAGACAAAGTCCAAAATGGAAGGCTCTGCAGTGTCTCTCAATTCCTCTCACATGACTTCTGATAAAATAAATGAGTGACCAGTTTCATGGTTGCCTGGTGTGTTTTCAGAATCACCAGGGAAAATCAAGAGAATAAGACCACTTCTTATTGAAAGCAGGGACACAACTCCAATGGAGCTCAAGGAAAGTTGAATTGGCCCCTATTTCTGTTGCTTGAACTTGTTTGTTACTTTCATGAGAAGCCCGTAGCAGCGCTGTAGCAATATTTCAGGTTTATTACAACATGTGAAAGTCACTGGTGCTTGTTACTATATCTGTGGTGATTCGTGTGTGTGTGTGTGTGTGTGTGTGTGTGTGTGTGTGGTGAGCATGTTAGTGAGATTCTGAGCCAGGGTGTGCTCTCAATTACACCTGTGCAACCCGAATGATTTATTCCAGGGTGCATGCTGGCTCTTCAGTTGTATATAAAAAAATGTAATTAGCAAGGTAATTGATACAGGGACTCACAGAACTGTTACTTTCATGTGTTAGATTTAGATCTGGATGGTATTTCTCCATTAGTAGGATGCTGGTTTTGGTACCATCTCAAATTATCCCAAGTTCTTTTAAATTTATCATCTTACTTTTTTTCTACAGTTTAAATACAAAGAAGACTTATCATGGCTTCGAGGGTTTGGTTGTTATGCCTGGGACACTCCTGATCTTGCTCTGGCAGAAAAGAACAAAGTCCTTTACAGTGGGGTACGTATGTAAATCTCTTCAAGACATTTGAGAGAATTTTTTCAAAGTTTTGTTGTGTGTGATAATTATCTTTTCGCTAGAGGATCAAATTCTGCACTTAGATATGGAGATGAATATCTCAAGACCGTATTTGGTTCAACACATGTTAAGTAATCTCAGTTACAGTAACATACAGATCAAAGTAAAGGGACCTTTTAGTTAATCCTTTCTATCAACTGTCAGCGCCATTCTTCTCTATTGCACATTTCCTAGTGTTTCCAAGTCTGGTTTTTAATGTCTGAAGGTATGAGGCTTCCACTACTTTCTTTTGAAGGCCATTACAAACAACAGACTTTTAGATCTACAGCTACATTACCCAAATAATATTTTTCATTTTTAAATGTATTCATACAAGCAATAATTCCACTGTTCTATTGATGTAGACATTTTTTCAATTTGTATTTTTTCATGCTCTTTCTTTTAATTTTACCCTGAAATGACCAGTTTGTTTGTTTTCTCCAGTGTAAGTACAAGGAGTCATTCAACAAGATGAAGTCTCAGTTCGAATATGTAGCAGACTGTCCCATTAACAGGCATTTTAAACATGCAACTCAGCTAATGAATGAGGTAAGGACAATAGCAGACCTTTATAGCATATCATGACAAGTGGCATCTCAAGTCCAGTCATGGTAACATTAAGTTAAAAGTTAATCTGTTTTGCATAGTGGAAGATATATTGAAATTATTAAAAAGCTACTGAAAATAAATGTTTCTTAAAGTTAGAAATGAAGATGGGCAGAGATGCTCTTGATAACTATAGCAACGAGTAGCACAAAACAGGTATATAATAATTAAAACAGAGTATCCTTCTGAGCCATATTTCAATAGTGAAAATGCAAAGAACTCTTTCAGCTGCTGAACAGAAAAGAGTAACTCAGAAAAGTGTCAGTTTCCTTTTTAGTAACAGGATTTTCAATCAGTAAAACTTGACTTGTGATTGTCATGTGAAAATGGTAAAGAATCAAGACCATTATTAGCACTAAGAAAAAAGGCTCTCCTAAATCTATTCTATCTATCTCTGTGTTTCAGAATAGAGCTTCAGGCTATAATTTTCCAGCTCTTGCTCCAGATTTAAAGAAACAGTGCACATAACATCATGGTCGTAACCAGTGTAACTGGACCAAGATTTAAGAAATCTGATAGTGAGGCCACTATGGCTCTCAGAGCAGATGTTGTATTTTATAAATGCCTGATTAAGCCCTTTTGAAAACTGTTCTATGTCAGCCTAGGTTTCTAGAATATAATCAAATTCTATCTCTGATACTTTTTGACATGATAGTTGATGTTTAGAATGTAGCATCTAGATATTTCATTTTAGTCAGCTGATATCGTCTCATGGTGGTCACCATAAAAATGTCAACATTTACCAGCAGATGCAATACAGGATTTCCTCTTCCAGATATAGGGGGAAAATTATTGTCTCTCCAATACCACTATGTCATAACTATTCACAATTCCAGATATTACACAGAGGCAATGCAAGGGCTATTAAGAGTCTCTTATATCATACATTTGTTAAACAGCATAAATGAGCTATTTTAAAAAGTCAGGCATACAGAAGAAAGATATCTTTCAATGCATTTCCATGCATATAAATAAGCTTGCTAAAAGTTTATTTTAGAACATATGATTTATAGTGATACATCCCAAAGGAACTGAAAGAAATACTGATGATATAACATTATATTGAGTACTGTATATTTATGCATTAAGGAGTTAATTTTAAGTCTATCGATTAAATAGGCCTTCTTTTGAAGTTCTTTTCAAGGCAGAATTGATGTTTACAATGAAGCTTATGAGAGGGTTGCAAAAAGGGGCTGTAGCCTTTCTTATATTTTACTTTGTACCTTTAAATATAAGTTTGGGAATTTGATTATAAATTATCTACGTTTCCTCTGTTTGCCTTTTATTTTTCTAATTTGAGTGAGAGCCTTTAAATATTATGAATAAGAAGATGTCAATGCTTTGAAGCTGTTATCTCAGTGGGTTTTTTTGTGTGACTTCGCCTTTTATTTTTGGTGCAATTTAACATGTTATGAAACAGTATCTGTTATGTCACCCAAAGAATAAGCTGCTTTTTGAGTTAACTAATTTGTCTTTTCTCTGTGTATTCTTATATATTGTGCATCAATTGATATTTAAATTACATCTTTCTTACAGAGACAAAGTGGCTAAGTCATATCTTTTATTGGACCAGCTTCTGTTGGTGAGAGATGAGTTTTTAAGCTTACACAGAAGAAGCTGGTACAATACAAGATAATGCCTTGTCCACCTTGTCTCTCTAATATCCTGGGCCTGAAGACAGCTACAACAATGCTGCACTCTCCTTTCTCACTTACAGTCTGATCCAGAGTCCATTGAATTCAATGGAAAAAGTCTGATTGACTTCAGTGCATGTTGAATCTTGCACTTATTGACCATGTTTCTTTTTTGAAAAATTATTTTTACCTTATTTTTCCATCTAATTTGCAAATATAAGGCAACAGTGGGCTTGTAATTTATAATCCTTGCCTAAATCGCATCACTCTGAATGTGTCTCTGAATATGTACTGTTGTTCATTGGCTTCACAAGGATTTTTTGTGCTGCTTTTCTCTCTTCATGGACAGAAAAAATATAAGTCTAGTGCCAAACTGTTCCTGCAACATGGATGCAATGAATTTCTGAGACCAGATATGCTGACAGCACTTTACAACACAAACTTGTGGAGCCAGGTAATGTGAATGGCTGCTGTTGCAAGAAGCCATTATACAGGCCATTTAGCTGCTTGAACTTTTAACATCTTAATATTTATGAATGCTCTGAATTTCTACTGATATTGAACTCTAATTTCCCCCTATTGATTTACTACTCTTTATGTGGTATTAGAGCTGCTGAAATTATACCTACTATCCCCTAGACCAGATGTCCCAGGAATTATGAACTAGCTTTCCATTCATCTACTGTCTCATATTATAAACCCGCATAAAACGTTAATGGGGAATATTTCCTAGAGTAGTTCATGTACCAGATCCTGCAAATTCTTACATATCTCAGTAACTTTACCCAACTTCAGAAGTGTTGGCAGGATGAAGCAGTGAAAGGCATTGTATCCCATCTATCAGCTGTATCACCCAGGACCCAATTCTGCCATCCTTTTCATACTGTTACTTTGCCATATGCACAGGCTCCTTAGCAGTATTATCTCATCAATGTGATTTGAACCTAAGGAAGTATTTGTGTTAGGCATTTATCTCCAGCTCCACACTAAAAATAGTATGAAGTCCCACCATGCCTAGCTGGAGCATTGGGAGTCAGAGTGTCTCCAGGAGACCCATCTATCTCTACAGTAACACAAGGCGTGTAGTGCCACTGTGTGTAGGTGTCATGGCCCATCTACCTTATGCCCCACTTTTTCTTTTCATCCAGTTTAGTGTCCAGGCAGTTCTCCTGCAGGTATACACTTTTAACATTGCTAATAATGAAGCAAAGTAAATTCACAGACATGTAAATGATTACAATTTATTGCTAGTTTTCCACTTTCATCAAATCTGGACTCCTCCATAGTTTCTCAATGTAACAGGTGAATGACAATGCAACTCATTGAAGAACTGTTCTGTATTTATATTTGCCCTTGAGTCCACTGCATTTCTTTGTGTTATATGTGAAATTCCACTCTGGGTCCTCATTCCATACATACTTGTAACCCATGTCATTGGCAAAAAAACAAAAACAAAGCAATAACAACATAAAAGTCCATCCATGACACCCTTTTCTACCAAGCCAGCTCATACCGTTCCTTTTCAGCTACACATTGAAAATATAACATTGCAAAGCAATTACATGGGAGCTATGATATTAAGACTTTATAACAGTGCACACAACATTAATAAATCCCACAGCACTAACATGGCAAATGTATTTGTTAGACAATTTCTGTGAAATATTAAACGGCTGTGCTTGTTCTAATCTGCCATGTTTATATTTTCCCAGACCCTAATTAAAATCTTTCAGCCTGGTACTGGTTTGAAAAAGGGAATCTTGTCCAGAGTGATTAAAAACAAAAGCAGAACTTTCATTGACCTTGCCGACCTGCTTAGAATCTTCTATAATCTCAGAGTTCTATTTCATACCTTCAGGCCAAAGTAGTGTCAATGCGAGACTGTGGAGTTCTTATTCACATTGGAATCAGCATGAGCCCACATGTATGATGCTTAAAGGCTACAATGTGAATAAGGGCTTCATGCAGTCTGGCTCAGAGAGACATATTCTGTTCACATGTGCATGCCAAGTGCAGTGAGAGTGCCTGTACATTGTGATGCACAGTCTTAACATGTCTGTGCCTCTTTTTGAAGGTGTTTTATGGTTTCATGTAGTTAACATCCTCTTCTTCCCCACCCTCATCAGTTCAAATACAAGAGGCAGTATGAAATGCAGAAGGACAAGTATACTACAATCGTGGATACCCCAGAACATCTGAGGACTGCAAAAGTCAACAAGCAAATCAGTGATGTAAGTATAATTACCATAATATCATAATGTTAACTATATCTTAAGTACAACTACCTACTTTTAATTGTGACCTTTGAAATATGCTAATTACAAATTTAATCTTCCTTAGTCGCAATAAAATATTTTTCAGCATCACTTTTTAAAAAATACATAGTGCCCAGCTATCCCAGACTAATATGGGATAATTAATTAACATTTTAATTAATTTAAATGTTTAATTAACATTCTTTACCCTCAGATTATTTACAAGATGGAATTTGAGAAGGCCAAGTCTAAGGGGTATACCACAATACATGACACCCCTCTGTTACTGCTTATGCGCAAGGTCAAAGACAGAATAAGTGATGTGAGTAAACTATGCCTGGCATGTGATATCAGCATGCTACACAATCAAACCTTGTTTTACTACACAATAATGTTTATTTCTATCTTGAAGGTAATGCTGTCATCATAACTAGCCTCTTATTAAAATATATCAATATTATTTTAATTCAAAGTTCCTCCTGCCACATCTAACACATTCTCAGAGCATATAACAATGTTTAAAAAATCTGAAAAGCTATAATGATGTCGTTTTCCAGGGTAGTTAAAGGGATAGTTTTGGGTGGACCAAAACAGCTCTTTTCTGTAATAAAACCTGTAGGTTGGGCTGTTTTCTTGTTAGAGCACAGTTCTGGGTTTCTGGTTTTTTGGTTTCTCTTCCTGGGTTAGCCAGTAGCTTTTGTGTTGCCTTAGATTAGTCGCTGTTGCTTCCCTTCTGTACGGTGGAGATAATACATACCCTGGAGCAGTGTGTTGAGGCTAAATTAATTAATGTATGTAAAAAATCTTGAAATTTTCAGATGAATGGTGCTATAGAAAAAAAGGATGAAAGCATAGGAGAGCAAGATTGGTCCAATGGTTATAGGACTACTCTAGGAATGGAGAGCTCTGGGTGCAATTATCTGCTCTGCTACAGACTTCCTGTGTGACCCTGGGCAATTCACTCAGTCATTTTGTGCCTCAGATTCTTGTCTCTCAAATCCAGATAATAGGATTTCCGATTGCGACAGGAGTATTATGAAGATGAATACATTAAAAGATTTCAAGATACTCATATACTACAGTAATGAGGGCCATATAGATAAGAAGTAGAAAGTATATTAGTTGCCCATACACAATCCTGAAGGTATCTACATTTTTGGAAGTTCAACTTCAGACATCCTAAAGAAGCCTGATTTTCAGAAAGTGCTGAGTACCCACACTCTGAAAATCAGATCCCCTTTAAAGTACCTTGTTTTGGGCATTCAGAATAATTAGTCACTTGACACAAGTTAGCATGTATGGTGTGTTGCATGTGGAATTAAACAGCCACATCTTTGTTTCAACACAAATGGAATTGCATCTGAAAACAACATATCTTCTGTGTATGGAACAGCTAAAACCAAGATCTATGGAGGCCTCTTTCTTTTCTGTTAAAATATTTGATTAAACAATTGGGGGAAAGTAGATTTCTATGTGCTGCTGTTATTTAATTTTCATTGAATTGCAGTAAATAAATAAAGACTCAGAATATGTTTCTTTCACCAGCTGAAGTACAAAGAAGTTTATGAGAAGAATAAGTCTAATTGCAACGTTGTAGGAGATGCCGTTCATATTAAAGCTGCCAAAGCTGCCTACAAAGTAAACAGCAATGTGAGTTCAGTGCTGTTAATGTTTTTTGCTCTTATTGTCAATGGCTGGTATTTCAAAGGGCTTTGTTGGAATTTGGCACCCACTTCTATTGAAATTCATTGGGACTGAGGTCCCTTTATGTTCTTTTGAAAATCACAGCCAGTCTGAAAATATAAATTCAGAGCATCTCCATTAAGTCTGAATTTTGCTGAGACTCCCAACCTAGCCCTTTGTGCTCTTTTGCTTCTCAGGTAATTTTGGTGCTCTTTGAGGAATGTGTGGTTTCATCACAGGCTGAAATGAATTGCTTCTATAAATGATCATCCATGCACACAAAATTCCATGCACCTCCTAATTCCTCAGGCACGGAGGCGTATGTGCTCCTAGTATTTTCATTGTTAATTTATTGAATCTTATAGTTAGCATAAGTTCAGCATGGGAAGGGCTGAAGCCTTGACTCCATTGAGTGGGTCCAGCATACACTGAGATGGCCAGTGAGATAACACATCCACATTCTTCAAGGCCATGCCCACTTTTCAGTCCTGCATATGCTCCTGCTCACCTGGCAGGAGATGAAGTAACACAACTAGACTTCCTCTGTCTGTGTCAATGGCTCAGAAGAGAAGTGCATCCTATAATGCTTTCATAGATGTGCACTTTTCCAAGCATTACTTTCTTCCCTTTCCCCAATTCTCATGAAGTTGTTCAGTCAAGGGAAGAACTAGGCTCTGTATATATTGAATTTCTGAATTATGCAATTTTCATTAATGTTTCTTTTAAACCAGCTGGATTACAAGAAGAAATATGAAGCAACCAAGGCTCACTGGCAATGGACTGTTGATAGACCTGACTTTCTCCAAGCAGCCAAGGCATCCCTGCAACAGAGTGATGTGAGGAGACTAAAGATATTGTCTTAGCTTGTTCTCCCTCCCTCTCTTCTTCTCTCTTTCACAGCAAAAGTTTGGAAAACTTTGTCAGCTTTTCTTTTCTTTTCCGGCAGTATGACTATAAGCTAGACCGAGAATTCCTTAGGGGATGCAAATTGTCTGTCACGGATGACAAAAATACAGTGTTGGCTTTGAAGAATGCCATTCTGTCAAGTGATGTGAGTATTTGAAATTCTACTTTGTTTTTTTCCTTTGCTAACAATTGACATGCTGTTTAAGAGATCTAAAATGTATGTTGTGTGTCCAGTTGTTTTGTAACTATAGTGCCATCAAAATGGAAACTCTGGAGTTCATGAACATAATTCTGTAGAAATTTGTTGCAGGTAATTTGATCTGGGTATAGTTTTTCATACCTTGATTTCTAAATGGCATAGGGTTGCTCAATATCTCTGAAAAACAGGCATTTAAATTTAGGCATTTAAATAAGGAGTTAGGCATTCTAACTTTTTAAGAATCCAGGTTTGAAAATTTTGCTCAGAATTTCATATTTAGTTATTTTGACTACTTTGTTTTATTAACAAATTGGGAAAATCTGGAATGGTTTTAGTCTTTCAAGCTGGTTGACTGATGTGCAGATATCCACTAGAAGCAATTCAGATATGTGGCCCGTTTTATCTAAATACCCAACTTTTATGGTAAATAAATGATTCTGGTTTAAATACCATACATTGAAATGCATGCATTAGGGATGCATTTTTAAAATCAAAGCTGCAGCTTTCATTTGGGCATAGTACCATATATGTAGAATAAATGTGGGCGATAAGGTAACAAGACTGAGTTTAAGCTCTATTGAGATGTGTAGGAATGTATAGGCTGGAACACATTGAAATTGACAAGGAAATCAAAATGGTCGGCCTAATCTTGAAAGCCTTTATTTTCAAGAGTGGTGTTTGCAAGGCACTGCCATCTGCCAGTAAGAGGCGTATATTTGAAGCCTACTTTGAAAGTCAGCATAGGAGCAATAAATTGAGAAAAATAACATATTTTCTCTCCTTCAGATAAAATACAAAGAGAAGCATAACAAGGCTAGAGGAACATGCCTCGCTGTCCCAGACACACCTCAGATCCTCCTCTCTAAGTGTGTCAGCTCTCTTGTATCTGAGGTACCATATGCAATACTGTCTATCTTCATAAATAGTTCCTTCTTATACCCTGTATTTCTTTCAACTCTTTTTTCTCTCTCTATGCATTCAGAACAAATACAAAGAGCAAAGTAAGAAGCAGCTTCCACATGGTTCTTATACAACCCTGCCTGAGACCCAGGACACTATTCGTGTCAAAGAAGTGACCAAGAATGTCAGCGAGGTGCGTGACAAGAATAGTGCAACATTTATTGGTCATGCAGAATTTTGCTGTTACTACATTCATAATATTTATTGATCCAATGAAGCATTTTCCAAATTCTACCTAGCGAGACATTTGTAATTAATAGAACTGCTCACATGCTTAAAGTTAAGCACACACTTACATGCTTTGCCACATCAGTTCTTATGCTCATAAGAAGCACACAAGATCTTTTTTAGGGGGAAAAGGCAATGCACCCAATTTATTGCAAATACAGCATAGAAATCAGCATCTACATTCATTCACATGCTCAAGTTCTGCAGCTAGTGTCATAGTTACCAGTCTTATTAGTCCTTGTGCCAGACTAGTGGCCAATTAGGCTGGGCACAAGGAAGGAGCCGGGTTCTGTTGGTTGCGGTCGGATGCTCCCAAGTTGTCTTCACAGGACTCACCCAAAGATTCATGGTTAACATACCCAATTTTATGGTTGTAAATTCCAACTTTATGGGGTTTTGCAGTGTCATTCTTGAGTCATCTAATTGTTTTACCTCAAGGCTGCTTTCTTTGTCATGCTCCATCAGTACTTTCACGAATAGCCTGGGAGTGTCTGTATCTGGTTTATCTCATTCACCCATCTTGTTCACAAGTGTATGGCCTTACTTTAGAGTATTCAATTCTGCCCTTCTTCAGCCATCCTGAATTTGATGCCTGAGTTCACACCTCCTGGTTAACCATTCTGACCATCTGGTGCTGGCATCTTCTGTCTCTTGTTTTACCGTATTCCTAATTCGCACAAAGGACAGTTCATTTCAGAGAAAACAATTTCTCTAACAAAGGAACAGACAGGATTTCTTACAGATTTACAAAGTTAAAAAGACAATTATTCTGAGTGTCAGTAGAACACAGTTTCTTATGGGATTAACGAGTGGCATATAACACAAACCCTTCTTGCTCTACACAGACAAACTATAAAAAGAATTTTGTGAAGGAGAAAGGCAAGTCCAACTATTCCATCATGCAGGAGCCTCCTGATGTGAAACATGCCATGGGAGTCGCTAAGAAACAGAGTATTGTAAGTTTGTCCTGCATTTATATTAAGCAAACAGCCGATGTGGCCATTTTCATTTAGAGTCATTCTCAAATAAAAAAAATAAAATTGGTCTGATTTTCGCCAGATGTCTTCCCACCCTCTATTTTCCAAGCAAATATGGATGAAATTGTATGTAGGCAGAAAATTTCACCTTAAGAAATCAAGGCCATCTTCAGATAATATGATTGAGAGTTAAAACAGTTTGGTCGCAAATATGTAACTCCACAATGTTTTCTGTCATTTTTTTCAAAATGCATGATATTTATTACTTCATTTGAAAATTATTTACAAAAGCTGGTCCCAAAGATCTGTTCTCAGTGAAATCATTAGCTAACCTCCAACTGACTTTCTCAGCAGCAATAGTGGATCCTCTGTGGCTATCTTTTAAATTAGTAAACACTAGAGTAATCTGCTTTCCTCTGTTTGTTTTCATTGATTAGGTTGAATACAAAAAAGATGCCAAGTCACAGCTTCATTACACATCGATAGCAGATCGACCAGATATTAAGAAAGCAACCCAAGTTGCTAAATTAGTCAGTGATGTGAGTATTTTGTAAATCTCCTGTGCATCTCCTTAGCAGTATTTTTCCTATGGCAAATTGCATCAGTATAACTGATTAGAACAGCATGTGGAGATGTTTGTGCTTTATCCTCTAAAGCTAAATATTTTTTCTGTACTGGTGGATTTTCCTTCAACAGATTCAATACAAAGCCAAGGCTCGAGGAGAAGTTGCCCTTGGTGTACGCATGCTGGGGCGGCCAGATATTGAACTTGCGAAGGAGGTATCCAAGCTTACTAGCCAGGTAAGAAGAAATACTTGCAAGTTTTGGAGTGGTGTGAACAATGGCATGAGTTCAGATTCTTCTGGTATAAAAATCAATACTTTTTCAACCACTTGAGAATGGAAGGTGGAAATAATTCTAGATAATTGTAAAAGGAATATGGCAACATAATTTGAAGAACTAACTCATTGGGAAGAATTTATGTGCCTTGTTAAAGACGCAGCAAATGGGAGATGGAAGGAATGTTCTGTGTACAATGGGACTGATAGTACTTTCAGTGATGCACATGGGTCTTAAGACACCACTCCCTTGTGTTGTAGTCATTCACTTCTGTACAAAGTGAGTATACAAGAATTTTTCAAGATGGCAGAGAATGATGCCTAATGACTGAGGCTCAGCTGACTTCAGGGGGAGGGAGCAGAGTTGAGCCCTGGAGAGATGATCTTTGCGAGTGGGGAGATTGGGTCTTGCTGCTTTTGTAGCTTTTGTCTGTCTTCTGCATTTTTTCACTTTTCTTGTCATAAACTTCTTATGTCTCCATCTTACTAAGAATAAGTCACTTGCAGTCCCTCTGAAATGTGCAGCATAATAAACTTTACATAAAAGGAGGTATGTTTTCAGGGAAACCTATTGTGAAAATAAACGGCAAACATCCAAGTTGTTATGTTAGTATTAGAATTTGGAAAATAATCCCTGAATACAGAGGAAGTCTAAAATTGGGCACCTAGAACTCGAGTTCCCCCCCAAAAAGATGCCTTTTTTGAAATCTTGCTCTTTGTGCTTCACTTCATCCCATATGTAAAATGGGAATGATAATACTCCTTTCCCACCTTTGTGAAGCACTTCGTAATGGACGGGTGGTAATCACTCTCTATATAGGTGCAAGCTATTCTTTTATACGAAAGATTTCTAATATCCTTTCCATTTAATTATTCAAGATAGGGAATTTTTAATGGATGTTTTTCACAAAATGTATTATCTTTTATTTTGAAATGAATATATCATGTTAGTATAAACTTCTGTTCTCTTTTAAAATAATCTGGAACATCAATTAGTGTGGATCTTACACTTGCTGATTCCTGTGGGAATTTTTCAATGAGGATCTCACCACCACTTGGTTCTCTCACGCAGCATTATGCTTGATCTCTGTGATGGTCTACTGTTCTGATCTTGCTATCTTGCTACGCATTATAGGTGGAATATCTCAAAGGACACATGCGAGGGCATGGAGCTGCATCTTATGATACACCAATGATGAGACACGTTAAGAAAGCTAATATCCTAAGTAGTCATGTAAGATGGATTTAAGTGACACAAATGGGAATGTCCCTTTTCTGTATCTTTCTCATGTTGTATATGATCTGTGTCAGTCCTAGCACAAGACAATCGAACTGAATTGTAAATTAGCTTATAATGCACCAGTTGTACTGACTTTTCCTTCAGACTTTGTGTCAAAAGTGTGCAATGCACCAGAAACTTGTGGAGCTGACCATTTATCTAATACCTCTTTTTTTCAATGTAAAGACTGAACATGGAAACTCTGTGCGAGGGGAATTTGACTAAAACCAGTTTACAGTGTATAGAACTTGAAGCCAAATTCTACCAATGCCTTTCTTGCAACTTCCAGTTACTTTAATGGATGTCTCCAATGCACAGAGCCGAGGCTGGATTTCTGTTTTTAAATTGAAAATTTGCAGCTACATAAGCTGAATTTGGTGGGGTCTTGATCTCTTGAAGACTACATAGGAAATGGGAAAATATGTGCCTTTAGATGACAGTGCTTAGACTAAAAGATACAATCTCTATGGCTGTGTCAGACTCAGACTCAGAGGTTTTTTCGAAAAAAGTAGCCTTTTTTTGAAAAAACTTCACCCGCGTCTAGACTGCAGCCGCATTCTTTCAAAATTAAATCGAAAGAACGCGGCTTTTCTTTCGATGGCAGTAAACCTCATTTCACGAGGAAAAACGCCTTTTTTCGAAAGTGCTCTTTCGAAAACAGGCATTCTTGAATGCCAACAGGGCTTTTTAGAAAGAGAGCATCCAGACTCACTCGCTGCTTTCTTTCGAAAAAGCGGCTTGCTTTTTCGAAAGTACTGCTTGCAGTCTAGACACTCTTTTTCAAAAGATACTTTCGAAAAAGCCTCTTTCGAAAGAGGCTTGCAGTCTAGACATAGCCTTACATTGAGATGAAGTTAAGGATCTGACCTACAAAGTAAAAAAATCTTAATCCCTCCTGCATTTTGATTTTGGCCACGTTAGGTCATTCAGCAGTTTGTACATGATGACTATCTAGATGTAATAGCCAGTGAAAACAGTGTGGAGCCCTTTCCCTTAGTGGGGACTTAAAAACAGCCCATTCCTGTAATGTTTTTTCTGTAATCAGAAAAATAATAGGAAACCCTGATACCTGCTCCTGTGTGCTCTGACTAATCTAAAAGATCCTCTGCTATGCTACAGATCATTCACTGGCATCCGATTATTTCCTTCTTCACTGATCTAGTCAGAAAAGGGTTAGTGTGAATCCCTGCAATGTGCTCTTGTTATTTCACTAAAAAACAAGAAAGATTATTCAGGTGCTAGCCCCAGAATCTTTATCTCAGACCTGTTGTTGGCCAGACCTGAGGATCAGGGTCACTGGTAGTCAGTGGCATTGCGTCAATTTACATCAGCTGAAATAGTGTCCCATAATCAAGAATGCGATGATGATGTATGCCATTTTCAATGCACATAATATGCTCTGAGCAAGATTCACCCATTCACTGAGCTTCATGGTGTCCGAGTGGTAGAATGCAGCCAGTGTATTTCTGTAAATCTGGCCTCCAACCTCTGGCAAAATAAATCCTGACTGCAATTATTTCAGGGCACATACTTTCTAATATTCCTTCCTACCTCAGAAATCATGTGGATTATGGCTGCATCACAAAGTATGAAATGGCTGTGTAGATTTTGCAGCCTATTTTGCTCAAATATTTATAAAGGAAAAAAGGGGTGTTACTGTTTTTCCATGTCTACGTGTGTTTATTGCATGCAACTGCAGCATGTCTAAACATTGTCTACTATATTTGTCAGGTATCAAGAATCCTTTCCTTGGAGCAGGGGGCCTACTAAGCCCTCACTTGCTCCATAAAAGCAAACTCTGCAAGGAAAAGAAGAAAAGCAGCATAACTCATCCGTCATGAACCAAGCTCCTTTTTATATGCTTTAGCTTCAATTCTGTTTTAAAGTATAAACAGAACTTTTCTTAATCTTCACGGAACTTTCTTTTAGCTGGCTTGATTTTCATTTACAAAGAAACTGAGTTCACTGAGTCTCAAAACTGATGTCGTCTTTGTCACGTTCACTCCTCTGGGCGTTTCCTACTAGTGAAGCCGCATCTCACCCATCTTATCTTATTTTTAAAAGACATGGATCCCTTTTGGTCTCTAAGCAGTCACCCTTTTTAGTTTTCTCTGTGTGTGTCTGTTGTGATTGTTTTCATTTTGGAGATGTCTAGTGTCCCCCCCTTTGTGTGATCTTTTTTTTTCTTACAAGTTTGGCAAAAGTGGCATTTGAGCCCGATTCTGATTATTACACCAGCATGTCTCCAGGGACTTTAATGCATTTACCCTTGATTTACGCTGCTGTGATAGGAGAATCAGACACTGTGTTCCTACTGAATGGCAAAAAATGTTGATGTTATTTGTTTTCTTACAGCAAGCATACAACTGGTACAGAGCATGGGACTGTATGGATAAATATGCTAAACAGTTTAAAAGCCAAAAATAAGTGGAATGTGATTGATGTTTGCAATGAAGCATCTTTCGTGTTTACTAATATGGAACTGTATGCTAATATCTCCATAAACATGTTTAAAGCATATGTATCATTTCCAACCCAACCCATTCCTTTCATCAGCTGTGTCCGTCAGCTCTTCCTAAATGACTAGTTTCATTAGCTTATTTGCATAAATAGCACTTGTGGATTTATTTTTACTGGTGAATTATTGGTGCATAGTACTTGAAAGGGCTTCCTGCACCTTCCTCACCTGCCACAATCTCTTAGTCCTGCAGCCAAGTGCACAGGATGTGTATGTGGCTAGCGGGAAGGAGACGTCATTGCCTCACTCCGTTTCTACATCCATCAGTTGATCAGCAAGGAGAAGCGCACAGAGTATCTCTGATGGGTACAGCTCAGTTGGAATGGTCACACACCCACAGGCTCATACCCACCCACACCTACAATGTGGGCTCTAGTTGCAAAAGCCAAAATGTAACCTTAAACTCTTGAGAGTTTTGACTTCAGTGGGATTAGAATTTGCTCCTAATATCTCCTGTACATTTTAAGATCTCTGCTGAAACTACCTCAGCAATCCCCAATGGCAAATTCTTCTTGTCAAAACGATTTTCCTATTCAAAACATGTCGCCAATTAGAGTGGAAGGGTCTCTGTCCTGTGTATTTGTAGGCATTGGGAGTAATGGTCATCCCCTGTATGTCCACAGGAAACAGTACCTGCAGCTAAACCTAGAGCCAATGAGAGAAGGCAGATCACCATGGATGACATTTTGGCCAGTGGGAGAATTTCCATTGATTTCAAAGGACCAGGATTTCACCTTATGTCCACTGAATTTTCATGGACTTTACTGATATTCATGGATCTATATTAACCTGAGCCTCATTTCAGAGTGGGCACAGCCCAGTTCCTAATGATAAGTTTAAATTTATCCTTTGTGAAGATGTTCCCACTTTCCCTTTTGTTTCGAATCACCTCTTTTGGTAGTACAGTAAACTTCCGATAATCCGGCACCTTTAGGACCCAGAGGTGCCGGATTATCAGATATGCCGGACTATCAGAAGGGGGGGCTATGAGGGGTCTGGAGTGGGGTGGGAGGGGATGCTCCCCCAGACCCTTCATAGTCCCCCCTTACGATAGTCCGGCTCTACCCCAAGAGTCCCTGATTCAGCCGCTGCTGGTCAGTTTCAGCATCGGCTGAATCCTGTTGCCTGGGGCAAAGCAGCTGGGGTGCTGCCGGGTTGGTCTTGTAGCGCTGCCCCTCGGCACTGCTGGACCAACCCGGAAGCTCCAGCTTCTCATCCACTGTAATCCCCAGGTCCTTTTCTGCAGAACTACTACTTAGCCATTCAGTCCCTAGCCTATAACAATGCTTGTGATTCTTCTGTCCCAAGTGCAGGACTCTGCAGAGCAGCTGGGGTCCTGCCGGGTTGGTCCCGCATCACCGTCCTTTGGCGCAGCGGGACCAACCCGTCAGCACTCCAGCTGCTCTGCCCCAGGCGTCCCCAAGAGCAGCTGGGGTGCTGCCGGGTTGGTCCCGCAGCCCCGAGGGGCAGCGCTACCAGACCAACCCAGCAGTACCACAGCTGCTCTGCTCCCAGCTTCCCCGATTCAGCTGCTGGTCAGTTTCAGCAGCAGCTGAATGGGGGAAGCCTGTCCGGCTGCCCCAGCACTTCCGGGTTCCTGATGGTGCCGGACCTTCAGGAGTCCCGGAGCATTGGATGCCGGACTAATAGAGTTTTACTGTATCTTCATAATGCACCTGAAAATATTTCTGCTGCCTCATTTATACTATTACTTCCCTCTTTTCTAAGACATACTGATTAAGCTTCTCTAACTACTCTTTGTACAATTGCCAGTTCAACCCTTTCAGTCATCTTGTGCAGTCATACATGTCTGTGCACCTCCCCCCGGTAGGAGCATTGTCCTATCTTATTTAGCTATTTTTTGTCATTTAAAAAAAATCTTTTTCAATTTACCAGTCTTATTTGCATGTGAGGAACTAAAACATGTGCACTGAATGAAAGCTATCAATGGTGTCTTGTAAAAATAGAATGTGCATTTTCTTCCTCTTGTCAGGTGATCTCTAAAAGATCTTTTATTTTAATGGATGTCTTAAAATTATTGCATTTTTTTTATCCTCTGTTTGCCATCAGACTTTTTGTGAATGGGGCTTCTTCAGTCTCTGGCACAAGATAGGCTAGTGCTCAGGAATAACTGACATGCTTTGTTGTTTGCAATTAGTTGAAGTACAGACAGAATTTTGACAAGGAGAAGAGTAAGAGGCCGATGTATGACTTGAAGGAGGCCAAGATTTACAAGACCATGAAAGATGCTCACAACATTGCTAGTGAGGTATGCCTACTTAGTACAGACTTTTGTATTTTATGGGGGGAGGGGACTTTAAAATTGTTGCTTTAGTTAGCAGAGTTACTAATACATTATATATGAAAATCTTTTGTGATGTTGTTTGATATTTCATTCCTGTAGGTTAAATATAAGGCAGATCTAAAGAAACTTCACAAGCCTGTGACAGACATGTCAGAATCGCTGATAATGAACCATGTCCTGGGTACAAGTCTACTCTCCAGTGCTGTAAGCTCATCAGCTAACCCCAGATCTATTTGATTTTCCATTCCCATTCAGTATTGACCTCTGCTAACAATTTCTATAACAGCTCCCTCCTTTACTGTTCTGAGGACATCACCTGGTAGTGATCTCTTCCTCTCCTACTTAATGATTATTACCTAGCCAACTAGCAGCATTAATATATCCATCCTTTGGAGACAGAAAACTATACATCTAGAACTGCTACCATTTTAAAACTTCTAACCATTTTTAACTGTACCCTTTTTTTTTTACATTTTCACCTGATCACATCTCACTAACAAATACCATTTTGCTCATTTTCTCTTTTTTTGCAAATTTTCCTATTTATTATTAATTCTGACTTCATTTGCCTTTTACTGTTTTTAATGGGATTTTTGTGTTTATTGCCACTCTGCTGTAATATCACAGAATGATGGCCATATCTAATCTAGTGCTTAAGAATGATACAAGTTGAAAGATCAGAGTCATTGTTACTTGACATAACCCTATTTTTATCCTGGTATAAAATAAAATCTTAGTCCATTCTGAAATGATCAGAAAGAAGAAATGTTGATCCCAAAACTTTAGAAATAAATCTATTTTGGGGTTGCTCTTCTTGCCTTCTTCCCCTCTCCCCCACCCCCAACCCGTCTTGTTAGATTTCTAATTACTATTTGATGTGCCACTGAAGTGTTTGCATTAGTTGGGCCTAGGAAGTAAACCTGGTTCAGGTTTTTATTGAGGTGGTACTTGATGCCTTCCCTTCAGTACCAGTACAAGAAGCAATATGAGAAGAGTAAGGGTCACTACCATGTGGTGCCAGATAACCTTGAACAGCTTCATCTAAAGGAGGCTTCAGAACTACAGAGTCACGTAAGTTGGCCAAGTGTTTCTCATTCATCCATTTGCTTTCAATGCCAAACACTCAATCACTACATGTATTCCCCTGAGGGCTCTTTGATACAGAACGAGCCCTATGCCAACCTGGTTTATGCAAACTACAAGCAGGAACGTAGAAGTCAGTTAGAAACATTTGCTCGTCTATTCCTATTGCTTGCTATAAGTATGAATGTTTTTGACACAATAGCTAACTTGATCCTCCCATGAATTTAACCTGTGATGACAGCAGATAGGAGCCCTGAGCATTTCAGTGAGAGAGCCAGAGATTGCACTTGGTTTTCTAATGGAAGTCTATCAACTCAAGGGAACAGACACCTTATCCATGAGCTGGTAGAGCAGCTGTTTTTTTCTGGTAATTTGGAGGGTAACTTGGGTGTCATGTTGTCAGGTGAAATACAAGGAGAAGTATGAAAAGGAAAAAGGAACACCCATGCTGGACTTTGAAACTCCAACATACATCACTGCCAAGGAATCTCAGCATATGCAGAGTGCGGTAAGATAATGTGTCAGCAAACTCAGTAGCGTTAGATTTAGGAAACCTCTCTATAAAGCTGTTTCATTGTTACGTGTTTACAAAGAACTAAAAAATGTTGGGGGTAAACCTTGTATGGCAGTGTGCCCTGTAAGCTCTAGTTACATTATAATGCAAGTTCCATTATACAGTAGACTTCCGATAATCCGACACCTTTTGGACCAAGAGGGTGCCGGATTATCAGATTTGCCGGAGAATTGGGAGGTCCGGTACAGCTGCACGGTTTAACAGCTGGCCAGGACACAATCTCCCTCCCTCTCCCCTCCCCTTTCCCATTCGCTGAAGCAAAAGCTCTTCTCCATACTGTAACATGATCCCACTCCCCCAGCCCAACCTTATGCTCCGTCTGGTTACAGCCAGCACGTATGCTGAGCGGCAGGCTTTTTAATCAGCTGGTCAGGAGCGCTTGGCATTTTGATGCTGGACTATCGGGAATGCTGAACAGTTGGATGCCGGACTATCAGAGTTTTACTGTACCTGCATTGTCATTAATTCAAGGGATTTCAGTGTATAGCTGGGAAGGATGTATGTACCTCTGACACTCGACCTACATCAGTAAATGGTGATAAAGTAGCCTAGACTTGATCAGTTTGGATTCAGAGGGAATGTGTTCTGTCAGTTAACGAAGTCTGGGGGGAGACTTTTCAAAGGATAAGCACTCAGGATATTATTTATATTAGAGGCCTATGCTTTTCAGGAACTCTGATTATTTGCTGTTAGTCTCTGAGGTCACAGTATTTTTTATTGGCCTATCATTCTAGCCTTTCTGGAAGTTATTTCTTATCATCTTTACAGTTTGCTCTTGTTCTGTCACAGTGAGAAACTTGTTGAAACACACTTGTATAAGGTGGTCAGGCAAGCTGTTTGGGTGTTTCCATGAATTGTTCAAACTTCTTGCCATACACAGTCAATTAGAAACACTTCTGACATGGGATCAGCTCCAGCTTCCATTGAAGGCAATGACAGTTGTTTCATAGACTTCAATGGGAGCACGGTTAGGCTCACAGTGACCTACCTGGAAATGGGGACACTGTAAAAATCAGTGTAGATAATAAGAATTTTTTGTCCTGGTACGTTTACTTTTAAACCACATGAAAAAAGTAATAAATGTTTACTTTATTTGCTTTTTTCCCCTTCTTCCTACTCATGTTAGAAAGAATACAAGAAGGACTATGAAGAGTCCATTAAAGGGAGGAACCTTGCTGGCTTGGAGATTACACCATCTTTATTACATGTCAAATATGCAACGAAAATAGCAAGCGAGGTAGCATTTACTTCCTTTACTGAGCCAAATAATTTCACTAATTCATCTCACCAGTGTATTCCCTCATTGCATACCCTTCTATGTTAAGTGTGTTTTCAGATGTTTTTGTATCATGATCTAATTTCTTATGTATGTTAATTCCACTAATTGTTAACTGAATTAATAATTATTGTGTCTCTTTCTATTAACATAATTGTTCCTGTCTCTGTGTGTGTACATCCATCAGAGTTTATAATGAGTTCTGACCTGTGTCTTTAGGGAGTATATAACTCCAAACAATATTTTTTGTTACTTAGAACAAACAAACAAAAATTTTCAGTCTCATTTTTTTTTCTTGGCATCAGAGTAGTGGAGCTATGACTAGTCTGTTTCTGCACTTTCCCCTTCTTTTTTCCTTCCTATAGAAAGAATACAGGAGGGATCTAGAGGAAGGTGTCAAAGGTAAAGGTATGACAATGTTGGAGGAGACTCCGGACATGTTAAGAGCAAAGAATGCAACTCACATCCTAAATGAGGTGAGTCAAATAGCTAGCTGCAATATGGCCTGACTGGAAATAGAGCTATTCTTCATTATTAATGCACAAGGCAAAGTTAACACAGAATGACAAACGTTGCTAGATATGGCCTTTGGGGAAGGAAAGAGCATTAGCTAATGGTTGAGCTGGAGAATGGGAGCCAGTACTTGTTCCATATTATTCGTAACTCTGCAGCTGACTTTCTGCATGATCTTATGAGAATCACTTTGATTACACCACATATCTGTAATAGAAGTATTTCACAGTAACCTTTCTCCCAGGAGTTAACTCATGTTTCTAAGGGCTTCACCATCACTGAAAAAAAGGAGACTTCCAAATGTAAATTGTTGTTATGGCATATCAACACAATCTTTCACATTAAACGTATGGGGTGACAGGCAAAAGGTATATATGGATTTGTAATATATTTCTATTAGTGCTGCAGCAAATGTCTGCAGTTAAAGTATATGTTATTAGCAGGGTCGCCAAGTGGCGGCGAGCCCCACTCACCAACCACACGGTTTGGCACACTGCGCATGCGCTTACCACGCTGTGCGGCTGTGCCGACTTATAATCTACTCACCACGAGTGAGTAGATTACACTAATTGTTGAGCCCTAGTTATTAGTATAATTTGTATTACAACAGGCAATGGGCCAAATGTAGCAAAATTTCTGGTGTAAATTACACTGACTTGAACCAAATAAATCCTTTGAACCTCAGGGAAGATTCTCCCTAGTGCTTCTGCTATTGTGCTTCACAGAGTTACCAGGGGAGTGTGTGTGTGTGTGGGGGTGGGGGGATAGCGATAGTGCCACAGGGCCTGAGGCCACAATTACACATTTTTCAGACAGCACTAGCACCTAATCGCCCATTGTGGCAGGTCACTGCTTTTTACTTCCCAAAGCAGCTGGTCCCCTAGGGAAATTTCTGATCCCAGGTTTAAGATGCCGTAGTCAGCATAACCTTGAGATAAACCTGTCTCACATTTACTCCATGTTGTGGTCATTGACTTAGTTTTTGTTGAAAATAAACTATGGTAAGTTAATATGTTTAAATTGAATGTTGTGGTTTTGATGGAGGAGTTGTAGTGGGCTCTAGTTAAAGTTGCCAGAGCCATCCCATTCTACATATATATTATTTTCAAATTTACTCATAGAAAGAGTACAGGAAAGCACTGGAGTTTGAAATGAAAGGAAGAGGTCTGACAGACCAGTCTTTGGAAACGCCAGACTACATGAGGGCAAAGAATGCCACAGACATTGCCAGTCAGGTCAGTGTGAATAGTGTAAAATAAAACCTGGTGATATTTTTAAAAGAAACCTTGTGAGGAGTATTTTCTGCATAGGCAAGAGAAGATGGAGGTGATAGATATGATTGAAGGCCCCTCACTGAAATGTTTCCCAACAGGTTAAATATAAGCATTTGGCAGAAATGGATAAAGCCAATTACACCTCTGTTGTCGATACTCCTGACATCATTCATGCCCAGCATGTCAAGAACCTTTCAAGTCAGGTAATGAGATTTAAAGAATTATGCTGTTCATTCTCAGTGAGTCTCTCCCTTACTAGATCAATAACAGATGCTAATTCAGAGCAGAGTTTGTTTTAAAATTAATTAAACAAACGGATTGTCACAAAAATTCAGGAGAGACCGCTGGATGTGTGCTACCCGAGAGCTGCCTGACTGGCATCTCCGACCAACATTAACATCAGTCAACATTTTAAACAAATCCCGAATAAAGATTATTTTATGTGACTGCATTAGCCACTGAATTGTTTGCTACTGTTTAAACTTGAATAAGTCATCCATAAAGAACATTATACTATTTTTTATTCTCTTTAACTGAAACCTAATTTTAACATTGGTTCAACAGAAAAAATATAAGGAAGATGCAGAAAGGACCATGTCATACTACCTGCCTGTTCTGGACACACCAGAAATTCTGAGAGTCCGTGAGAACCAAAAGAACTTTAGCAACGTATGTATACATAACAAGCCATTGTGTATTGTCACACAACAGAGAACATCCATTTCCCATCAAATTAGCTTGTTCCTGTTTTAAGACCCTTCTCCTGCATTGTGTGCCCACAGGCAGGCTGCTGCTGTGTTTTCTGAATCCCACTGGACTGACATGAGTGCAAAAGCAGACCACTAGTGTGCCACATCATGGTCTTATATGACATTATAATTTTCCTGAAAAAGTTTGCTTTAATCCTTTCTCCTCCTACCTCCACAGCTTTGGAATTAGTCTCTTCAAGAAATATGTTCATTGTGCCAGACACATTAAGGATCTCACTCTTCCTCCTGGGTATATCAGGCGGTGTCCTCACCTCCTTGCACTGGATCTGGGGGGCTGCAGCACTCCCACTTTATACCATGTGTTCCGTTCAGCAAGTCCTGCTGAGACAGACCCCAGGTGGAAATGGATACACACATCAGGGATTAATGCACATCACCAAGCACACTCAGACAGTGCTGTCAAAACAGTCAGGTGTATTAGTCAACTGGGTTGCTGCCTAGGAAATCGGCATAGAAGCTTAAAACACAGTCTGTTCTGGTTGGCCCAGAGCCCAGCCAAGCTGCAGTGAGCTCTTTGGTTCAAGCTCTACCAGTCTCTCCGTCTGACCTTTGCCAAGCCCCAGGTGAGAGCTCTGACTGCTTCTAGCAGCTCACTCTTATCCCCCCACCTCAGACCTCTCCAGTCCTTTGACCTGGAGCTGGGGATTGCTGTTCAGTTTCGCTAAGTCCGTGTCCTTTTGGATCAGTTCCTGCTAGGTGTCAGTGTCCTGGCAATTGGATTCACCATTGTTTTCTCAAATGCTCAATTGATGTGGAGACCGAGGCCCAGATGGCTGGGTGAAACCCACAGCAAAGGCTCATCATCACCTGCTCTGCCTTTTTTACTCAGCTGGGCAATAATACTGCATAGGTGGAAACTGAGGCACAAACAGGCCTCAAAATATTACAAAGTATTTCCTCTTTGTCACACCATTTCCATGCTAATAATGGAGAACAAGGGGGCCTTACTCATACTGATAGGCACTTACATACTCATACTGATAGGCACTAGGTCTGCAGCGCCAGCAAGACGACAGGCACTGAAGAGCGAGCCACCTGCAGAAGGAGAAGCAGGAGGGGTAGTGATGGTGGCCTGGTCTGACTGACTGGGGAGGCTCAACTTCCCCTTGCCTCTGATACCTGCCCATTTCTGTGCCCATTTCAAAGCTGGCCTGCATGCAGCCTGGAGGCACCAGGACTTCCCACTGGCCCCAGGCTGCAAGTGGAGTTCTGCAGTCCTCCTTTGAAATGTACAGGAGCCCCGCCTGAATTCAATCAATTCCATTGACTACGTAAATTAACCGCTAGTTAACATCCTTAGTTTTAAATGTCTTCTCAGAATATAGTCTTGCCAAATTTTATTTTAAAGCTTTTAAAACTCCCAAGAGAACTAGAACTGATATCCTAACTACATTTATATTTTTGTGTGTGATGTTTTTAATAGTTTCAGTACCAGTGGGATGTAAAGAACAGCAAAGGAAAAGTTACAGTGGTACAAGAAACACCAGAAATACTGCGTGTTAAAGAAAACCAAAAGAATTTTAGCTCGGTATGTTTATTTTACACATTTTCAATGTTAACTCAAATAATTCCATTTTGATATTTTAAAAATACTTTGTAGACCTTTTCTTGCATACACTTATGTCCATGTGTAGCCTTACTGACTTCAAATTAAGCACGTGCATGCGACTTTGCAATGTCTGTTCATTAGTGTTTCATACTAACTTCAGGTGTATTATATTTAGCTGATTTTTACTCAAGGGAGAAAGCTGCAGAACCCTCACATCCCCTGCAGTATTCTTTTGCTCCCCTGCAGAAAATGGCATGGAAGCTATGTGGGGGTAGATAGGGGCCAATTATGGGTGGGTTTTGATGATGGGGATTACCACCCCCCAGACAGAGATGGGACATTGGGTGGCACACAAGTGCAGAGATGCCTAGCTGAAGGAGGCTGCTATCAGGGTTCCGCTGACTTTGCAGCCAAACACTGCTTCCTGGATCCTAGTGCCAGTCCATCTCCCGTTCTGTGTGCTGGGAACTTTTCTATTTCTCCAGGAACCTATCAATGAACTGCTGTGTATCCAGGTCTCCCACTGAGATGACCATACCTGGACTGTCCAGGAGCCTCTCACCTCACAGCTGAATCCCCCCCTCCCCCACTCTAAACCCTTCCACGCTTGGATCCTGCTGGGTTGAGCTGCCTACACATACATGGTGTACCTGATGCAGAGGGTTGGGCCCAGGTTGTTTCTGGGGCGGGCCAAGCACTTGCATTTTATCAAGGATGTGTGCAGCCTCACTGCATCCAATCCTTTACTGTGGGTATTGGGGGCATCAGGGTGATCTCCCACCTCAATATAGCCATCTCAAAATAGACCTGTGCTCCCCACTGCCATGCTGAAGCCACATTTATTTACTGACAAATAAAATTTGCAGAATTTTAAAATATTGTGCATGTAACTTATATTTTTGGGTGCAGAATTCCCTCAGGAGTAACTACCTGCTTGCCCAAACTTCTCTCTCACTTTCTGTTTTGATATATAGTTAAGCCAGCCTGTGTGCAGTATTATTTTTGTCATGTGGCCATCTAGTGCTATAAACTTGTAGTATAGCAATCTTTATGTGATCAAATGTAATCTTTTAACAGTAAAAGAACTATGTCTGTCCTGACTTGTTTTACATTGGCACATGTTTTATCTTAGAGTTAAGTATTTTCCTTGTGTCATGTTCACATTAGTGACATTTCACAGTTAGCAACAGAAGTTTGTCCAAACTCTGGAGAGTGATACATTTCAGTCTTAAAGTACAGTAAATGCTTCAAAATTGTCCATAAAATGATCCCAATCTTTCATTTCCACAAGGGTCACTGCTTGTACTAGGAGAGACTCTTCAAGATAGGCAAAGTAAACTTTACTGACAATATTTTGAACCAGTTACAGAGAGAACTCAGAATTTGCTGTGGGCAAATACACTTTTGTGTATTCGTTTGGCCCACCCAGTTTCAGATATTTTGTAGTCACTCTCCAGAAAGAACAGTTTTGTGTTTTCTGTGCTTAACTTTGTCGTCTTGGTTCTGAATATTAAGATTTTATATAAAGAAGATATTGGAACAGGAACAGCTATTGAAAAGACACCTGAGATGCAGAGAATTAAACGAGCCCAGGACGCAATTAGCACGGTACAAAACAATGGGTTTCTAACATTTTACCTGTGCTAATAAAACTCAATAAATTTCTTCTTCCTCACTCGTTTCCTTACACGGTGCTAACAGCAATTTTGGAATTACCTATGAAATTAAGAGCTACCTTAGAATCTTTGTCTATTACCATTTATCAAAAAGTGGTTTCCTAACAAACTTTAAGAAAATTTATTTTCTTCAATATTTGTGATAGCTTTTACTAGGAAAATCTTTCTAATGATTAACAGTTGGCTAATTATAACTCTTTTCTAAATCATGGAAGCTCTCATTCTCTCTCCCCAAACAAGTAATGTAACACGTTTGTGTGTCAAGTTTACTTTACATAAAAGTTTTAATATTCTAAAATATGACTAAGGATTTATTTATGCATGTTGGCAAATGTGATTTTAAGTATTTAGCCTCCATATAGTTATGCTTTAAATGCTATTGTCATGTTAAGGCAAGAGTTACTAAAGCTTGTCTCTTTATTAAAATATCTGTTTGTTAATGGGAGGAGAAAATTGTTCTTGAGGAATGTCTTTTATTTTGAATCTTGTAAAAAAAAAAGAAAAGAAAAGGAGACAAAACAAATTTTTATCGACTCTTGTATGCAGCCTCACCCATATTGGCTGGGATATGTTTTATGTAACAAAAGTTTGAATGCCTACATCAAGGTAACAAGGCTGTTGAAGGGTATTTAGATTTATGTTGAAAATAATTTGAGTCCCCAGAATTTAAAACTGAGCTACCTAACTGTTGCTGAGATTCACTGTGCTTACAGCTTTACCGTGAAAAGCGCTGGCATGCTTTAAAAACAGAGACCTTCTTTTAAACTGGATTACTTTATTGGTAAAAGATGCAAAGACATAAATGAATGGAACTTGCAGATTCTCAGAATCTTGGAAATCAGGCTAATTCTAGTTTGGGTAGCTAAATATGGATTTTGGTGTCTAACTTTAGGCACTTAGGCTAAAATTTTCAAGTCACTAGCAATTTCAAATGGCTTTTTGTGTGTGTGTCTAATTTATGCATTTCAACTGAGGCCCAGTGATAAGCAGCCATGTGATCAGCACTTTCAAAATAACATGCCTTCTTGAACTGTCTCAAGTTGGACGCTCGAATCTTTGATTCAGGTTCAGGTCCCTAGAGATGACGGGTGCATCTGAGCCCAGTGCATCTCCTAGCCCATTCTTTACTTTATAATATAACATGTATCACAATTATTTGCGGCCTGAAGTCTCTTGATTATCATAAGTGACGCTAAAAAGGGTTAATATTATACATAATAGCTCATTTACCTTGACATGGTCACGCTATTCAAATATATTTTGAAAATGTAACTGCTACCATAAGGTTAGGATGGACATATGCTGCTCAGTCATAGGTATTTTTAATCACAGTGAATTGGGAGCCATAGGGTATGTCTACACTACAGCGTTATTTTGAAATATCTTAATTCGAAATAAGTTATTTCGAAATAAGGCATCTACACACAAAATGCATTTCAAAATAGCATTTTGCTATTTCAAAATAGCGCGTCCACACTGAGTGGATGCTGAATCGCATTTAAGGCCGGCTGGAACCAGGTCCGGCAGGGCATCAGGTCCGGAGTTCCTTTGTGTGGCTGCTGCCTGAGGCTATCTGAGGCCTGTACTTAAAGAGAAACCTCCTGGACAGCTGGTTCTCAGCTTTTCCTGCTTGCTTGCCTACCTCAATGAGGGACAGCAAAGCATTTTGTCTCTGCGTGGTCTGGTTGCCCTCACTCAGGACACCACAGCACTTTGCAACATGGAGCCAGAGCTGCCCCTGGGCACTTTGGTGCTTCTTGTGGACCCATTGCTGTAAGCCTGGCTGCACTTTCTGCAGGCTGCCATCCAGGAGGTCCATTGAGGGGCTGTCAGTATCCAGGAATCCCTGTGGGAGAGCTTCCACCCTGAGGAGCACTAAAAGCCTCCCTGGTTTGCCCCACTGGGGGCCTCATTCCTCCCTCATGTCCTTCCACTTACCCCTCCCTAACCCCCCTTCCTGATGTCAGATAAAATACATGTATTTTCATGAACACAAAACTCTCTCTAACAAAACTGAGGGGGAGAGGAATGAAACTCTGGTGAGACTGAGGAGATAGGGTGGGAGAGAGGAGGGGAAACCTGGGAGGAGGGAAGCAAGGGGAAGAAGGGGGAGGGGAAGCTCAGGGCTGGGGGTCTCACTGGAGCCACTTGATTTTCATGCAAACCTGCACCTTGGTTCACATGTGGCCTTTGGCAGCCAGATTGGCAGGGATCCTGCCATAGACGGACACGTTCCTCCATCTAGTGCAGAGATCATGGACGGAGGGGCATCCCCCCCAAACCTGAATAAGGTCCATGATCTCCACCCTGGACCAGGAAGGTGCCCGCCTTCTCAGCCTGCGCCGGGGGAGCGGTGGGGGGCTGGCTGCCAGTGGCTTCCTGGCTCATGTTTTGGGGCCACTGGGTCGGGGCAATGACTCCTGGCTCTGGGCTGGCAGGCTTGGAGCTGGCACAGGCACTGTGGCCAGAGTCAACCCCTTTTTAAGGGCTCTGGGGAGTGGGAAGGGAGAGGAGTGTTCTTGGCTGAGGTTGGAGTGGCCACTAGGGAACGCTGGGAAGGCTGGAGGCCCTCTATTTTGATATAAGTGTCTACTTATAGCTGTTTCAAAATAGCTGTTTCAAATTTGGCATTATTCCTCATGGAATGAGGTTTACCAAATTCGAAATAAGCTCTCCGCTATTTCAAGTTAATTTTGAAATAGCAGTTTGGCTGTGTAGATGCTAGTAAAGTTATTTAGAAATAACGGCTGTTATTTCAAAATAACTTTGCTGTGTAGACATTCCCATAGACTTCCATTGCATTGTACACAACCAGTTTACCTTGATACACACTCAGATGGCTTAAGATAATGTAGATCAGTTTTGGCAGAATCTTCCTTGAAAATTGTCCTTCCTCATGGGTGTACATCATGCTTTCAGTTTCTGTAAGATTTAAGGTTTAAGTGATATTTCTGTGTTCTACCAGTTATCATATGCCTGTTTAATGTGCTCTCTAAGTGTTTTTGGTTTTTGAATGTCTGTCACTTTGCAGATTAAATATAAGGAAAGCATTGGGAAAGGGATCCCAATTCCTGACCTTCCCGAAGTGAAACGTGTCAAGGAGACCCAGAAGCACATCAGCTCGGTAGTGGCTGACATTTTCTGCATTCATCTGTGTGGCCTGCACAGCCATTACGTGACGCTTGCATTACTAAACCGACCTGCTTTCCTTTCTAACATATCTGGCGGTCATTTCCAGCTAGGACTTTCAGGGAGGTGTTCTTTTTGCAGAGCTCAAGCTTTCCCCCTCCCTTAGCAGTAATGGCTATTGGCTGTTGAAAGGAGAATGTACCACTTGAACTTTATGCCAAGTAGCAGCAGAGTACTAGAATCCGTTTTTTCCCACCTACTCAAGCTTGGAGCTGAACCACATAGCTGATTTAATTCCTAATATGTAGTTAAAAACAAAAAGAAGGGTCAGTTTCTTAAACAATTCTGCAGAGTTGTGAATGTTTAGTGGAAAATCTCACTAAAACTATATGGAGCCATATTAATTGTCAGAAAATCCAGTTACAGTTTTGAGTATTAATATCTTGGCCTTCTCTGTTCCTAGTAAAGTGTAACAGTTTAAAGAGCTACTGACCTTTAGGTGACAATCTGATTAACTTCAGTTGGAGCATTGTACATGAGCAGATGTGGTTTTCTGCTTACTAATATCTCAGATGTTTAATATAAGAAAATTCTCTGGAGCAATGTCCTCCATCCCACCTTTTCCATCTGAGTTCCTTCTGATATTGTTTTTTTACAGTTCAGTTGTTCATAATCAAGTTATATTTCCAGCCTACACTGACTTGTCTAATTTTGATTTACCTCATTTGCTTTTCTTATGCTTTGAATGCTTTATTTACCATATATTTATTCTAACCATTTTCTGGTTTTGGTGGCATACTGAAGGCATAAAATACAGTACATTTTAGAAAGTTATAAGTTAAATCTCTAACATAATTTAGTTCTTGGTTCTTATGATCACATTTTGGACTGAGGTATTTTATATGCAATGTCCTTTCCTGAAAATGCAAATAATTATTTGATCAAACGAAGATAACTCTAACTGTAGGAGAGCTGAAATTCAGATGTATTTTCTCATCAAAAAACTAAAAGAAAATGGAGGCATTTGAGTATTAATAATAGTTAGACACAGAGATAGATACATTTTGGAAGGGGACTTCATGTGAAGTGGAGCCACATTACTAAGTCTCTGTACAGTGCTTTCAAACTGTGCTACACACACCTCTAAGAATTGTAGTCCTACATTGTCACTATAACCAATTTGCTCTCCCTGAAAATGTTAATAATAGGAACATGGGAATTTTCAAAAACAAATCAGTGGGTTTTTTTTTAATGAACTGCAACAGTTTTAGCACCCAAATCAGCTATGTACTTAAACATGTCTGTAACTTAAGTGAGAAATCCTCTTCCCTTCAGTATGTTTGCATACTTAAAATTAGATGCCTGACCAAGTACCTTTCTGAAAGCACAGACCTGCAGCCAAGACAAAATGTCCATATTTACATGTGATCCAAAAGAATTACCTGTCCAGCTCTCTATGCTTTGGGTTCTGTGAATAGTGAGCAGCCTTTCTTCTTATCACCTTTTTGGGTGCTTATATTCTACAGGTGTTGTACAAAGAGGACCTCGGGACAGGAATCCCAACACCAGTCACTCCAGAGATAGAGAGAGTGAAACGCAATCAAGAATACATTAGCTCGGTATTTCTCAAAGAAACAAAATAATTCATCCTTTCGCAATAACATCCTAACAACCATTCTTTGTTTCCTCAATAATTTAGAAGAAAACTACCAACTTGAAATATTTAACTCCTCTCCTGCCATTACCATTGTGTTTTTAACCTTTTGATTGATTTACAGTTTTACATGCATATAAAAACACACACCCCCCCTGAGGTCAGCAGTGAAATTAACATGGCATTTACTCTCTGCATGTTTAATTTTAACTCACCAGCTTCTTCATCATTTGTATTATTGTATTTATAGAATAATCAACCACCATGCACTTGCCTTTTAGTATTCACCTTTAGAAGTGTGAAATAGTTAGTATTACTACTAAATACTACTCACCACATAGCCAGACTTAATAACCTTGCCTAGTTTGAGTATTTTTTGGATACTTTCTTGTACCTCACAGGTGTTGTACAAGGAGGGCTTGGGGACTGGGATCCCAACACCTGTCACTCCAGAGATGGAGAGAGTCAAACGCAATCAAGAGATCATTAGCTCGGTATTTCCAAAAAGAAAACAACTACCCTGTTAACTCCTCTGATTAACTCCTCCATATTAAATTTCTTCCTTTAACCCTTCACAGGGCTTTGAATCAAAGCCTTTTTTAAAAACTGAACCACTAAACCTGTCACTATCCTAGCACAGTATTTATAATTATCCATCCCAATCTAATTTAGTTTTTGTAAATAGCTTTCTGTGGAATTTTAACCATATTTACCCTACCACATTTCCTTATATTTCCTGTCCCTGAAAAACATGTGATGTTCAGAGTGGATTCCCACCCTCTTCCTTAATAACATGGTAGATGTTTCTAACAGCCTTTGGCATCCCCATGTTAGTGCAGTGCAGATGTAAAATAAAATCTAACTTTTCTTTAAAGCAATAGACTGTAATTAGAACTTGACATGTCTTTCTTTTGTTGTTGACATGTTGGATGCTTTTTCTTGTATCCTGAAGGATTTTGTAAGTAAAACCTGGGGCAGCATTCCTGTAGTCCCAGAGATGAAGAGAATCACATACATAATGAAGATGTAGTATAGTACTCACAATCTCTTAGGATAAACTCTTCTGGTCCTAATATATTCCATTGGAATTGCCATCTACAATTCATGAGTTTTATGTTATGATGCTCTTTTATGTTAATTTTAACTTTTTTTGTGTGTGTCCCTGTTTATATGAGGGGAGGTTTGAATTCATTTTTGTTTAAGTTTGTACCTATTCAAATACCACAGTTTGAAATTTTGACCTGGTTTCAAATTTTTATGCTGCTTAGGATAATTCAATATTGTCACACTTTTTGTACTTCGCACAAGCTCCTCTAATCTGGAGATATCCATTAAAATCAGTGAAATCACTCCAGATTTACAATGAAACAAATGAAATCAAATCTTGGCTTACTTGGGCCTTCTTATTTCCCTATGTTTCTTATTGTTAGGAATTGTGGGTACATAGCTAAGGTCACAACTACTATGTGATTATCAATATTAGCTAATTTTTCCTTTAACTTTTCCTTATTTGGGGGGTTAGGATTGAAATAGAAAATTTCTTCATACTTACTATTCACAGGATAATAAGTGGAGATTTGTTGACTTGCTTATTCTTTTTCTTTGACGCTTCCTTGTTGCCACACAGGTATTGTACAAGGAGGGCTTGGGGACTGGGATCCCAACGCCTGTCACTCCAGAGATGGAGAGAGTAAAACGCAATCAAGAAAACTTTAGCTTGGTATTTTTTTAAAAAAGGAAAATTGCTGCCTTTAACATAATTCCAGATGAACTTTTAAACATTTCTAAAAGTTTCATCCTTTTCCTTCATTATAATCAACTTATACAAATAAGAATATCCTCTTTCCACTTTTCCCAATTCTCAGTGTCTGTTGCTTGCCTCTTTTTTTCTTACTATTTTTATGTTATATAATTTTGAGGAATTCCTAACCACTATTTCCACCCCTTTATTTTTCAAACTCTATTTTCCTTTTAACCCCCTCCCCCAACTAGAACTATTTTGAATTCTTAAAATAGTACTAGGTTTTTCATTTGCCTCAGTTCCTTCCCCCTCTCCCTTTTCCCCCGCTATAGTGCACGTATAAAATAAGACATAGTATTTTTGCAAGTTTAAAGAATTCCATCAGTGTTAATCACAATTCTGTATATAACACTGATCTTAGTTGGCTTATTTATTAACGCTTCCTGCTTTTTTGGTGCAGGGTGGATTTGATAGATATAAAAATTGTATTCCTTATGCTCAATACTTACCCCTGTCAAGTGAAGTATTGCTGACCTTTAAAAAACAATTAACACATCCTTGTTACTCTGCAGGTGTTGTACAAAGAGAATCTGGGGACAGGAACTCCCATGCCTGTCACTCCAGAGATTGAGCGAGTCAGACGCAATCAAGAGAACTTTAGCTCGGTATTTTTGAAAAGATAAAAGTTCCCTTTAACTCCATTTAAAATGCACTTTTTAACCTTTATAAAGAAAACAACTCTCCCACTCCCTACCACTATCATGCAATTAATTAATTTACACCAATAAGACCATCTTCTTTTCATCATTTTACTGCAATTTTACAGTGACTGAAACTTGTTTATTGTTCTTCATAACTTTACCATTTGTATACTCCTCAATGTTAACTACTTTACTCCTTGTTCCAGCCTCTCTTTTTTTTTAATGTTGGATATTTTTAAAAAGTCTCTCTTGCATCTATCACTCACCATACAAGGAACATGGGCTTGAATCTCCAATAGGATAGCATGAAAGGTGGTCCTAAATCTTTCTCATGAAATCATATAAAAGTTTTTGCTACATGTTTTCTAAGAAGACCATTCTCTAGTGGAATCAATGCCTATTACGAAATAGGCATGCTAATGTAGCACTTGGGAAGAGGCAAATCCGCGGGGGATTTAAATATCCCCCGCGGCATTTGCATTTTCATGGCCTACTTACAAGTAGGAATAAGAGATCCTCCGGAATAGGGCTTTATGCCGGAGGATCCCGCCAGTCTGGACACTTTTCTCCGGCTTATCTCCAAGCCGGAAAAAAGCGGCGGCCATGAAAATGCAAATGCCGCGGGGGATATTTAAATCCCCCGCGGATTTGCCTCTTCCCAAGTGCTACATTAGCATGCCTATTTCGTAATAGGCGGCCAGTGTAGACACAGCCAGTGAGACAGTAGAATTATCAGTTCTTCAACCCATACTCCGTACATGACCAAAACTTTCATGGCATTCAACCAGGGTTGTGGGAGCACAGAAAAGCAGAATCAGACCTAGCTCACTTAATACCTGACATAGTGTGTCATGTTATTAATTGTCACTTTTCTGATTTTTTTTGGATGCTTTACTACCTCACAGGTGTTGTACAAAGAGAATCTGGGGACTGGAACCCCCATATCTGTCACTCCTGAGATTGAGAGGGTCAAACGCAATCAAGAAAACTTAAGCTCGGTATTTCTGATAAGCAAAAAGTTCCCTTTTAACTCAATTTCAGAATGAAGTTTTTTAACAAATGACACTGATATCCCATTATTTTAACCTATTTTGTTTTGGTGTTGTTGCTTTTAAAAACATTTTAATGCCACCTTTTTAATTTGGAGAACTTTTAACCATTTGTCTTTTCATTTTCCAATCTTTATTTTCTCTGCAACTTTTACGTTAATTTTTTTTAACCACCACCCATTTTTGTAACAGCCTCAACTGCTGCTTTTTTGTGGTCTTATTAAAACACAGTATTTGTTCAAATAATTATTTTATAGTTAAAAAGCAATGTTAGATCTGTATTTCCCCAGATGCAATCTTTTAAAAATGTAACATCAAAGTCTTGCAACATGAAAAGATATAACACGCCATAGCTTTCCAACCTGTCAGCAACTAGAGTTTTATTTACTGCTGCTTTCTTTGGCTGCTTTCTTCAAAGAACATGTGGGGAAAGCGACCCCAACACCAATCACTCCAGAGATGGAGAGAGTCAAACGCAATCAAGAAACCATTAGCTCGGTATTTTTAGCAGGAAAAACATTTTTTTAAAGATCTGAACTGTTTAACGTAACACTAGCTATTTTAACAATCCATGCTTTCTAACTTTGAAATGGATGTGAATTCACTGAATGGCATAAAATTCCTACCTTTTACTCCTGTAAATAAACTACAGAGCCTCGCCTTTAATGCTTTGGTAGTTGGATATTATTAGAGCAACAACAACTTAATTGACCTTTTTTCAATAAACTGTGTTTTTTGTTTTTAACCTTTCCTTATTCTACTAGATTATTTTATTTTCGTGCAGTGCTGATTCCCTCATGGAGCCATTCCTGCAGCCGATTAGATCAATCACAAAGCACCTAATGATTTTATTGGAAACAGGAATGGGCCCCAAAAAGTAACCCTTTCTAAATGTGATAATTCAACCGCTTTCTCGTTTTTATTGTCATTGCTTTTTTATGATTTTTGGATACTCCTTTGTATCATATAGGTTTTGTACAAAGAACATGTGGGGAAAGCGACCCCAACACCAATCACTCCAGAGATGGAGAGAGTCAAACGCAATCAAGAACACATTAGCTCGGTACCTATAAGTGAAACTGTTTCCTCCCCCTACCTTTGCACCTATTTTTTAAATAAAATAACACTAACAAATTTCTGAAAGCCTTTTCTTAGCTTTAAATATTTGATATGAATCTGTTTGTATAATTTCCTTTGCTCCTAAAAACAAACCTAGCTTTAATGTTAACAATCTGCTCCTGGAATTGTAAAGTTGTTTTATAACCTAACTCTGTGACTGGAAGGCTCTATCCAGATATTAAGGGTCTTTGTGGCTGCTGGCATATAAGAGCTCAAGCCCTTCTTCCCTACTGTTCTGCTGAATCCAGTTGGGAACTGACCTGGTGACATACTCACAGACTTGGAAGCAGTTGACAGTGTCTCGGAAATGCCCAGGATGAAACATTAGGGCTTGATTCAACTCCCATTAGAATCAGTGGGAGTCTTTCCAGTGCCATAACTGGATTTACACAATTGTACAATCTGCCTCTCTTAAGGAATGAAGTCTCAGAAGGCCATTAACAGCAGTCAGGGTCATGGGAAGATGCAGTTATATTTACAGAGCATCTTTCCCTGGTGTCAGTTTTTAATTTGGATGACTGGTGTCAGTCAGCAGAGAAATAAATATCTGGCTGACAGCTATAAAATGGAACCAGGTGGAAGAATGTTCCCCAAGTGATGAAGAAGGTAGGTGGAAGGGATGTCTTCACTAGGGGAGCCCCCAACCACACAGTGATCACATCTGGGCAGCTTTGAGAAGCTTCAATCAATGGAGTCTCATTTGGGTTTGGAACAGAAAACCCACTTGCCAACTCCACTTCTTACAGCAATTCTCCTCATCCCCAACCCTAAGCTTAAGGTTTGCATTATAGATGAAGGTGGTGACTTCATGCCTGGGAGTTAGGGACCCATTTTTCATGTCTCCTGGACAACCTTTCTTGAATAGGTCTGTCCAGAGCTTGTGCATCCTGCAGTACCATAAGTATTTGCGGCTGGATAGAGTCCTTCTATTTTAATATAAAATTTTTATTGTTAATAATTTTTGTCCAGTTTTTTTCTTGCTTTTACACATCCTTGTCCCTTGAGATGTTTGGCATTCATGTAGTGCTGTGCACCATAACAAGTCATGATTTTTTAAAATTCGATAAGTAATTTGTTTTTTTTCTGGATACGTCTTTTGTATCCTGTAGGTATTATACAAAGAAAACTTGGGGCGAGCAACCCCAACTCCTGTTACTCCAGAGATGGAGAGAGTCAAACGCAATCAAGAAAACATTAGCTCGGTATTGTCTTGAGAAAATAAAATGTGATATGACAGTGCATTTTGAAAAAATACCTTTCACCTGACTGGTTTTGTTTCTCATCCACATTTTCAAATGTCATTTGTATTGGTTTTTTAAAATTATACACATTGATTTTAACTTTTAAAGTATTTTTCCTGATGGATTTTTCCTATTAACACAATTAAGTTTTACTATTACAAAAGTAATAGTTTAACAAAACTCACATGTACATTTTTTGTGATTTTTGGATACTTCTTGTAATCTGTAGGTTGTATACAAAGAAAACTTAGGGAAAGCAACTCCAACTCCTGTAACTCCAGAGATGGAGAGAGTCAAACGGAATCAAGAAAACATTAGCTTGGTATTAAAAAGAACAACCTTATATTTAAAAATAACAAGCCTGAATTTTTTTTTCTGCTTCTAATTTTATCCCAGTTTTCTCAACTTGCCTTCCCCTCCTTTTGGAAGAATTTTACTTTTTGCTTTATCAGATAACTTCTTTAACTGCTTTACTTCCTGAGATCCTTTTATCCATGCAGTGATGAGTATGATTAAACAATAACACCATTTACACCATGATTCATCAACAATTATCTAGTGTTTGACTTCTGGACACTTTTATTTTGTGTGCTATAGGTGTTGTACAAAGAGCACATGGGAAAAGGAACTCCGACACCTATCACTCCAGAGATGGAGAGAGCTAAACGCAATCAAGAAAACATTAGCTCGGTATTTGATAGGGCAAATAAGCTACAAAATAACATTTTAACACTATCAATTATTTCCTCATTTGACTTAAACATTTAAATATTAACTTAATTATCTAATTTATGCAATTTTAAAATGATACTAAAATATAATTCTAATTCCTGCAGTTTTCCACACCTTGTTTTAACTGGCTCTCTGCTTTCATCTGATTTCTTGTTTTAGGATGTTTAAATAACTATTTTACTTCAAATAACAAATTTAACTATCTAAATTCTTTGTAATATCTTCTGTGTTTAAAGTGCTTTATGGTATGAGATACATAATTGACATTCTTCAGCTACATTAGTACTTTCGATTTTTCTGATAGTAGCTTGCGTTCTGTATTGATTCATGCAGATAGTAACTCCCCATTCCCTCTGCTGTTACTTAACTTAGCAGAGACTTGTCATGCCCTCAAGTGCTTATGCAAGCAAATACTGGCACTTATATCAGCAGATGTATTGATATGGCCCTTGTTACCACACTATTTGAGACCCTAATATAGGGAATACACACATACAGACACAATGTAATTGAATATAAGAAGGATAAGATATGGGCCTAATTATGTTCTCCACTGCATACTGATAATGCTATGTAGTCAATGAGTTGCTTTTCAATAAATGAGAACAGAATACGGCCCAAAATATTGTCTAAGATATACTTACTAAGGCAGCACATTTTTACATCCTGATCTAACATAATTAAACAGGCTTTCACCACTACTTTGATTTCAAAGTCTTTTAAAGGCACAGATCTATTATTTGTGAAAATAAAGTCTCAGAGGGGTAGCCATGTTGGTCTGTAACTTAAAAAAAAACAGCTTAAAAAAGAGTGGTCCTTTAAAACCTTAGAGATGAACCAAAAATATAGACAGATAGTATCATGAGGTTTTGTGGGCACCACCCACTTTTTCCATTCTTATACCATGCCTCTTACCTGCCAGTGCTATCCATGTCTCAATAACTAAACTAGTGTGATGGCCTAGAGGTTCTCTCCAGCATTTCCTCATTCTTTTCTGCTTGTCAACCCTGTGCAAAATGGCTCTGAGCATTTAGATGTAGAAGCACTGACCCATATTCACTCCCTGTTTCTCATTTGGTAGGTCCTCTATTCAGATAGTTTCCGGAAACAAGTCCAAGGCAAAGCAGCCTATGTTTTGGATACCCCCGAAATGAGGCGTGTACGAGAGTCCCAGCGCCATATCTCCACGGTAAGGATCCCTTTTTTTTTTAGAAAGTTTCCAAGTGATGGAATAAAAATTTAACTCAGTTCTTGGGAGATCAGAATTTCCAAATCCTGGATAATAGTCTATGGCAGTTCTGATTGCCATATTTAAATGTCAAAAGCAGAACTGAGTTTATCCCTTCTAGATTCCATAAGGTACGCACATTTGGGATTTCCCTGTCTCTTGGATTTCAGAACTCAGAAGTCCAGAGATGCCAATGCACATCTCTACTAGTTATTAATTCAAGATAAGCAGAAATACCAAGAATAGCGACAGAGGAATGGACATGTCTTTTTTTTTTAATTGTAGGTGAAATACCATGAAGATTTTGAGAAACACAAAGGTAGCTTCACGCCTGTGGTTACTGATCCCATTACAGAGCGTGTGAAAAAGAACATGCAGGACTTCAGTGATATTAACTACAGGGGCATTCAAAGAAGGGTTGTAGAAATGGAACGAAAACGAGTGGATCAGGATCACGAGACAATCACAGGTATTCAGCACTCATATTGCATAGTAGTACTGAGAACATTTCCTCTGCCCCAGGTAAAACTCAACCAGGCCTTGCAAAATTGTCATGAAAATTTACCATCTGACACTCTTTTCAGAGATTGCAAGACCTATTGTGACCATCTAGATGATCTCCTGTATAACTGTCTATGGAACTTCCCCAGAATAATTCATAGTGTGTATCTTTGAGGAAAAACATCCAATCTTGATTTCAAAGTTGTTAGCGATACACACTTCACCATGAACCCTGGCAAACTGTTCTAATGGCTAATTATTCTTACCAATAAAAATATACATCTCATGTCTAGTCTGAATTTTTCTAGCTTTAACATCTAGCTGTTGAATTATACTAGTTTGATTCATTATCCAGTGTTACTGTGAGCTATTTTAATCACCATTCAACAAATTAAATGTTGCAAAGCTCTCTTAAATGGGCAATATTAGCTACACATCATGCAATCTAGAACTATACTGTTTAATTCAAGTCTTTCTAAATTTAACATAGGAAGATCACAAAACAGATATAAAATCAATATAAATTATTAATTTCTCTCTAACCAGAGGAGGACATCTCCTTGCAGATGCTGGAGACAGGCTTAGCAAATCTGTTACTGTGTGATGGCATCACTTGATAGAGTAACTTGCCTCGCCTGATTATCTGGTCTGCACTAAGGCCAGTTTTGAGAAGTATGGTTTTAGTTTTCCTTCAGATTGATCTTATGGCCTTCATAGAATGTCTTCCTATTCTTTTCCTATTAAAGATACAAGTGAACTTTTGGATGGTTGGTTGAAACAGCACATTTTTCTTTCAGGTCTTCGTGTATGGCGCACCAATCCTGGATCAGTCTTTGATTATGACCCAGCAGAAGACAATATTCAGTCTAGAAGTTTACACATGATTTCAGGTGTGTACCACAATAGCTGCTGTTGATCAGATGTTCTGATCAACACGCTGTGTTGTCAAATGTAGTGTTCCTTGAAATTTATGTTTTTAGATACACAAGGACAGATCAATTCACTCTATAACTACTATCCAATGAGGACTGAATTCTATCAGCAATTTAAGGAATACAATAGAAGATTTTCATGCTGACTTCTGGAAGAACTTTATTAAATATGATTTTCAAATACAACTAAGGACCAAAATCCCAGTGAAAGACAATAGGAATTGCCTTTGAAAATCCCAGCATACATAGCTATAGGTTTAACATCATCTAGTTGTACACAGAGGTAACTGGAAAAAATTAAAAAACCACAATGGTCCTGTAGCACATTAGAGATTGACCAAAAATATGTAGATAGTAGCATGAGCTTTTATGGGCACAACTCACTTCTTCAGATGAAAAGTATGGAGCAAGAGGCACAGGGCTTCAAATAAAAAGCAGAAAAAGACTGGAGAGGGAGGGGGGAAAACCTGTCAGTTATAAGTGTCCATGTTAAATGAGGCTAACAGAGTGGGCTGTATGTGTCCAACACTTAACTTTTGATGTCATTTGGGTGATGAATAAAACAGCCCAGCCAGTTCATGTCTTGTTCAAGCTGTGAGAAGATAGTGTCAAATTTGCATATGAAGGCCAGTTCCATAGATTCATTCTCTAGTTGATTCCTGAAATTACTTTGTAAGAGAATAGCCCCTTTAAATCCATTAATGAGTGCTTGGGCATGTTAAAATGTTCCCCAACAGGTTTCTGTGTGTTACCACTTGGAGTATCTGATTCGTGTCCATTAATCCTTTGTCACAGAGACTGTCCAGTTTGACTAATATACATGACAGAGGGGCATTGCTGGCTCTTTATGGTATAGATCACATTGGTGGATGTGCAGTTGTATGAGTCTCTGATATAGTGGCTTATGTGATAGGGTTCTGTGATGATGCTGCTTGTGTAATTGTGTGGACAGAGTTGGCACCAGAGTTTATTGCAGGTGTGGATTCCTTGGTGAGTACAATGGAGGTTTGCTGTGTGGTTGCTGGAAAGAATTTGTTTCAGGTTGGGGGGGGGGAGGGAGTTGTCTGTAGGCATGGATTGACCTGTCTCCCTAGGCCTGTGAGAGTGAGAGGTTGTTTTCCAGGATAGGTTGTAGATTGTTAATGAAACGCTGGAGGGGTTTAAGTTGGGGGCTGTAGGTGATGACAAGTGATGTTCTGTTATTTTGTTAGTTGACGCTATGTAGAAGAAGCTGATGCCTGGATACTCGTATGGTACTGTCAATCTGCTTTTTCACTTCTCCGAGTGGGTATTTAAGTTTTAAGAATGCCTGATAGAAATCCTGTAGGTGTTTGTCTCTGTCTGTGGGATCAGAGCAAATCTGGTTGGTTGTGCTCACGAAAGCTCATAATACTATCTCATTTTTTGGTTAGTCCCTAAGGTGCTACAGAACCATTGTTGTTGACGGTTTTTTAGTTACAGACTAGCAAACATGGCTATCCCTCTGAGACTTTTAAACATAGGTAACTGAATACTTGATATTGCTAATCTTGAGAAAGCACATCTTATTCAACATTCAATCTCAAGTATATACCTGTATACTGTAATATGCCTTTAACATGGAGGCATTGGATTTTTTGCATTGTCTACTACTAGCTTAAATCACTATATAATACCTTGCCTGTCAAATGTGTTTCTTTCATTTTCTTCCTTTACTTTCCATTTTCTTCTCTCTCATTTTTAGAGAAAATCTCTATACAACAAATGCTAGCAAAAAAAATGTTCAGCAACCTTGACCCCAGATTTCTGTTACTTGTGTTGATTTCGGAATGCTTATGTGTTTTGGGAAATTCCAGTCTAACAAGAGTGACCAGTTAAAGGGAGTTGTGTTCAATTTCAGGCTTTGTTAATGTTCATAGGTGACCCTTTTAGTTTATATTTATCATTTTAATAACTTAATTGAGATGAAGTGCTTTTAAAATATCACATTTTTCTTATTCCAAACCAAGTGATAATGAAAAGCTGGCAGTCAGGAGTGGGGAACCTTTTTTGGGTTGGGGATTGCTGACCGACAGAAAAATCAGTGGGGAGCCAAACACAAGTGAGAAACAAAATAATACCCAAAAAACAACCCCCTTCCAATCCTCACTGACATGGCCCTCCAATTCAGAGGGAGAGAGACACTCGCACACCAAAGCCTAGGGTGGTCCTGGCTAGTAGGCTCCATCCCCGTGGTGGGGCAGTAAGGGGGCTGGAGCATCAGCGCAAACTTCCCAATGCTATGGGGAGTTCTGAGCCTCAGGGGCTGGATCTAGCCAAGCCAGGGTCCACATCCAGCCCCCAGGCCTGAGATTCCCCGCCCCTGCTATAAATAGAGGGAGAGAAGTCGGTGCAACAGGAGAGAATGTTGGAAAACAAAAAGAATAAAAGAATCTCTCTTTGTATTAAAACAAATTTGGAACAGCATAATTGCGTTTGTTAGGATACACTTCTATTACAAATCCCTTGTGCCCCTTCAGTAACACTGCATGTGTAGCTGATTCTCTAAGGCCAAGTCTACTCTAAAAGGAAAGGTTGAATCCAGATATGCAACTCTAGCTACATTAATTACATAACTGGAATTGATATACCTTGTTTTGTATTTCCCCGCTGCCCCCACAGTGGGAGGCTTCCAGGAGGAAACACTCCAGTTGGCTTCCCTTACTCCTCACAGAAGCAGGAGTACTGGCCACCAACTCTGAGTTCGAGACTTGATAAATCAAACTCCGGAAGATTGATTGCAGCAGTGTTGATCTTCTGTTTAGCAAAAATATGATTTCTCCATTAGCTTTGTAAGCAGCAATGATACTTATTGATTGTAAGTAACTTTTGCTTAAGTTGCTTATACCTACTATGCCAAATCCTTTCCATCTTATTGTAACACAACTTCACTAACAGCAATAGTAATGCATTGTTAGAGGAAAATAGGACCTTTAAGTCTCATCTAGACTAAGCTAGAGTGTCGAAAGAGGATATGCATAAAATCCCATGGAATTTGCATATCTTCTTCAGATCTCACTTTCGAAAGTAGAGCTTTAGAAAGTGAGAATAGTTTAGACACATATTTTTCGGCGAACCCCCCCTTTTTTCCATGATACGCGGCTTTTCGACAAAGAGGAGGGTTTGCCTAAAAAGCTGCATCTAAACTACTTTGCATATCCTGCGGAATTTGCATATCCTCTTTTGACACTCTAGCGTAGTCTAGATGAGCCCTAAGTAACAGAGTACAACAAAGGTAAATAGGTCCATATGCAGCAAAAGGAGGTGCTGGTACTCAATATGATTTCTGTTTGTTCTTTTCCTCCAGTCCAAGCCCAGCGCCGCAGCCGAGAGCAATCCCGCTCTGCCAGTGCATTAAGCCTCAGCGCTGGGGAGGAGAAATCTGAGCATTCAGAGGGTGCTGATCAGCACCTGTCTTATTACAGCAATGGTGGTATTTTCACTACAACAACAACAGGTAGGAAGTGAACAAAATTTTAACTCTGAAGGTGAAAGACTTTGGTTGCCCAGGCTCAATTCTCCCTGGCATTTTGTAAGACGGCTTCCTGCATCATTCACAGTTGTGCTTCATCTAATCTGCAAATAAATATCAATAGTGCTATTGGTGGTGTTGACCATTAAAAGATTGCCTAATTCTGATGTGTTTAACAACCAAGGGACAGACCAGTTCATAAGGGCTAAGAAAGCACCCAAGTGGGATGATGGACCATTGCCTGGAGAAAGGAAGATGTTCTAGTTGGGCCACTTGCCTAGTGCAAGTCCTGATGACTAACTCACTTATACTGGGGACTCTTTGTCACTTATACTGGGGACTCTTTGTATTTCTCCCATGTCATATTTCATGAACTTGCGGCCCTTCCTCTGTCCAGGAAGCAGCAGGGGAGGAGGTGACACAGGCTGGCTGAATGGATTGTGGGAGGGAGCTGCTGCTTACAATATGGAAACATGGGGTTAATGACTGATATCTGTCTCTTCCCTTCTTGAGACAAAGGTCTCTTCCAGCATTCTGTAGTAAAGGAATGGTTGGGGACAAGGAGAGGTATTATGAGTGGCAAGGGATTTTAGCTCATATCCCTCAGCTATAAAACTTCAGGAAAAACAAAACTTTAGAGGAGCTTCAGGGGTTAGCCGAGTTAATCTGCTACAGAAAAAATGGTCTGTCTGGTAGCACTTTATAGACTAACAAAACATGTAGATGGTATTATGAGCTTTCGTAGGCACAGCCCACTTCTTCAGATGACCAGAGTTATGAGTTTGGGATATGAATACTTGAGAGGAAGGGGTGGGGGGAAGAAAAAGGGAGGCGGGTGGGAGACTGAGCATCAGTAAGTATCTGGAGAATGGGTACTTGAACCTAAGCAGATAAAAATCAAAGTCAATAGATAGAGTCCCATGTCAGTAAGGATACTACTGAGAGAGCTGTTAGCACCTTCAATGGTTGTTAAATTGGTAGTGTCCCAACCAACCTTCATCACGATTGAGTCAATAGGTTTTTCTCCCAAGGACTCTGAGGGTACGTCTAGACTACATGCCTCTGTCGCCAGAGGCATGTACATTAGGCTACCAGACATAGGAAAATGAAGTGGCGATTTAAATAATCACCGCTTCATTTAAATTTACATGGCTGCCGCGCTGAGCCGACAAACAGCTAATCAGCTGTTTGCATACCTGGGTGGTCGACAAATACCTTTGATGTCGACACCCCCGCGTCCAGATTATCGCGCTGAGCCATGTAAATTTAAATGAAGCGGCGATTATTTAAATCGCCGCTTCATTTCCCTATGTCTGGTAGCCTAATCTACATGCCTCTGGCGACAGAGGCATGT